TACCCCCAAAGCCGGAGTATATCCATGTAATATTTATGTGGGTATTAGGGGTTACCAAGCAATTTTTTATGGGGGGACTCCGGAAAAGACTTGAGGAAAAAAGCACAAACTTGGGGAATGAGCAATTTTTTCAGGATAAAACCCAGCAAGGATTCATGTAAAAAGAATATGTAATTTTTTAAATATAGAAGCTCCATATGTGATCCCCACACTAAAATATAATCCCCATATTGACCTTCTCCTTACGGACCGTGGCGTGACGTAACAGCCGGATAGAGTGAGATGCACTGAGGTCAGCGAGAGAGAGAGAAGGCAAGCTCATTTGACGACACACAAGTGTTTACAATTGGAATGCGCGGGTAATCGCATTTTTCCCCGCACTCCACTCCCCTCTAGTCACTCATTGTACCCAACGCCCCACCTTGGCACCTGTACGCCTGATTTCTGATCGCCTGCTACGATAGTCAAGACTTCCCCATGTTGGCGTGTGTGCGCTGTGACTAAAAACGGCGTGTGGCTCCCCAAATGTGGAGAATGGGGAGACTGGGGGCCTTGAGAAGGTCTCTCAAGTGGTGCCCCTTAAACAGAAGCAGAAAACCGCGTCTCCATCTCTACCGCCATCTCTATCTAACAATATAAATTTCCCTTATTTTTGTGGTGCTCTGTGCCGTTCTAAGAGTTCCAAGTCCGACGGTTTCAGATGCTTCCCCATCTTATGACAAGGCAGTGGAATATATTATACAATATTCCCCCTACTGTGCGGAGACCTGTAAGTGCCTTTGCTCTATGATTTCTGTTAGCCCGCCCTGTTAGTAGCCATCTTTTTCGATTTTTTGCTCCAACAAGACGAAAGCGAAAGTACTGCACTGGAAATGGGGTATCTTATAAATCCAGACTATCTTTTAAATAAAAAATCAAAAGTATAAGATATAGATACAATAAATATTATAAATATGGTGTTAAGAATAGACCATTTCGTTCAGTGTTCGATCAATGTGGTTTCCATTTGGTCTGGTTTTCTGGCCACGGTCTCGTCTGGCCAAGGATGAGGCCCTGTTGCCTTTGGTGCGGTTTGGATGCATGTCGGGAGCTTTGTCCGCTAGCTCCCGATGTGGTGCGCGGTACACTTCTGTTTTCCTGGTGTAATTAAGCAAACGAAATATAATAATAATAAATTATAATTTTAGAAGGCGTCACCCATACCGCTAACAACAACAGCTTTGGAAAAAATTACCGCCATAAGTTATCGAGCGGGATACGTTTGGGCCATTTCTGCGGTTGTTCCGACGTTTGTGTGCTTTAAATATAAACGAACAGGCTCCAAGAAGTTACGCTATAAAAATTTTTGAAATTATAATGCGAAAATGGAAAACCCACTCAAGAAGGGGGAGCTTCATTGTTCATGTTAATTTTTTTCTTTTTACAGCCCAGTACAACCCACAACCCAATCGATGTTAGCAGAGGGGCAGGCGAAGAAACCAATCCAATCCAATCCCAGAAAACCTGAAACCGGGTCCCAGTTCCAGTACCCAGTATGCTCCCGGCTGCAAAAAAACCCCTTTTTAAGCTTCGCTCCGGTTCCAGTTGCCACCTTTTTTGTTGTTGTGGTTGTTGTTGGGCTCCCAGCTCCCAGTTGGAAAGTTGCGACCAGACGTTTTGCTATTTCTATGACAACTTGGTAGCTCTCGGGTAACTTCTAATGATTTTCTATGTCCGTCGCTGTTAAGGAGCTTCCCCCGCTCAGTGTGGGGATCCCCTATTTCATCTCATTGGGAGCGGGATCCACCGGCGGTCGCTGGCTGTTCCTTCCCTCTGTGGGTGAGAAATGTACGTTCTCGGTGGAGTTTGCGTCATGCGATGTTAATGGAACAGGCGATCAGAAATCCCCTAGCGGACGACGTAACACGTAACGGCTGGCGATAAAGCGAGATGGCGATACGGCTCAGACAGACAGCGGAGAAGGTCGTTGGTGGGGGGCGAATGCTTGCTTGTGCTTGTCTGTGAGTCAGTGAATGAGTAAGTGTGAGTGGGGCCAATGTACCCGCGAGTTCAGTGCATTGCACTCTCCCTCAGACCGTTTTAACTCTTCACACTCATGTGCTGATCTAAAAAGCCTGTGGAGAGGTTTAAAATATTAATAATTGTGGTTTTAAGATTAGATAGCAAGACTTAAATGTTGTAAATATTAAATATTAAATAAAAAATATTAAATATTATTAATTTTTAAAATATTTTATTTCTTAGTAGTTCATACTAGCCCGTTTTACTTAGCCTCTGTTGCTAAGTGCCATTATTGGAATTCTTCTACTTTACACTGCAATTACCGCCATACAGTGGGCAATTTCTTCTATGTGCACGTAGCTGCACTTATCTTCCCTAGACCCCCCTATCGCCCCCCATCGCCCCAAAATTTCCTCCATTTATTCTACTGATGCTCTCTTTGGTCTATGGCAGTGCTAGTGCGAGAGCGACAGAGTGCAATAGCGATATCGAGGCTTGGCTCGAGCAGGAGGGGCGGAGGCAACTAGGGCCTCCCTATTGCCGCCCCCTTTTGATGGAAAATTGTGTGCCCCGCTCGCACATTTGAAAAGTGCATCGAGTGCAGTGAGTGCATCGAGTGCATGTGCATCTCCGTCCCGATTCCCCATTCCCGGTTCCCTATTCATGATGCGCTGAGCAGACCCCTTCTGTCGGCCTACCGAAGAGCAAAAACGAAGCCTAGTTGGGAAAACTCTTGGGCCTTTCAGCTTTGGATTTTCAGTTCGTTGTTAGACGAGACGATCTGCCGACCACAGCCCGAGCTCCGCCACCAAACGTGGCCACTCACTCATGCAACTCACCTGTGCATGTAACACCAACTGGTTGCATCTATTGGTCGGCTAGGAAAAATCCTGCCTGCACAGCCCATAGTTTTTCCTCGAATCGAGAAAACCCCCAACATAGGCCAACTATAAAATAAGCGCCACATTAGAAGCTCCCCTCCATCTCTCAAACTCGGTTTTTTAGCTCAAATTTTGATGTTGTTGCACCGATGAAAAATGGTTGAGAAAAAAAGTTTGAAAAAAAACGTTGTATGATTTTTCTTCGTCAATATTTTGTAACAGAGCCCCAGCACCGATGCAGCAGTGGCGCTCCTCTGCTTCTTCTTTTTCGTTTTCTCTGACTTGTGTAACGAAATAAAAGTGCACAGCCAGAGAGGGAAAGAGATGGGGAGAGCAAGAGCGAGCAGTCACCTCCAACGATTCCCCAAGTTCCACCCCACCTCTGACAATGCACTTATTGCCCCAGTTCTACGCTGGTGTGTGTGCCAGGCTTTTTTTAATGCGAGCAAACGGGACAGATATATAAAAGAGCAAAAGAGCAATGCACTTCAGTAATCGCAGGTCACTGTGGGTTGACAGGTGAGATAACAAGCTCAAATTTCAGGTATTGTGATTAAAATAATATTTAAAAAGAAATCTCTATATTTAAAATAAAAATAATGAGTCTTGAATAATTTGTAAAATAAAGATACTAAACAATATAAACATTTTTAACCTTAAAAAGTTGTGTAGCCCATTTTATAAGATCTTGCTCCACTGTACAAGTGCATGGTGTTTTTTTTTAAATGCAACTGCAACGATAGAGACAGGGAGCTCGGAAAAAACATCATGAGGGGAGAGTGGGGTCATCTTTTGTGTCTCGCCCATGCAATGCATTGTATTAACTTTCAGGGGCTTAGACAGTTTTCTGAAAAGGGGTGACTTTTAAAAAATTATTTTAATAATTTTTTTAAACCTATAAAGTTTAAAAAACATGAACAAAAGCCATATATACTAAAAATAATATCCCCCATTTTGGGCCTTCTCTGCCAACTTGTATCGAGATTTGCGACTGCGACTGCAAAGCTCCTCGCGAATCGGTGGGCGCACCTGCTCCGCCCCCTTTTGCACGCTCGCTCGCTCTCCATCTGCGGCCGTCTCTCTCACACGGATTTTTGCAAGTGCATCGCTTAGCTGCGAAATCTGGGCTCCTTTTCCCAATGTAACACAACCATGCACCATGCGAGCTAAGATTGCCCCTAGGGTTCCCATTACGACACATATGTACGGATTTTGTTTACAGCCTTTTTTGCTGGAGAAGAGCAGGATTTGTTGTCGCTGGGGGGATCCGCAAACTAAGCAGGTGATATGAAGGGAGGGGCTACCCATAGCATGGGGAGAGTGCACATTACAACTCCAACATCATCTCCTTCGAGCGTCACACGGTGTGGTATTCCTTCCCCATGTTGGTTTTTTCTCCAAGTGTTGTTCCTCCTTTCGCGGGAGCTGCGTGCAATAAAGTAACAAAATGTACTGAATGTCAACAGGCTCCCAGTTTCGGGGAGGCCGACGATTTTACATTACGCTGTGCTCAGTACGGTACACGCGCTCATTGCGCGATGCCCCCCACTCTATCTCGCGCTCTTTCGCTCTTCGGCTGGTGTGTGCGTTTCTTTTTGTGTGTGTGCGAGTGTGTGCGCGCTACTTGCGCGCTTTTGCTCCCCACTTTCCTCTCGAATCACCCCCCCCCCATTTTAACGTTCGAAGAAAATAATGACTCCACTCCACTCCCCTGTGTTCTGTGTTTTTGTTGTTGCCTTTTTGTTGGGGTCTTTGCTCTCGTTTGCTTTATCATTCTTATTTGTGGTTGCTGTCGCTTTGATGATGCGCTTTTGTATCTGTGTGTGCCAAAGTGGGGCCCCTCACACAGACACACACGACCAGCGCTGCAGCAGCGGTTGGCAAAAAAAACTGGCAAAGTGCATTTTGGTTCTCTTCCCTCAGTTGGCTTCCAGCTTTGGAAGTGGTAACTTCCAGGAAACTTTATGCATTACAAGGATATCAACAAATCAAAATATTTATTTACAAATATCTACAAAATTATGTATTATTCTTGTTCATCAAGGTATCGGGTCTTTTTTGGTAGGAATCTGAAATGGAGAAAAATAAATAATAGGCGGATTAGAAATTAAAGGAGTTTTACCTGTGAATCACCGGTGATAACAGATCCAAATCAAGAGTCCTTATGTTAGTGGGTTTCGTCACAAGGGATACCAAAGATCCCACAACTAACACTGTAATAACTCCAATGACATTAAGCCAGTGGTAGGAAATCCGGTAAAGTGGCAACACGTCCTCCTCGTTCACCCAAGTAGTTTCCAAAAGCGTTACATTACCTTCACATCCATCCACGGACATGGGTCGTTTCTGAGAATTCAACTGTCCTGATGCCGCTGCAAACTGAGATCCGAGGGTTATCCATCCGGATAGAAGGACCCCGGCAAGGGCCCCAATTGCCGTGCCCAGGGTGTTGGCCCAAGGAACTAGCATTCCAAGGGTAAATATGCCAAATGAAGCACTAGCTGCTATGGCAGTCAGAGCAGAGCAGACACTCAGAATACCACTAAGTTTTTCCAAGACCAAGGCCAGGGCCATGGAAAGAACTCCAATGACTATAATGCTGGATTTAACAATGATATTGGACATTCTTTCACTTGGACGCATTTTGAAGCAACCCCTAAAAATGTCCTCTAGAATCACCATGGAGGTGGAATTGTAATAGACCGAGAGCGAGCTCAAGCCTGCTCCAAAGATTCCGGCTATGAACAAACCCGGCAACCCGTAAATGTCACCCACACTCTGGACCACGAACAGGGACAACATTTGATCGTCGTTCTGCAATATAGAAACTTAATTGAGTAAAGTTTTCTAACAGTAATTATCTTTTTCCTTACCGTAATCAGACCTGCACTCAAAGGATCACAGTCCTTGTACTTGTCGAAGAGGAGCACTCCCAAATAGCTGCAGAGCAAGATAAACCCAGCACTACCTACCGTATAAATGGCCAACGAAGCCCTAGCTTTTTTTAGGGACGGAAGCGACATATACCGATGTACCATAGTTGGGCTCACAGCATATAAGGTAACCCAGTTGAAGAAATCTCCGATGACCAATCCCCATACGGTATGCCGTACATAAAGTGACGGATCTATGTTGAAAAATTCAAGGCGTTCCCTCTGATCCAAGTCATCAAAAATAGAATCCATGCCAGTGGCATAAATGGTTCCCAGAATAGCAATGACTATAACTGAAACAAACATGATCACCGTTTGCCAAACATCCGTATGAACCACAGCTTTTAGACCTCCCTAAAAACAAGGCGTTTTAATAAAGAATATTTATGTTTAATTCAGGAGACTTACCACAATAGTATAAAAAACGCAAACCACCACAATAATTGCTTCTATTACGTAAATGTTAATTCCAGATACTGAAGCAAAAACAGTTATGCAGTGCTTATTCGATTTTTTTGATTAAGAGGCTTACCTTGGTTTAAGGATAAGGCAGGTAAATAAACCAAAAAGGGCAAGTACAACAACTAATTGAATTTGTATACAAAATTTGAATAAAAACAAGAAAGCAAAGCTAACTTCGGGCGGAGCCGAAGTTGATATACCCTTGCAGTTAAAACCGGAATATAGAATATAATCTGTACCAAGTTCCAGCTTTCTATCTTCAAAAACACGAAAGTTGGGTCATTTCCGATCGTTCAGTTATATGGCAGCTATAAGATATAGTCGGCTGATCCTAATGAAATTTCGTAGGTCGGATTAACTGACAAAAAATATAATCTGTACCAAGTTCCAGCTTTCTATCTTCAAAAACACAAAAGTTGGGTCATTTCTGATCATTTCTGATAGCTTTAAAACTGAGAGACTAGTTTGCGTAGAAACAGACAGACGGACAGACGGACATGCTCATATCAACTCAGGAGGTGATCCTGATCAAGAATATATTTACTTTATAGGGTCGGAGATGTCTCCTTCACTGCGTTGCACACTTTTGACCAAAATTATAATACCCTCTGCAAGGGTATAAAAATATGCCAAAATAGTTTTGAAAATTATCTAAAACTTACCACACCCAGAACAAAAATAATCGATACTATACTTCGAATACTTGAGTGAAAGCGCAGCTCCAAGTACTACAAATGAGGAAAATGGAGAAACTTATTAAAATTCATAAACCATTTTCAACTAATTTTCAACTTACCTCATTTGAAGAGCCAACTTTAACGGCCCAGAATACTGGCAAATAAATATAAGCGATGGCGAAATATTGTAATAAAATTGGTACAATTGTCATCCAATATTGGGTACCATAATTGTAGACCTCCGGTGGGGTACCCAAAATTGAGACACCCGATATGGAACTGATATGAAAAGAAATAAGTTAGGATGACAATTTTTTAACAATAAGATTACCTTGCTATTAGGCTCATAGCTATGGGGAAAACTCTAAGTCTACCCGATCCCATCAGGTACTCGTTTAGTTTTTCCGATCCGAAATCATGTTTTCCTCTCTGACCGGGACTGACTAATGGTATAGGTTCTTCTGGTTTTTTATTGCTCTTCCTAAAAAGAAACTCTTGTGAAGCACTCTATAGGCACGTGTGAAGTCTGAAATACTAACTTGATGTATCCATAATATATTCCTGTGGCCGTGGACACTATTATCATGCCCAGAAACACGACATAGTCTACGATACCGAACTTGTTGCCGTCCATACTCTAGCTCGTGTGATCAAAGAATGCGCAAGATTTGAAGAAGTTTATAGCTTTAAACCAGAGAAGTAGATTTCAAAAAAAAAAAAAACTTGTTTACTACACCAAATTAGGCTTTATGTTGGGTATAAACGATATGTTATAATTTGAGTAGGTGGAAAGTATTTTAACAAATATTTTAAAACGTGGCATTTATTCTTAAATATATTTGGGTATACCTTGAAGAGGGTATTCTAGTTTTGGTTAAAAGTGAGCAAAACAGTAAACGAGGAATCTCCGAACCCTATGAAGTCTGTTTCTCAAAGCACAAACTAGTTTCTCAGTTGTAAAGCTATCGACTATCGAAATTTTACATACACCCTTCTTTCCTTTGCTAGCAGTAAATAAGTCGGAACGGCCGGGTTCTGCCGAATGTATCCTATAACTGCCATATTCTTGGCAGCTGCTGTATTTTTAAAGCTGCGAAAAAATCTAAAAAAATATTTTGTCTCAAGACTTTGATGCAGAACGGTGGAGAATCGATCCAGAAATCGTTTAAGGTACTCCGCTTGAGAATCGGATCAGGATTGGGAAAGATATAGTCATCACTGTAGGCCCTATAGGGGAAAACAACAATTTCAAGGGATCATCACGAAAAATGATCAAAAAATCTAAAAAATATTTTGTCTCAGGATTTTGATGTAGAATGGTGGAGAATCGATCCAGAAATCGTTTAAGGTACTCCGCTTGAGAATCGGATCAGGATTGGGGAAGATATAGCCATCACTGTGGCCATATAGGGGAAAACCACAATTTCAAGGGATCATCACGAAAAATGATCAAAAAATCTAAAAAATATTTTATCTCAGGATTTTGATGCAGAATGGTAGAGAATCGGTCCAGAAATCGTTTAAGGTACTCCGCTTGAGAACCGGATCAGGATTGGGGAAGATATAGCCATCACTGTGGGCCATATAGGGGAAAACCGCATTTTCAAAGGATATCATAACCCATCCTGTGGGAAATGGCTTACCTGGGGTTTTTTTGAAGGTAGAGTGTTGGGATTTTCTTTATATTTTAATTTTGGGCAATCGATCTGACCAACCAAACCCATAGTTGCCATATAACTGAACAGTCAAAAATGATCCAAATTTGGTATTTTTAAAGATAGCAGCTTGGGACATTTTTAAAAACATTTTATTATAAGAATTTTGTTTCATTACTACGTTTTTTTAAGGATCTGCCAACTATTTCCGATATTCGCGTTATATATCCGATCTTAAATGCAAGGGTATATAAACTAAGTCTTCTCCCTTAGAAAGAAAAGTTAGCTTTCCTTTCTTGTTTTTTTAAAAGGTTTCTTAGACTTAGATTTAATATGTAAATATTTATTAATTGGCTGTTTATCCTTGACCATCAATGTTTGTCTTTTTCTTTGGTAGGAATCTGTAAAGAGTAGAGTAGATAATAATTGTAACAAGTTCTTTAAGGTCTTATTTACCTGTGAATAACCGGGGATAACAGATCTGGATTAATCGTCCTTATGTTGGTGGGTTTTGTCACGAGGGATACCAAGGATCCAACGACTAAAACTGTAGTAACTCCAATTAAAATTAGCCAGTGATAAGATATTCGGTAAAGTGCCAACACATCCTCCTCGTTTACCCAAGTACTTTCCACTAGGGTCACATTACCATCACATCCATCCACGGACATGGGACGTTTCTGAGAATTCAACTGTCCTGATGCCGCTGCAAACTGAGATCCGAGGGTTATCCATCCGGATAGAAGGACCCCGGCGAGGGCCCCGATTGCCGTGCCCAGGGTGTTGGCCCAAGGAACTAACATTCCAAGAGTGAATATGCCAAAAGCAGCGATAGCTGTTATGGACACAACTGCAGTGCAGACACTTAGAATACCACTAAGTTTTTCCAAGACCAGGGCCAGAGCCATGGAAAGAACTCCAATGACTATAATGCTGGATTTAACAATGATATTGGACATCCTTTCGCTTGGACGCATTTTGAAGCAGCCTCTGAAGATGTCCTCCAGAATCACCAAGGAGGTGGAGTTGTAATACACCGAGAGCGAGCTCAAGCCTGCTCCAAAGATTCCGGCTATGAACAAACCCGGCAGCCCGTAAATGTCACCCACACTCTGGACCACAAACAAGGATAACATTTGATCGTCGTTCTGCAATATAGAAACTTAATTGAGTATCGGTGTACTATACCTTAATCTTAATAACACATTATCTTTTTCCTTACCGTAATCAGACCTGCACTCAAAGGATCACAGTCCTTGTATTTCTCGAACAGGAGCACTCCCAAATAGGTGCAAACAAAGATAAACCCAGCACTACCCACACAATATATAGCCAACGAAGCTCTGGCTTTATTTAGGGAAGGAAGTGACATGTACCGATGTACCACAGTTGGGTTAACAGCACTGAAGGAAATCCAGTTTAAGGATTCCCCGAAGACCAAGCCCCAAACGGTATGCCGTACATAAAGTGACGGATCAATGTTGAAAAATTCAAGGCGTCCCCTCTGATCCAAGTCATCAAAAATAGAATCCATGCCAGTGGCATAAATGGTTCCCAGAATAGCAATGACTATAACTGAAACAAACATGATCACCGTTTGCCAAACATCCGTATGAACCACAGCTTTAAGGCCTCCCTAAAAATAGAAAATTTATAACCATAACCATAATTTAAAAATTCGTAATATTTAAAAAAAAATTAACTTACCACAATTGTGTAAAAAACGCAAACCACCACAATAACTGCTTCTATTATGTAAATGTTAATTCCAGATACTAAAGAAAACAAACAATGTAATTTTTTTTAGATTTCTTTGAAAAAGAGGCTTACCTTGGTTCAGCGATAAGGCAGGTAAATAAATCAAAAAGGGCAAGTACATCAGCTAAATTATAAATAATAAATTATGTAAAGTTGGGAAACTTATTTTTGAAAGTGATATAAAACTTACCACACCTAGAACAAAAATAAGCGAAACTATACTCCGAATACTGGAGTGAAAGCGCAGCTCCAAGTACTAAAATTTACGAAAATTTTAAATATTTACAACATTTTTTCACTGAGCACTAACCTCATTCGAAGAGCCAACTTGAAGAGTCCAAAATACTGGCAAATAAATATAAGCAGTTATAAAATACTCTAGTAAAATTGGTACAACAATAATCCAATATTGGGTTCCATAGTTGTAGACCTCTGGCGGGGTACCCAAAATTGAGACACCCGATATAGAACTATGGAATTAAAATAAATGAATAAAATCAGACAATTTGTTTAAAATACCATTACCTTGCTATAAGACTCATAGATACTGGAAAAACCTTAAGACTGCCCGATCCCATCAGGTACTCGTTTAGCTTTTCCGATCCGAAATCATGTTTTCGTTTCTCTCCAGAACTGATTGATGGTAAAGGTTCTTCTGGTTTTTTATTGCTTTTCCTAAAAGAGCATTTTTAAAACACCTTTTTAGCTTAGAAACATAACTTACTTGATGTATCCATAATATATTCCTGTGGCCGTGGACAATATTAGCATGCCCAGAAACACGATATAGTCTACGGTGCCAAATCTGAAAATGTCCATACTCTAGCTCGTCTCATCAGGGAATGCTGAAGGTTTTAAATCAGGTTAATGGTTTAATCAGACACGGAGATTTCCAAAAAATTAGTTTACTACATCCAATTAGACTTTATGATGGCTATAAATGATATGTTATCATCTACGAAGTTGTAAAGTATTTTATCAAATATTTCAAAACGTGTCATTTATTCTTAAATGTGAAAATTGTGCTTAGTTTTAGTATATATTATTGTAGAGTTCATTTTTATTTTAAACTTGATATGTTTGGATTTGGTGAATTAATCTAAGAGGTGTATAGACAAACCACATCACGAAAAATGGACAAAAAATCTAAAAATATTTTGTGTCAGGATTTTGATGCAGAATGGTGGGGAATCGACCCGTTTAAGGTACTCCGCTTGAGAATCGGATCAGGATTGGGGAAGATATAGCCATCGCTGTGGGCCCTATAGGAGAGGATATCCTATAGCTGCCATATAACTGAACAATTGAAAAAAGTATTTGGTATTTGGTATATCTACTTCAGTATTTTTGAAAATTGGATTTATAATAAAATTTTTATAAGGCCTACCGTATGCGCCATTTGCGATAAATATTCGATCTTAACTGCAAGGGTATATCAACTTTGGTTCCGCCCGAAGTTAGCTTTCCTCTCTTGATTCCTAATAATTTAATAATTTAAAGGAACATTTATTTGCATACATTTTTGATTTGATTTAATATATATTTTTTGACAATTTATATTTATCATGATGTCATTATTACCATGATACCCTCCAGCTAAGAGAGCCTCTTTCAAAAAAGATGATAGGTCTTTCTAAACCTTCCTCTGAATATTTTAATTCGCAAGTAATCGTATAGTTCAAATACTTCCTATTTGTTCCTGTCCATCAAGGTTCGTCTTTTTCTTTGGTAAGAATCTGTAGAGAAGAAAAGTAAATACTAATCCTATAAAGTTTATTGGAGTTTTTTACCTGTGAATCACCGGCGATACTAGATCCAGATCAATGGTCCTTATGTTATTGGGTTTCGTCACAAGAGATACCAATGATCCCACAACTACAACTGTAGTAAATCCAACTACATTAAGCCAGTGGTAGGAAATCCGGTAAAGTGGCAACACGTCCTCCTCGTTCACCCAAGTAGTTTCCAGAAGCGTTACATTACCTTCACATCCGTCCACGGACATGGGACGTTTCTGCGAATTCAACTGTCCAGATGCCTCTGCAAATTGTGACCCGAGGGTTATCCATCCGGAAAAAGGACCCCGGCGAGGGCACCAATTGCCGTGCCCAGGGTGTTGGCCCAAGGAACTAGCATTCCAAGGGTAAATATGCCAAATGTTGCACTAGCTGTTATGGATACAATTGCAGTGCAGGCACTCAGAATGCCACTTAGTTGTTCCAAAATCAATGCCAGGCCCATGGATAGGACTCCAATGACAATTACGCTCGATTTAACAATGATATTGGACATTCTTTCACTCGGGCGCATTTTGAAGCAACCTCTGAAGATGTCCTCCAGAATCACCAAGGAGGTGGAGTTTAAATAAACCGAGAGCGAGCTCAAGCCTGCTCCAAAGATTCCGGCGATGAATAGACCCGGAAGCCCGTAAATGTCACCCATGCTCTGCACCACAAACAAGGACAACATTTGATCGTCGTTCTGCAATATAGAAACTTAATTGACTAAAGGTTTACTAACAATATTTATCTTTTTCCTTACCGTAATCAGACCTGCACTCAAAGGATCACAGTCCTTGTACTTGTCGAACAGGAGCACTCCCAAATAGCTGCAGACCAAGATAAACCCAGCACTACCCAGAGAATAGATAGCCAACGAAGCTCTGGCTTTATTTAGGGACGGAAGCGACATATATCGATGTACCATAGTTGGGTTTACGGAATTTACAGATATCCAGTTAAATAGTTCCCCGACAATAATACCCCAAACTGTATGTCGTATATAGAGTGACGGATCTATGTTAAAAAATTCAAGGCGTCCCCTCTGATCCAAGTCATCAAAAATAGATTCCATGCCAGTGGCATAAATGGTTCCCAGAATAGCAATGACTATAACTGAAACAAACATGATCACCGTTTGCCAAACATCCGTATGAACCACAGCTTTTAGACCTCCCTAGAAAACGACATTACTATAATTTAATAATACTTAAAATTTCAAAAAAATTAACTTACAACAATGGTATAAAAAACGCAAACCACCACAATAACTGCTTCTATTATGTAAATGTTAATTCCAGATACTGAATAAAAATGGGGTGCAATACTTCTTAGATTTGTTTAAAAAAATGGGCTTACCTTGGTTCAACGATAGGGCCGGTAGATAAACCAAAAAGGGCAAGTACATCAGCTAAATTAAGTTTATAAAAAATTATAAAACCAACTTTTGAAAATCCCCCAAATCTTACCACACCCAGAACAAAAATTAGCGAAACGATACTCCGAATACTTGAGTGAAAGCGCAGCTCCAAGTACTAAAATTTGGGAAAACTTTACATCTTAGTCAAAAACTTGTATTATAGTACCAACCAACCTCATTCGAAGAGCCAACTTGAAGAGCCCAAAATACTGGCAAATAAATATAAGCAATTATAAAATACTCTAGTAAAATTGGTACAACAATAATCCAGTATTGGGTACCATAGTTGTAGACCTCTGGTGGTGTACCCAATATTGAGACACCCGATATAGAACTATGGAATTAAAATAAATGAATAAAATCAGAAAATTTGTTTAAAATACCATTACCTTGCTATAAGACTCATAGATACTGGAAAAACTTTAAGACTGCCCGATCCCATCAGGTACTCGTTTAGCTTTTCCGATCCGAAATCATGTTTTTGCTTCTCTCCACAACTGATTGATGGTAAAGGTTCTTCTGGTTTTTTATTGCTTTTCCTGAAGAAGCATTTTTAAATCACCTTGTTTACTTAGAGAAGTCAAAAATACTAACTTGATGTATCCATAATATATTCCTGTGGCCGTGGACAATATTATCATCCCCAGAAACACGATATAGTCTACGGTGCCAAATCTGAAACTGTCCATACTCTAGCTCGTCCCATCAGAGAATGCTAAAGTTTAAATCAGGTTACAGGTTTAATCAGACACGGAGACTTCCACAAATTAGTTTACTACATCCAATTAGACTTTATAATGGCTATAAATGATATGTTATCACCTACATACAAAGTTGAGATGTATTTTATCAAAACGTGGAATTGATTCTTCAACGTGATTTCTTAATAGTAGCCTAATCATTTACAACAGTAGTGGGGTATGTAAAACACGCACACATGTTTTACATTTGGGTAAGCAGCAAAAATTTTTGCCAAAAAAAAAAACCATGATAGTAGGGCATTCACTGAGCAAAAAACTTTCTTTTTTATTTCGTTTTTCGTTACTTTAAAAGTTTAAAGTGTCCATTCGAAATAGTCCTTTTTATATCAAATAAAGCAACAGTTCGTAAACAAATGGATATGGACTATGAATATTTTCTATGGAGAACTTTTGTTCCAACCAAATTTCTGAGATAATTTTTCTCAGTGAAAAATACATTTTTTTAATTTTTAGGCTATCAAGCAAGGGAAGCAAAATAAGAGAAAATGAAAGAGATTCTAAATAAATTTGAGCGTCCCAAGACTATCTGTGTGCCGGCAGCGCTGCACCAGAATTTCCGACCCTATGCACGAGGTGCTATCCAAAATGAGAGTTTGCTCACTACTGACTGCACACTGGTCCCAATGCCCAATATTTTGGCCAGAAACACATTTTTTTAGGAAAATATTAGTGAAGGTATTTAAAATTTAAGTGTTGTGTTAATTTAAATTTGCTATTGTAAAGTTGAATATTTAATAATAAATAAAAGGCTTTTGGACTGTAAACGCAGTATTGTTTTTGAATTTATTTACAATTACAATACGATGACACCAACCCAAACAAAAATCATGAAATGAAAGCTAACTCCTGGAGCTTAGATCATATACATTTATATCGCAAATATATGATATAGTTGGCCGATCCGAAAAACTCCAAAGCTTCTATCTTCAAAAATACCAATGTCGACCGAACCATTGGAAATTTGATGTCGTTTTATTTTGTTATAAATCAAATCCACAGAAAATCCCAACGCTTAAACTTTTAAAAAATAAATCAGCTATAAGATATATTCGGCCGATCCCGTCCGTTCCGACATGTATGGCATGTTTCTCGTCCGTAGCTTAATTTTTTCTAATTTATGCAATTTAATTTTGGGACCATAATGCATAGATTTAAAAAAAACGAGAACATTTATTTTACAATAAAATTGTGCTTAGATTTAGTATACATTTTTGTATAATTCATTTTTAGTTTAAACTTGATATGTTTGCATTTTGTGAGTTCATTCCATTCTGATATCATTAAGATGATACTCTTAAATAAGAAAAGGATAAAGGTTGAGAAGCCTTTCGGTTTTTCTTTAAAATATTTTTCTAAATTGATATATTTATTTTTTTAGTTTATGTTCGAAAGTGATAAATTTGATATGTTGATATGTTTACGATTTACTTTCCACTCTTTCCTCTTAATATCTTAATATGTAAATAAAATAGTCCTTAAAATCTAATAAGTGCTCCATTGATATGTATCGATTTCGATTTGTGGATCAACAAGTTGAATTCTTTAACCTAAATTCGACTAACTTTACAGAGATAACATCGCTAAAATGCGGTCGTTTCCAGTTGGGGTTAACCTGGAGGTTGTGGCTATCTTTTCGTTCTGGTTGGGGGGTGGCATCTTAACTACTTATCACAGTTTCAATGGGGCTTTCAATTTACAATCCTAGAATTCTCCAGCTTTTGGGGGAATCACTGTCCCACAGGCTTCCTTAAAATTGGTGGCATTTAGTGGACTGAAGTAATCCTCGTGCAGAAAGCGAATAATGTTCTCTATCGGACACAGATCGGCTTTGTTGCCTCTGGAGTCCCTGGTAACTCGAAGACTCTTTCCGCCCTCGCAGAAATCAATCTGCTGGGTTACATCCTTGCCGTTGTACACTACACGAAAATAGTAATCCGTGTGGGCTTCACTTCGATACACCTCGAAGGCCAACCGAGAGGCATATGATATAGTCTGACCTTGGCTAGTGATGATTCCCAAGGCAGCTGTCAAGTATTGCATTGTGCAATCATGTCCGGAATATAAAACGAATTTGGTTCGATCTCCGGATATCATTTTCAGCATGTAGCTAACGATATGCCGTATCATTCCATAGGCCCGAAGTAAACCGGAAAGCTTGTAGTACGAGTGGCTAGCCGATCTTATAGATAGTTCATCAGCAAAGGACATGAGGGTGTCCACGTGAGCGGCTTCGACACAGCCCTCTTGGGGTTCCTCCTCCGCTTGCATCTGGGGATTTCCTCCGTTTTCAACCTCTGGAGAATCGGGTTCCTGCTGGTTCTGAGCCTCCTAGAAAGTTTATACATTTTTAGAATAAAAAAACTTAAAAAATGAAATAAAAATTATTTTAAAACCTGCAACAAGTTGGCAGCCGTTTCGTCCTGATCTATATTGATTACATCCACCAGCTCCTGATTGGGATTCTTTTTTTGTGGCTTTGGAGTGGCAAAACGCTTTTTCCTGCGACACGGCAAAGCAGCATCGTGGCACAAAACAGTCAGCAGGGCATCCACCACCTCAAAGGGATTACTGATTCCATTCGGTGTATGCTGCATAAGGGTGCCGCCGATCCATTGCATCACTCCCAGCACATCGGATCGCTTCAGTAACTGCTTGTCTCCAATGGCTTCCAATCGCTTTCGAAGCAGCGCCGACTGGGAGCAACTGCATTCTCCGAAACAGAAGGCCATACTATGGGATTCCTGGACATTCAATGCCAACCACTTATCCGTCGGCAGGAGGGAGAACAACATGGCCAAAGCAGACTGAAAAGTGCGACGATAGCGAGTGGTGAACACCACCACTTCATCCGAGTTGAGCAGAGTGTGTGGTGTTGTCTCCACCGAAGCACGATTGGGATTGGGTTTGAGAAGCAGACCCAACGGATGGGCATAAACTTGATGCATTATGTCGCCCACATGGAGTAGCTGCGAGATTCCCCTAGAAATACAATGGAATGATTACCAAACTCGATTATGGTCGGCATATGTATGTCACTTGTATGTAAGCTGTCCCAAAGGACATCCCCTCTCTGTGGCCGGAAGCAATGGGAATCCATGGAAAGGACCCACTTTGTTCCAGTACATATGATTCGAGCCCGAGGCGGAACTGCTCGAATTATACAAAAAGCTTCGATATCTGAAAGAAAAGAGATCTTAATATAATAATCTTTTTTCTATGGATACTCACCTATTAACCAGGTTATCCGTTCCTCCACTCACTCCGCAATTGATGCCAGCACTGCGGACATGTGATATGGGTCCGCGATCCCCGTGCCTGATGACCAGGAGCACGCCCTGTAGCTTCCAACCCTCCAAGATGCCGCCATCATCCAAGCGCTGTAGCTGCGACAGCGGTGCACAACGTTCTCTGTACTTCGCAAATCGTTGGACAGTTGAGGAGGAGCCCTGGGATTCGCCGCCCAAGGAACTGACGGTGCCAGATGAGCTGGGTCCAAAGACGGAACCACTTCCTGGTATAGTATCAACGTTGCCCATGTAGCGATACATGCCTAAAAATAGATTCCATATAGTATTTTTATTAGACTTTTAATATATTTTCTTTAACTTACCCGCAATGAGCAGGAATATCCAGATGCTGAGCAACACATAACAATACAAAGCTCGATGTTGGGTGGCCAAGCGCATCAGTTCCTTGAGCAGCCGCATCCTGGCCAGCAAATCTGGCTCCCAAACTACCTTTTACCTGCTGCTGCCCCGAATCCCAGCTCCTCCCTTTAATCATTAACTGGATGGGCGGCTCTCTTGGAGGGTCTTTTTTGGTAGCCTAATCCTGACCAGAGCGAAGTAAACAAGTATTTTCTGGACAGAGCTGGCTACGGAAAACCTGGTTTGATTTTTTTTGTGTAGAACCAAGAAGTGGCTCAGCTGTCAATGGTCGACGTGGAGTAAATCAGGGCATGCGCATTGGTGTCCACCGCGTTGTCAGCTGTTCCGTCAGGGGTGGTGGCTTAAGGGGCGGGTTTTTATTAGGGCTTTAAATTAATGAAACCTTGGCTTTGCTCAAAACATAATTTAAAACAAATATTTAAGGCTCAGCATCAAGCTTGAGATTACTCTTTAATATAACATACTGAAGTGTTCCCAATACAATAAAGTAGCTTTGGCTCACAGCGAAATAAATATGCGTAAACTGTTGGCTGTTTTTGTTTTGTTTGGCCGAAAGGCGGGGCTTCAAACGCCTCTTCAGCCTGGTTAGTTAGTATCAAATACATTGTTTATGTGGCTGATCCGAGATCGTGGTGGTATAATTCATATAAAATATTTGTCGATCAAAACGATGTCTAATCCTGCGCAGCAGTCAAGGCCAGTACAGTGAAGCGCACCTCGGTGGGATCGCGAGCCATGAATTCCTTGCACACTTTGGCAGCATCCTTGACGAAAGTCTCGTCCGAAGTGGAACCATGCTTAATCGGGAATGATTTGCGCCCATCGAGCTCGTAAAGAGTTCCCTCCTTGTTCACCAATGCGATGAAGTGATGGATGACCTTCTCATGATCGGCAGCATTAGTTTGGCCCTCCTGAGCCAAGGCCTGATGATCGGCAGTAAAGTCCTTATCCTGCTCCAAGGCTTGTCCACGCTCCTCTGGCGACAAGTTGGCAGTCTTCTCCAGGAAACTCTTCAGTACTCCACTTTCAATAGTCACACTGAAATTTTATTGTTAAGTTTTAAGTTTTATAGAAATGTTTAAAGGTACCCACTCCTTGTTGTTGGCCAGGCTGTGGATGAGGGCCACAGTGCCGCAGGCATTGTGGGTGAACTGGCGCATGTAGAATAGATCACCGGGGTGCTGCTCATCTGCCAGCTTAACCCGCTCGTGCTCTTCGGCCCGATGCTTCTCATACTGTAATACAAATAATTAATTGGATCATAAAATAAAGGGTAGGAATATACTTACAGTTTCGCTGATAGGAAAGAGTAGTATAAAAGCCTTCACGGGACGAGGAATCCAAGCCAAAGTCTCCTCCTCCAATCCGATGACGTCAGTCACCGACCAGGATGGCGACACGCCCAATTTATGTATGTACTTCGACAGTACCTGGAGTATGAGAAGAAAATTGGGTTTTTTTCCAGTTAATTTTTGCCAATTCCAAAGGAATCATATTTTTGGCAAAAAAAAGCTTTGCGAAGTTGAAGCTATTGAAGCTGTGCTCCGGCTGGACTTATAGCTTACCTCGGGGTTGGATTCTAAAGGTGTCCAGGTCGACATTTTGCTAGAATTTTGATTTAACTGTGCTCTGAATGAAATTTCAAAGTAAATGCAAAGATTGAAAAAGTTGTATAGACAATTACCGGCACTTTTGTCGTCTAGTGTTGAAAAGCTTCGAATCAGACTCTGCAAAACAGTAAAAGTTATCGATAGGATCGACTAGTTTTAACATAGATCGTAGAAATTGATAAAAAATTAATCATTTAAGTGATAAATAAGTTTATTTTGAAAATATTTCAAATATTTTTGCAGTTTGTACAAGTTTCTAAAAGCAAATCTTTATGCTAGTATTTTAGCAATAGAAATAAACAGTTTTTCATAGGGAGTGGTAACCCTGTCACGTTGTTTACAAAATGTCCAAAGGGAATAAAACACCTCAAAAGAGCAAGGATCCTAATTCGAGTTCTCCGTTGACGCCAGTACGGTGTAAGTTAAAAAACTACATATTTAAGCCCTTAATTCACAGACAATTTACAGATCTGGACAGCCCAATACAGCAGTCGCCTACAAGCCATGATTCAAACCTCGCCACCTGCAGAACGAGATTGGAATCCTTGGTGAAACAACTCCAGGATAACTATGCCAAATGGAAACTAGCCCAGCAACGTGGAACCTCTATTTGTTATGCCATTGAAGCCAAGAAGACCAAATGCCTGGAAAACGGAGCGGGCACGTCATATCCAGACGATCTTATTTTGCCTTGTAATAAGTTGGCCATTATAGCCTCCATATTTCGGGACATAGCCATCAAGACGAAAGAGATTTTAAGGCAACTAAGAGCTCTTTGCAAACTGCCAGGAGCTGCTGCCGATACGATATATTACAAGTCCTGGAAACTTCCTCAATTTGTGGCGTTTACCAAAGAGTTATCAGGCAGATACGAACAAGAGGCTGTGATTAAGCAAAGAGTGGCGGGTTAGTTCTATCATTTTGCAAGCAAATCATAAGACTAAACTCCTTTTGGACTTTTTCAGAAAATATAGCTCACTCAACGGATAGAAGTGAACTCATCGCCCACACAACTTTCTGGGAGTTTCCCGAATACGTAGATTCCTATGTTCAGTTCGGATTTCTTATTTTGTCTGAAGAAGTCACTTTTAAGCAATAAAAATTTAAATTAATATTAGTACATTTTTTATGTTGGGCAGAAAACTTCATTACATCTTATAACACTTTAGCTTATTCTAGGCAGTAAACTTTGTTGGAGCTATTAAATAAGTTTAACACAGTATAAAACTCGAACTGTAGCTCCTTAAACCTATAGGAATGCTTATATGTGATAAATGCTTTGTTGGTTTGTGCTTATGTCTGAATTGAGATCCTCTCCAGGCGGGGAACGCTGTGGAACTTGGTCCACCACCAAAACCAAGTGCAGGAAAATCCCACAGCAAGGGCAGTAAAGTACAGTATAGTGGCAATGCTAAACTTTTTCTGTTAAATTAAAAATATTATATTTTGAAGAAGGTTTGAAGAGGAAAATACGTACCTTTTTGGTAGCTTTAGCTTCAGCCTCCTGCTTTTTCCACTGAATCTGGGCATTGTCCTGAATTTCTCGTAGATCCTTGGCTATCTCATCCGTAATCTTCTTTACGCTCTTGAGCGTTTCTAAAGCGAAGCTGCTGGCATAATTCTTATCGCCGACGACCACATCTTCTGGCGGCATCACTTGAAGCTTGTAGTTCGTGGCAGCCATGGAGGCCCTTAGAGACATAAAATGACCGCCAGCATTTTCAATAATTTTGTTGTTAAAGTTTCTTGCAATTGGGTCATTACAGATCTCCTCATAGCTGGGATCTTGGTTAGGCATTTTGGCAAAAATCTTGAGAAGTTCTTTGCGCTGGTTGGCATGCTTGAAACCAAATAGGTCCAGATCTTCGTTGGAAAGTGACGCCAGGTCTCTGCAGCTGATGTTCTCGTCAATCAATTTATCCACACAGTCTGTGACATAGTCTGCCTCTACTGTTTGTGCAACGAGTGCGCTTAGAATTTCACGCTCACGACGCGGGTCCCTCCGGAAAGTCTGCTTTATCCATGGGCGACGCTCATATCCGATAAAAGACTTATCCAAATCCTGGTGGTGCGGGCGCGTATGGAAGTCCTTGTTGATATCAAACTGTACTGCCGATGGTATGCTGGCTGGGGCCAAGTCAGGTATATCTTTTGAGGACATAGTTGGCTCTGAGATTGGTAATACTGAGTAAACAAGTGCAATCAATCTTCCATTTAAATGCAAATGGTTGCACTTGGTCGGATGTTATACAACACTGGAACATCTTTGTGGTGGGTCAGGATTTCTTAGTGATGAGAGAGTACAGAAAATAAATTGATAAAAAAAATGTACTTTTATTTTAGGTATTTCTTTAATTTTTAGTTTAATATAATTTCATTCATTTTAAATAAATATTTTATTTTTAAAAAGCCACCTTTTCGGCCCTCCAATATAATTCACAAACAAAAAAATAAGTTAAATGCTTAAAATGTATATTTTAAAGCGTAACAAATTGCAAAACACATAAGAAAAATCCCTAACTATCTTTTTTGTCGCCCTGCGGCTGTGGTCTATACAACGGGGTACTGGTGGTGGCTGCTTCCTGTAGTTTCTTCATAAACAAAGCCTTTTTCTGTTCATCTGCAGTAAGTTTAGACCCAGAAGCAGAGGCCTTGATGCGGTCTATTTTCTCGGCGTTCGGTTCGGTGAGCAGCATCAGGCCATAACCCATGCCACCGAAACCTATTAGCCACAGGACAGACTTAAAGTAGGGATTTCCAGACATATCTATGAGTCGCTCTTTTTCAAGGCACTCCAATAATTCGCATCCGTTTGCCTGGCCTTGCTGTCACCCACAATTTCTCCGATTTTGTAGTAGTAGTCAAGGACGAACGGATAGTTTTCGTGTATGTGCTGGCGGAATTCTAAAAAAGACATGGTTTTTAATAAAATTACCATAAATAAGGTTCTTATATAAAATAGGGACTCCTTACCTCGGTTTGTGTTCATGCGGTAATAGACTCCGTAGCTGGCGGCAAAGCACACCGCCTCTAGGACAAACAGAGTCTTGGCACTACCCTTGATGAATCTCCAGATGGCGGGCTTTGGGGTTTTGGGCAGCATTACAAAATAAACAAAAGTTAAACACGTTTATTGGAGCGATAATAACATAAAAGAAAGTGCTTACGCAGTTAACAGTGGAGCAGTGTTGGATAACAGCTGGAGGAATCAGCTGATCGGCCGGTCATCTTCCTCTTTCTGCTTAGTGTTTATCTCACGTTTTTGTTTTTGCACTGATAACGCGACGCAATTAGCCCGAGTGAAAAAAAACTGTTTTTCTTATGGAAACTCAACTACGATGAGTGGAAATATACACGGCCTTAGCTGGTTTCCGCATTTTCCGGACAAATTTGTGTCCTGGGGCCAGGAGATTCATCTGTACGAGGTGCGCAGCAAAGAGGACCATAACCAAAAGAGTAAGACCCAGCCATATGCTTGGGTTTCTCTTGTTTAATGTTTATTTATTTCAGGTCGCCTGCCTTATATATCTGTTAACTATCTCGCCAATGAAACGCGCTATCAATATGCACGCTGTGTGGCTGCTTCCTATCACAGTGACCAACCCATTATAGCTGTGGGCCTTGCAGATGGAAAAGTAGGAGTTTGCAACTTCCGGGACACCTACGACAGCAGCTGGGAATACAGTGGGTGGTCCTCTTATAAATGGAGAAATTATATTATTTTATATTATGCTATATTCTATATGAACCACTTAATATTTCGTAGCTCCCCGCCAGCAGCGCATGTGCACATGCCTGGCCTGGAATGAACTGGATGCCAATATTCTGGCCATAGGTCATGATCGCCATCGTAATGACACCTGCATCACCATCTGGGATATCGAGAGGGGTGTCCCCAAGGAGACGGCCAACTTTTTCGGGGTTGGAGAATCCGCCAACTCCCTTTGCTGGGATCGGAACTATCGTACTGTGATCGCGGGAATGAGCCAGAAAATGATCAAGTTGTTCGATCTAAGACGTGAGTCGGTTTATTTGAGGTGTAGCTCTAACTAATCTCTGTAATCTTGTTTAAACTTTCCGCAGAGAGCAACGCTACCTGCCAGAGCATTCAAACGAAGACGGTTCAGGGTCTGTCGGTTTCCCCCAACGGCAACTACCTTTGCAGCTATGTGGACTCTGTGATCACTCTGTGGGATCCGCGTACCATTAAGAGTCCCCTGCGACAGATTCAGTCATCAAAGAATCACCTTCAGATTGCCTGGTGCCCGACAAGAACCAGTTTGCTGTCCTCCTTGCAAAGGGATTCGGCGTATATTACTTTATACGACATCCGGAGCGTGGATAATGAAAATTCTGGCGAGATATATCATGTGAAAAGACAGATAAGCCCATTTCCGGCTAAATACGAGCACAGTGGGAAATTCTCTTATGTCAATAGCCTCTCCTGGCACTCGAGAGATTTCGAGAGGGCTTTGCTTGTGGCGGATGCCGTGAATATCCTGGACTTTCACTTGCCCGCCACTTTGCATACGGCTCACAGTAACCGCCGGAAGCTGCCACTACTGATGCAACGACCACTATTTACACCTGCCTCGCCTGCCTCCACAAATGCAGCCACACCCACTCAGCAGCTACCGACGAGTAGCTGTAGCACAAACAGCGGCAGCTCACTGGATTTCAGCACTCCTGGCGGTTCAGCCTTAAATGTAGATTTTTTAGAACCAGAACTCTTTGAACTGGATTTGGTGGACGAGACACGACAGCGAGCTTTGGAGGATTACGGGATTCGACCGGACAATAAAAAATTCGCAGAGCTACACTTAACTCCATACCTGCGAAATGTGTGGACCACGCTGAACAATGTATATTCTGACGAACGACTGACCGGACTGAAAGCCACCTTAGGCATCAATCTGGGTCACACCTCAGAGGCTCTGATGGCCAGCTCCCGCATTGAATCTCAGGTTCTCCAATGGCCGGAGGGCATCAACAACTCCAACAAGCTAGTATGCTACAGAAGCGAGCAGCGTGACATGGCCCTGCAGCTCTGCGGGTGGGTCTTTGAGCACGAGCTGGAACGTTTTATTGAGCAACTGTATGCCAACAAGGAGTACAGCCGAGCGGCCATGATTTATGTGTTCCACCTTAAGATCTTCCATGCCTGTAACATCCTATCCTCGGCAGCGGATAATATGCGAGATCCGAGTATGTACAGGGTCACGGTTATTGCCTTGTCCAGCTTCAATGCCGATCGCTGCAGCTCCACTTGGCGGAATCAGCGCTCCAGCGCCAATATGCAGATTCAGGATCCACATCTCCGAGCCATATTCTCGTTTCTCACTATGGAGAAGGATAATTTCGATGCGGTGCTCAAAGAAGAGGGCGTCTCACTGGCGGATCGCGTGGCCTTTGCCTGTAAATATTTATCGGAAACTAAGCTGGCGGACTATGTGAAGCAGCAGATCCAGGCGTCCATTGAGAACGGCGATCTGAATGGCCTGCTGCTGACTGGAGAATCCCTCGATGGGATAAGTATTCTTCAGTCCTACATGGACATTAGCTTTGATGTGCAGGTATAGACATTATATAGAAAAAATGTCCTACTCCTTTAAAAATCTTATCATTCCTCTTTTAGACTGTAGCCCTGGTGGCCATCAATTACTTCCGCCAAGAGCACTTTTCGGACAAACGCATCCAGTACTGGATCGCCAGCTATCTGGACCATTTAAACAGCTGGGGTCTGTGGGAGAAGCGAGCCGAACTGGACATCAAAATCGAAGGCATTCGTGCTTCGTCACGGAGCTCCCGAACTGTTTTCCTCTCCTGCAACTTTTGCGGGAAGTCCGTCTCTAATGCCTTATTGGATGAGCCGCGTCCACGTAGCACCACCACAAGCACCAATCGTCTCTCCTCCTGCCCCAGCTGTCGGAAGCCGTTGCCACGCTGCTCGCTATGCCTGATGCACATGGGCACCATGGTGAACATGAGCAACGGTGAAACTCCGAATAGCACACCAGAGGTGTCCGGCTGGCAAACAAAACCCTTTTCCAAGTGGTTCTCCTGGTGCCAGACTTGCCGACATGGCGGCCACACCGAGCATATCATGCAATGGTTCAAGTATGTCTAGAAACTGATATTTGATTAGAAAATATTATTAACCTACTGTGGATTTTCAGGCAAAATTCAGAGTGTCCTGTGTCTTCATGCAACTGCCGGTGCTTCGACATGGACGGCACCAAGCCGAATACTTTAAGAGACATTTCCTAGCTGTTCATCCGCAGCCACGACTCCACACTCTGCATCCAGACCATGCCATATGCATTAAGTTGTTGACTTGTTCCAAATGCGCGCGCCTTAAACTAAACAAAAAAAAAACTCAGAAGTGTTCATTGTACTTAGACATGGGATGTGCCCGTAGCATTAGTGTTTATGACCTATCAGCTTTTAGCTGCTCAATTGCATTTTATACTTACATTCAAATAAAGGACTATAAAAATAAAATTTTTTTTTTCCATCTAGTTGGCTTTGGAAAAATAAAAGGTGACGTTTTTATGACATCTAGTTGGCTTTGGAAATGTCAACTCTTTTCGTCCACTGACATTTGAGAGCAGTGACTGGCAGCTCTGTCATAAAAGAAAAGATTTTCATTCCTATTACTCCTACTTCCGAATTATGGAAAATAAAACGAATCAAAAAACCAAGTACAAGCTTGGCGAGAGGAAATTGGATGTTCTAAATGATTTGAACTTTGTTCGCAATGTTCTCCAGGACTTCGACGTGGATTCCGAGCCCCAAACTCGAGGAGTTCTTCTTGACTTGGCGTACAGTAAGTACATATCTTTAATCTTATAAAAACTCCACACTTTATAAAATTCTTTTTAGCTTTAGCCAGGGATCAACTGGTTGAGGCCTCACGATATGCCAAGCTGGAAAATCGCTCGAATGTGACTATTGAGGACATCAACAAGGCAAAGCAGGTGCCTGTAGAGAAGGTGGTCGAACCTCATCCACCAGTCGAAAGTACCGAGCCGGAAGTTGTGCCTAAGGTCTTTACCCGGCGTAAGTCGACTGGGAAAAAGAAGACCAGACCGACTCCTAACCCCGATTCGTCGTCCTGAACCCATCTGTGATGAGCAGAGGTGTCACCAATTGTGGGCCCATGGCGCGAGGAATACCACTTTTGAATATGACGGCGCCTTATCCTGTCGCAGTGCTGCTTCTTGATCCTTCGCCCTCTAAAAAACCGCGTGTCTATATAGCTAATCCCCAAATGATGAAAGAAAGGAGAAGGAAGAGGAGTTGACATTAAAAAATAAAAATGCTTAATCATCGAATTTTTTATTGATTCCTCTAATAAAAAAGATAACTTTAAAAATAACAGCCCTTTAAATTCTTTCCAACACTGAAAAGCTTTCAAAGCTTTACAACACCGACCGATAGACCGCACATACCGATAGATGGCTTCGCACGTTTTTTGGCATTATTTTTGTTGCTTTTTAACGTTAATTGCAATTGGCTCGGCCAACAACCTGTGCTTCCAATCCGTGTACCAAGTGACTGATTAAATAGTGGCTAAATAAACTAATTAGATTTAAGAAAAAAAGTGCTAAATATTAACAAAACAAAGAAAAGCCAAGCCGCCCGTCGAAAGTGTACAGCCCAAGGGTAAGGCGATAGGGTTCAAAGAAGGGGGAGTGTGGGTGGGGGATATGTCGGCATGCGAGTTCTCCGGAATACTGAGAACTTTCACTATCAGTAGCGTTCCCTTTTTAATTACCAGGATAGTTATCCAAACAGTTTCCACTAACTATACTCTATGACCTTTTCAACTTTTAACGTCTTGGTCTGGTTGTTTGTTTAATATCTTCGAACGTTAAAGTGGTTTTCCATTAAGAACTTCAAAAGCTTTAAGCCTGCAGCAGATACTAATTTAAATTGCAAATACACATGATATTGTTGTATTTGCTATATATTTTTAAAATAGAAGGTTTCTCCACTTTGCTTTCGCCGGATTATTAAATACCTTAAAGTGACGTCGTCTCCTGTGTTTATCTAGCTTTATTTAGCCACCGAGACAATAAATACGTACGTAAAAATCAAATTTGAAACATTGCCAACTAAAATTCGACGCATCTCAGGCATTTTCACCGCGTGACCCCATCGAAAAAAAAAATCAAATAAAATGGCAGAGAAAACGCACAATGGTTGGCACCATTTTTTTGAATCAACGGGAAAATGTCTTTAAAATGTAACGGTAAATATTGTAAGATATAGGGTTGTTAAACCTCTTTTCGATCCATTCAGAAAATGGTAATAAATCAAGCGAGAAGACCAAACACAACTTAAACAAAATATACGGTTTATTATGTCATTCCACTAAATTTAGCATTCCAACGTACTCCGCTCTCTGTGTGCTCTTCAAGCTTTTCTACACGGCGATTAAAATGTTAAAAAAAAACTAAAATTAAATTTTATATTAAGAATTGTGTGATTTTTATTTAATAAAGTAAAGTCTAGTTATAGCCTCATGTTCGTATTTTTGGGAGTATGATTTAGATAACCCTTTTTAATATTTTCCCCACTTTATTTCTCCTTGTGTAGACCTCTCTATGTAGTTCTTCCAATTCCCCCATCAGACATTTTGCCGCTTGCTGACTTACGCTTTGTTTGCTCATCATTATTTATTTTTTTTATGCCAATACTGCTGTTAATTAGTGGTTCGTACAATTCGCAATTTTCTATTTGCCCCCATCTACCGGCAAAGTAAACAAAAAAGAAGCAGAATCGAGAGAATCTTTCTGGGGCTACAAGTAGTAAGCCGAACAGCTGATAGACTCTCTCTCGCCATTGATTAGCCGCCCCAAAGTGCCCAAAGTTTTGGCTTCTGCTCAGTTCCTTTTGAAATGTAGGGGCGATACCAAGCTTCCATCGCAAGATCTTTATAATTTTATAATTTTTTACGATTTTTCGAACGATATACGAGACGTGAACATGGGGAATTCCTACAACGAGTTGCATTGAAATAAAACGCTTGATTGGTTTTAAGCGTTTTCCTTTTATATCTATTAGCAAACAAACAGCTTTGTGAGAAATTCACGTTCAAGGTCAGTGCCAAAATGTAATTAAATGTTTATTTGTTCAAGATTTTCGGTTGTTTATATATGGATTTTATTATTTCCTCGTTATCAGTTGGTGGAGATAACACAGATATGCTGGAATAAGTGCATTTATTTGGGATATTAAACGTAAAACCGGTCCGATAACGTCGATGAGCGCATAAACCCGTTAAACTTGTCCCAAAACCAGTGCAAAGCTCGACAATATTGTGATTTATTGAGGCTCAACAAGTGGGTTTCTGCTTATGGGCCTGCATAAGGGTTAAGAAGGCCGGAAGAAAATGAAAGACAGGAAATCCAAGGGTTCTTAAGAGTTATAAGGTCTTATAATTTAATTATTACTTAAAGATTTTTATTACTTTTTTTAAATTTTACTTTGCATATTAACCAATTAAATGTTTATTACATTTCTTAAGAATTTTGACACTAGACTACATTGCGTGAATTCTTTTCTCTTAACTTCTAAGCATATTTTATTATTAAAGAGCTTATCTAAGTTTTTATTATTGCTAAAAATATAATACAACTTGGTGGAAAGTGATGATCCAATTCCGAATGCATTAAACCTCTGTAAGTTCTCCTAAAATTGTGCGACTAGTGTCTCCCCACGATAACGTCACTCGTCTATTTATTGAATTTGCAGTTCAACTGTGTAGTCATTGCTGGGGAATTGTGTGCCAACATTCAGTTGTCTGTTGTGGAGTTTAGTAATTTGTCAAAATTAATATCCAGTGATGGGGTTATGTAAGGGTTATTACCATTATTGATTCTTGTAGACGACATTAATGCTTGTACCATGTCTACTTTGGGAATTAAATACTCTTGAACTTGTTCTATTTTCGTTTTCAAAGGCACACGCAACACGATTACCATATGAACAAGACCTTGAGAGGGGTTTTTCTTATTTATTTTCAATTTCTTCTCCATCTTCCTACAAATGAGACTAAAAAATTGCAATAAACTTATTTCTTTTCAGTTTCCATAGAGAAGCATCAAAAATAAAACATATAGGTGGAGTTGGACGGCCCTCCATCACCAATATATAATTCACACCCCACCCACCCGCACACCCACACACATCCAAAATGTTGCGTAACACGCCTCTTGGTGCCACACCCACCTACAAACTACTACTGGGATTCGGACTCTGCTCCCTTGGTGGAGCTATGCTATATGCATACTTTAAGAATCGCCCCGACGAGGATGATCAGGAGGACTCCAACAACAGCCAAAAGGCGGCCGCTAGAAACGGAAGCCAGGAGCCAAAGGCCCAAAAGGAGGTCTGCCTCAAAATTGTGGTGAACAACGAACATGTGCCCCTGATAATGGGTCGCGGCGGCTCGAATATCAAACTGATTGAGGAAAAGACCTCGGCCAAGATAAGATTACGGTAATTGGATTTGAATTTTATCACCAAACTAGAACCGAGCAATAAATTCTCATTCGGATTTGTTCTCTTCCAGAGACAAGGACAGTAGCCAGAAGTTCTGCGACATTACCGGTGTTCCCGATGCCGTGAAAGCTGCACGGGTTCTTCTCATCAAGGAGATTGAACGGGCGCCCGTGGTTAAAGTGGAACTACAAGTGCCCCAGAGGCTGGTCAATAAACTGAATACCCGCGGTGGGGAGCTGGTCCAGGAGATAAGGTCCAATTCCCTGGCCAAACTGAGCATAGATCCAAATGGCCGGAACGGCAAGGCTAAAATCACAATCGTGGGCAACCAGAAGCAGGTGAATATTGCCCGAAAGCTACTGGATGATCAAATCGAAGAGGATGAGGAGCTGCGTCGATCCGTGGAGGAGGTGGAGCAACGTCGGGAACCTCGACGATCGCCCACAAACAGCATTGCATCCTCCAGCCTCTATTCCTCTCAGACGTCGCTCAGTTCGCACACGCAGCCGCGGGACAAACTGATGGCTTCTAAAGGCGATGGCAAGCCCATGGAGGTTTACGTTTCCGCTGTGGCCTCTCCAACCAAATTCTGGGTACAACTGGTCGGACCGCAGTCCAAAAAGTTGGATAACATGGTGCAAGAGATGACAAGCTATTACAGCAGTCCCGAGAACAGAGCCAAGCACACCCTAACATCGCCCTACATTGGCCAGATTGTGGCCGCCGTTTTCAAGTTTGATGAGAAGTGGTATCGCGCCGAGATTGTCGACATAATGCCCAACCAGTACAATCCCCAGGAAACGGTTATTGATCTGTACTTTGTGGACTATGGGGATAGCGAGTATATATCGCCGGCAGATATCTGTGAGCTGCGCACTGATTTCCTAACACTGAGGTTAGTAGGTCATATGATTAATAAAACACTTCTTTTATTGACATTCTATGGATTAGGTTTCAAGCTGTAGAATGTTTCCTGGCCAACGTGAAATCCACCATCCAAACGGAGCCTATTACCTGGCAAAAGTCCTCCATTGTTAAGTTTGAGGAACTGACTGAAGGTAAGACTTAAGTGCGTCGGAAATAATAACTTTACTGAAGAAACTTCCTAAATTTTAGTGGCCCATTGGCGGAAGTTGATTGCCCGTGTGGTGACCTACAAAGAGCGCCCAAAAACTACCACATCCGTGAACTCAGCCGCCAAGGAGGGCACCCCTTTGCCCGGTGTGGAACTCTTTGATCCTTCCGAGGGTGCCGAAGTGAATATTGGGGACTTGATGATCACGCAGGGTTTTGCCTTACCCCTGGACGAGTCGTACCCCGTGAGATCTCGCAGCTCTACGCCCTCCGCTCGCAGTGATTCCACCATCGAGGAGCTAAGCGTTAGCAGTCCCGTAACTCCATTCACCTCTCAGTCACCCATGTCAATGTCCATTGATGCTGAGAGCATTTCGCTGGCGGAGGACGCACACCTTGCCCAGCAAATACAGCACCTGCAGCAGAAGCTTAATGGCAACACAATCGGAACGATTAATCCTGCCAAATTATCGGTGGCAGATCTCGAAAATGGGAATAACAATCATGCAAACAGCACTACTAATGGAGGCGTTACTCATTAGGATTCACATTGTTACTAGTTACTCTCCTCGCCTAAGTGTTAATACCTAATATGAGAAGGAGCTCACCATTTGACGTGTACATAGAGTATAGACTTTAAGGAGCTTATATTACTTTAAGAAAATGAACAATTTTTTAATTTATCGTCGTGATCACCCGTGACTGCTCGACATATCCTAGATCCTAGAAGCTGACGATGGACCGGTACAGATCCTTAATTGTTTGTAGAAAGCTATGCCATGTTACTTATTGTTAGCAATAGAAGACAAATTTCATTTGTACATCAACCCAGTACACAAAGACCACACAAACAAATTAAAAGAAATGCTTTTTATAAGAAAGTGAAACTTAAGTCTATTACATGGGGCTGTTTAAAGAATTTCAAAGAGGATTGAAGTCAATAATACATAATAAGTGATAGCCTAAGCAGGCAGTTATTGCAGTCTTGTTTTGGGATAGATACTCTTCTTAAATTAGAATATCGTTGGTAGTATTTATAGCTATGGGTGGCAGGTATATAGCTCGGATCTGACTGCGCAGGCGCGCAATCTCCATGTCATCTCGTTCCATTTCCCGGATGAGCTGCGAGAACTGAACCAATCCCTCGCGGTTTCCCGGAAAGCCGTGACCCTTGATTACCTCCAGCTGGAGCTGCATTACCAGTGGAAACACCTGAACATAAAGAAAACCATGTATAAACAATAGTTGAAAGGATTTGAAGTATATTTACATGCTGCATCATAAGAATCATTTCTTTCCCAGCGGAGGCCTTTGCTTCAGAAAGTTTTTTCGAGTTTTCCGGCTGATTCACACAACGTATAATGTCCATGAGAATTTGTTTGGCATTCTCATTATTGAAGTTAGCCAAATATGACATCATTAAGGATTAAGTGGCAGTGGTTTATTGGAAAATTAAATAAATATTCAATGTTCAACAAATGTTTTTTGTTTTTTCTAGAGATGGACTCTTACACGATAAGGAAATCGAAAAGATTTATGCGTCATACAGCACTGAAACAAATCAGCTGTTGCAGTAAGTGTTTAGAAACACAAATATTCTCATAAAAAATGTAAAAAATAAAACCAAAATCTAAATAAATAAAAAATATATTTTTTTTTCTATAATAAATTGAGAATTAAAACATCATTCGCTTTTATTAACAATTTTAACTCGCGACACTTTTCAACACTGGATTGGAAAAATGTCACGTCGAAGAAACAGAAGCTACGACAAAAGACACAAATAATAAAAAAGCTTATTTTGCGCAGGCATTTGTATATTTCCAGTAAATGCAAAGCCATGCAATCGCATATTTAGTACGCGCCGCCAAATTGTGAGATAAATTCTAAAGTTATTTAATCGAAAAACGACCAGCAACAACAACGAAACGTAGTTTTGGGCCCTATTGCATTTTGCGAGAGTGCGAACGAAGAAGAAAAGTGCGTGTGTGCAAAAGTCAGCGAAAAAGAGGAGCGCAAAACAGAGCGGAAACACAACAATACACAAAAACATACACAACACACACTGGAATACACACACCCACCCACACTTGGGGGCACTTACACACATCGGTGAACACACATTGACGAAATATATACAGGAGAGGCTCCAACGTCGAGTCAGCAAATAGTGCCACACACACAAAACCGAACAAAAAAAGAATAGAAAGAAAAACAGAGAAGCTCCATCTGCAGAATCCGTGTTATCCCGATCCGGAATGAATCGCTCCGACGGCCTGGTGAGGCGCTCGGTGAAGCCCCGGGAAAATGGTGGTGGGGCGGAGGGTGGTCTGAATGCCAACACTCCCGACGACAATCAGGATGCGTTGGACTCGCACAAGGACCAGGAGGACAACATCGACGACGGCGACTCCAAGGAGACACGACTCACGCTCATGGAGGAGGTTCTGCTGCTGGGACTGAAGGACAAAGAGGTGCGACATTGCTGGGGAAACCTTATCAGATTTCTGTGCTAGAAAGTGGGCCCAAATTAATTAGTGTTGGCCATCACAACATCAAGATATCAAGTACACATTTCTTTAAATGTTAACTAGGCTTTTTGCTTCTGACCTTCTCGACTGGCTCAGTCTTTCTTTGTCTCTCTTCCCAACCCTCCAAGACAACCTTTTGTTTGGCTTTGGGTGCATCGTGATGGACCATCTGTTGGCAGAGTCGTAGACTCCCAGGGGGGGCTGGCTTCAAAGGGTTTAAGTAATATTTTTAAAAGATATTTTTAAAGAAGCTTATATTTTATTATAAAATCTAACAGGAATAGGTTTAATTTTTAGAAAAATATATTGTTTGTTAGCCCCCCATGCCTCTCCAACTTGAACTCACAACTTTTCCAGTTTGTTGTGCAATAAACTATGAAATCTCTTGACCAAGATGAGCAATAACTCGTTACCAGCTCTTCGCTGCTCATAAATATAGTCACGGCCTCTTATCTATGTTTGGAGCTACTCAGAAATAGTTGGAATTGGAAATAATCTTAATAGCTTTTCAGTAAGCTTTTCCAAGTACGTTTAATCAGTTAAAGAAGTAATTACGAAATGGTTAGTTATTTTGACAGATAGATGGAGCCTAGTAACAGGTCTATGATATATAGACCTTCAGAAGAATACACACATCCATGTCCATTACAGCATCACGCTCGTCAAAAACTCCACATTTGAGAGAGGGGGTTTCGTCAAACGAGTTTTCCAATAAGTGACCACTTCATTTGCATACGATTGAAATATTCACAAATCTTTGGATATTTTTGGGATGTTATCCATAAGCGAGAATCGACCGCTTACGTGCCCCATTATTTCCAACCGGCACATTCTCTCATTTTCTCCATTGAATATGTCTGTTTTGTATTTCACTTGCCTCCGGAGCTTTATCGCTCAATTGCCATTTCGTATATTATGGTACATCATACATACACATGCGAGTGACACCAGTTCCACATCCCCAGTACTACGTCTATTTGTTTTTATTATTTTGCCCGCATTGGAACGCCGGGACGTGTGGCTTGTTGCTCGGTTTGGTTTTAGTTTTAGTCTCGTTTCTTGTTCTTATCGGAAACAATTCTTCCATTTGGCTAATTGTTTGAGGAAGTGCTTCCAAAATGTTGCCTCTCCTCATGCTTATCGGTGCTGTCTTATCAGTCCAACAACGTCATTCATTTTTTTGATACGATATGTACTTTTACATTTTATATGTGTGCCATCCATTAGGAACGTTTCCATATCAGGAAATGCCGATTGTTCGTCTATTTTAATTGCAAATGACTCAGTATTGGGCTTTGAAATTGTCCTAAATTTTTAAAAGTTTGTATAATTATACTTTCAACTTTATATATCATTTTCTAATAATAAACTTGGACCTTTTGGCGGTATTTTATTAATAGATCGCAATGCTGGCTTTTATGACATGTTTCTGTGGGTTTTATTACTCAAGCCTAAGCAAATTCAAGTGTTTAATGTTGAAACAGCCGGGTCTTGACGTTGAATGAAACCCTTACGGGCCTAGCCTAGCAACACATCTTAATAATTCATCATTTTATAGACTTGCTGTGGGTCTAAGAGAAGGGCTTAAGTCAGGTTCTCTTCAAAATATACCATATACCTTAGAGCTCTTTAGGTTTAATAAAAAACAGTTTTTACCTTTACTTATTTTATGTATTCTTTTTAGGGCTACACATCGTTCTGGAATGATTGCATATCAAGCGGATTGCGTGGATGCATTCTCATAGAACTCGGCCTGCGAGGTCGTGTGATGATCGAGAAATCCGGCATGCGACGACGTGGCCTATGTACAAGGTATTTAAATAAATAAACAATAGAACTCTTTTATAAAATTCTTAAACTATAAATATTTTTTGCAGAAAATTGATTTTGAAATCGGATCAGCAAACCGGCGATGTTCTATTAGATGAGGCACTCAAACACATCAAGGAAACAGACCCCCCAGAGACGGTGCAGAGCTGGATTGAATATCTAAGCGGTATGGGTTTAGTTTTCTATAAAATTCAGATAATAGATGTAATGCTGTTTTATATTTTTTTAGGTGAAACCTGGAATCCTTTAAAATTGCGCTACCAGTTAAAAAATGTTCGTGAACGTCTGGCCAAGAATCTGGTGGAGAAGGGTGTGCTCACAACGGAAAAGCAAAATTTTCTACTCTTCGATATGACGACACATCCGCTAAGCGACAATGTTGTCAAGTGTCGTCTCGTAAAGAAGGTACGACTAACATTCATTAGAAATAAATTAAAATATTAATGTTAACCCTTTTAGATACAAGATTCTGTGCTGTCCAAGTGGGTAAATGATCCCCAGCGCATGGACAAGCGTATGCTGGCTCTGATCTTCTTGGCCCACGCCAGCGATGTCATTGAAAATGCTTTTGCGCCACTCAACGACGATGACTACGAGGTGGCCATGAAGCGAGTGCGGGAGCTGCTGGATCTCGACTTTGAAACGGAGGCGTCCAAGCCGAACGCGAACGAGATCCTGTGGGCGGTGTTCATGGCGTTTACGAAATAGGCGCTCCTTTGATCGTTTTTCAGCTCCTCTCAACAGCACACACACTATTTTCCCCCACAAATCCAACACAAAACCCAACCACACCAACATCTGGAATACATTTCGCTGCTTTTGTTTTCGAAACTTTGCTGTGAGTGGAAATGAATTGGTCGTAAAGATATATTTCTTCTGAATGGCAACAACGCAACCACCCCAAAAAAATCAGTTTCAGTAATATAAATATTTTAAGAATGATGAGGAAGCAGCCATAAAACCTTTAAAAATATATATATATTTTTGTCGAAACTGCATTGATGTCAACTGCTCAGTTGTCCTTTCTTTTCAGTTCTCTCTTCAGTTCTTTGAGCATTTTTCTGTAAACACAATGTTTTCCAAACTTAAGCAGTAAGTTATAGTAGTGATTTTTCTTGCAATGAACCTGAACATTTTTCTCGGAGAATTCAAAGTTGCAGCAATGTTTTTGTATTTATATAACTAATTGTAAGCGCCAAAAACAAAAAATAATAAAATTATACATATATTTTAAAGTCTGTGCAAGCTGCGTTAAAACTTCCTATTCAAATAATTTATTTTCAATATTTTTCCTATTATATTTTAAATGTCACTTGATTTATTTTAGAATATTAAATTTCGCGGTGACAAATCAGTTTTAAAAAATAATTAAATTTTTCGAAAACAGTGACATACACATAAGTACGCACCCACCCAAACCCAAAACACAACACGATCAGACCGATATATTCACACGGAGCGACATATTCTGATGATCCTAGGCAATGTTTTTAATTTAAATTGTTATTGAGAATTTTTGGGAACATTGAAGTTGAAGAACCTTTTCTAAATGCTAATTGAAAATAAAAATACAAATAAAGTAAAAAATAACGAGAGAAGGGACAACGCAAGAATGAAAATTTATGTAAATGTAAAATGTGCACGTCAAATAATAATAATTCTTAGATATTTAAAGGCCTAATAAACTATAATACAAATATAAATATATAAACCTTATATATACCTTAAATGTTTTCAAATAGTTGTGAATTAAGGGAAAGAGTTGGGGAAACCATTGGCATTGGGGCCAAAATATTTAATATCCACCGTTTAATAAGGATTTCAAATAAATAAAATATATATCTCCATTAAAATCAAACAAGTATTTGTAGTATTTTTAAGTTTTTATTCCAATTTTCGATCTCACTATATTTTTTTCCGCTTTGAACAGTGTCTGATTTCCGTAGAGGGGGCAATATAACCATATAAGTCGAATAATTCTCACACGAAACATTTAGGTTTTATAATATATAATAATAATCTTTTAAATGACATACAGTATGATAAAAAGCAGGGCGCAGCGCACAAGTTATTGCAAAAATACATTAAAATTAACATCATCAGTTTTTAGGCCAAAAAAATAAACAAAACGAAGGAAACAAAGGAGTGCTCTTATTCTATCCATTATAATCATCTAGTAGTTTTCAACTGTGGGAAATTTGCGAGTAATTTTTAATTACAATTTATCATATTCAGTGGAATTTGATAAGAGAATAATTTTTGCTAAGAATTTGCAATTTTTTAGTTGCCTTGTTTAACAAATGTTCCGTTTTTTTTTCCTTTCTTTAGCGTAGCGATGGGGGAAATACATACAAATATATATTATATAGTATATAAACTTTAAAGTAAATCAATGCAAATCAATGGAAACTTTAATAAAATTAATGGAAGAATTGATACGCTCAAAATGATAGACGTTAATTAATATATATGTATATGTATTTTTTATGTAAATATAATTGAAGTTCCGCCAGCTGAGGCTCCAGTTCCTACAACGGATTTCTTAGCTCTCTCCGATCTTCCACCCTATTTTCCCAGGCGACTGCGCATGGAGGACAGGCGACGCAACCGTGCCCGGTTCTGGGAATAGCTGTCCGCCCAACTCGCCTCGGCCTGCTTGTACATCCCTGAATGGCCGGCGTGCTAACTCAGTAAGTCCTTGATCTCCTTGTGCATGTGACACAGGAAATCGACATAGCTGGCCGAGCCGTCTGTGCCACGGTCCTCGACCAAAAAGTGACGGAACACGCTCTCCAGTTTGTCGTTTTGACGCAGCCAAGTGATCTGTCATAAGATGGAACATGAGATTAGGGAATATTGGGCAAGAACTTAAGAAATACATACCCTCATGTATCGTGTGCGCTCCTGCATGATCTGCTCTAGAATATCGCTGATGCGCTTGGCCAGTGGCGTGTCTGCCACGATGTTGAAACGCTCGAGAGCAAGTTGCTGCAGTCCCTGGACACCGAAAACAGACTGTACAAAGTTCGGGGAGAGAGCCTGGCCCAGCCAGACGAACAGATGGACTCCGTTCTCCAGGATGTAGGCGCCATCCTCCTGGGTCTTTTCGTGCGTGCATCGGACGGGTGTTGGCAAATCTGTTTCCTCTGGCACAGCGTTGTGTATGGGAATGAATCGGGGATACAGATAGTTCACAGACTGGTTGAGGTCCATTGACAACACAAACTGGATAACATAAGAGCGATCGTCCAGCGTCATGTCGGAGCCACCGGAAATCGCATCGTTCTTCAGCAGGCACGAGGAGTACAAGGGTAAGAGCTTGAGGCACTCGGGCAGGATAAGTTGGCCGGCGGAGGTGGGAGATGTGCAATGTTTTCGGTAACAGGCCAGGATCTGAGCCGACCGATGGATCAGGTTGTCCTTAACCTGTTTGGGCGTGTGCTCCATAAGCTTGAAGCAGGCCTGTTTTGCGAAGAAAAGCATCATTGCATCCAGGTCGCAGCTCTTGAAGACATCCGCAATCGTTGTGGTCACCCGCAGTGCCAGGTTGAGTATACGCAGGCGCCGCTGTCCACTGCACGAGGTGTAGAGCAAGGCCACCTGTAGGTAGACATTCTCCTCCGGCGGCAGCTTGTCGTCGTGTTTGATCTCAATGCTCACCGATTTGGTGGAGTCTACAAGTAAGAGGTCATTTCGTTTCAAATCGCCAAACAATCTTCATGAAAATACTCACCAATACTGGCCAGCTCCACGTCTGTGGTGTTGGACATGAAGAAATGGCCATAGAAATCCGTAGGGCGAATACCCGCCGAGGTGCGTACTCGCATAACGGCATCAAAGGCGATGGGCCGGGATACGTTCTTAATGATGTCCTCAATCAGACGCTTGCCATCCACGTCCGCCTGGAAGTACGTGTACTTGTACACCTCTCCGCCCGTCAACCGAGCGACCTGACCGATCGTGGCAATGTCTATGTACGCGTTATTGAACACAAACAGATCCACAGAGCAACCCTGCTGGACACACTCCTGACCCAGTTGATTGTAGGCGGTTGTCTGCGGGGTGAGAACGGTCTTCTCCTTGTCGGTGCCCAAAAGTTTCCGATCGTCGCGGTTCTTCAGCTTGCCAGGAGCTTCCGCTATGGGAAGCGTTGAATTGAAGACCAACAACTTTCCAGAGGCATTGGAGGCTTTGAGGGCTTCCAAGCCAGCCTGAATGGCCGGGTAGAGAATCGTCTCAGTTTCCTTGGTGTCCGCAAACATGCGTGGAATCTCCTCCATCAGAGCATCAATAACCGCTGCAGACTCCTCTGGATGGCAAAGGAAACCGTCGAGCAGGGGCATGAACATTTCCTGAACATCGCCCACCACCATCATTTGGGGCTGGGCCAAGCTGCTCTTGATGTTGTAGAAATGCACGGTGCTGTTGTAGGTGATGAATCCCACGCGCACCTTTGACTTGTCCTGGCCCTGATCCACTGGCAAATGCTTAAGTATGTTCTTGATCTGGGCGCACAGGAGATGAACCAACCCGGACTTTACTGTGTTGTACGAGACATCAATGATGAAAATGAAAGCAGGAACCTCCGGAGGAGTGTTGTTCTAAAAAGATAACAAAATCCAATCAGTTTTGTACCGAAAGTAGAGAACCCTTTTGAACCTACCCGACAGTAATCCTTGGTGGCCAGGAATTCGTAAGTACCCAGCAGCAGCTCTGGCCTCTCATGCTTGTCCACACGCTGTCCTGTGTGATCCAGGTGCTGGTAATAATCCGGATGAACTAAAACGAAGATTAACGACAGATATTATTACATTTTTTTTTAAGTCATAAGCATCTACTCACCCTCGGATGTCACCTTGCACATAAGACACTGGAATCGACGACCTGCATCCACGAACTGCATGTTGGGTGACATGTACGCTTTGCATCGGTTGCAGCGAATGGGTCCCATGTCGCCAAAGTTGACAATCGGTGGCTCTAGTTCACCCTCGGCGATCTTGGCCAGTGGCGAAATGTTCAACGTCAGCGGCAGAGCCGTGGTCTTGAGCAGATCTCCGGTATTGGGGATGCAGTACAGCGATGAGCGCATAAAGCGAGGGGAGGAATTTCCCTGATCGTGGACCACGAACTTTGTGGTCACCAATGGAGGCAATAGTCCGGGTTGATTGGTCACGAACGGTCCTCCGGCCAAGCGCTGGTTCTCAATCATCACTTGGATGGGATTGGGCATTTGGTCGGGATCCAGACGCCGAGGCTGCGGAGCCTGTTGGTACATGTTTCCTGCTCCTGGCATAGGAGGTTGCTAAAAATATTCTCATAAAATGGGGTTCATGGCTTTAATGGTGTTTATACGCACATTAAATCCTGGACGACCTGGTTGTCCTGGGTAGCCGACACCTGGTTGAGGTGGATATCCTGGAGCTCCGGGCTGCTGTCCTGGCTGTGGCGGATATCCAGGCATGGGCGGCTGACCTGGCTGGGGTGGATAACCGGGCTGCTGACCGGGATATCCTGGTTGTGGGGCTCCGAATTGGGGCGGAGCAGCTGGTTGCTGTCCAGGAAGCGGTGGTGGTGCTCCTGGAAATCCTCCTGCTGCCTGCTGACCCGGATAACCAGCGCCAGGATAACCTCCTGGCTGGGGAGCCCCATAAGGAGCTCCTGGTTGGGGTGGTAATCCAGGCTGCGCTTGGGGTGGTAGTCCAGGTTGCAGCTGGGGCGGCAGTCCCGGCTGTTGTTGAGGAGGAAATCCCGGTTGAGGTTGAGGCGGCAGTCCCGTCGGCGGAAGTCCCGGCTGGAGTTTGGGTGGTAGGCCAGGTTGTTGCTGTGGTGGCCCCGCCTGTGGTTGAGGGAGTCCCGGTTGTGTAAAAGTCGGAGGAGCAGCTCCAGGCGGCAACAGAGGCTGTCCAGGTCGCGAAGTTGGCACTCCAAAAGGTCCTGGTGCAGGCTGGGATGTGGGAATCTGTCCTGGTAGTGGAGGCTGCCCAGGAAGAGGTGCCTGACCAGGTAGAGGTGGCTGACCAGCTACTGGAGCACCTGCTCCTGGTAGTGGTGGTTGCCCTGGAGCTCCAAGGGGCTGCTGACCGGGAGGTCCCACCGGCGTGGCCGCCTTTGGAGGCGGCATATGCGGCAAGCCCGCTAAGCCGGCACTATTTAGGGTCATCTGATTCACACCGCTTGGCACGCTCTGCGCGGTACTACTGGGCGGTGGTGCTCCATTGGCATAGCTGGTAGCCGGTGGCGGAGCGAAAGCAGCATTGTTATTATTGATCGGAGGTGGAGGTGCTGCATTGGAGTTGAACTGATTGAAACCGGTTGAAGGCGGTCCAGCAGCTGAAACTGGAGGCAATCCTTGGGCGGTGGGTGGTGGCTTCAGAGGATTTCCTCCACCAACTCCTCCTCCGCTCACACTCAAGCCACCCATCGACGTGGCCAGCTGGAAGTAAAGATATTTTTTGTTGAAACATTTATATTTCTTATCTACAAAGACTAGCTTCAAGTTTTCTATTATGAAATCGGGATGACCTTTTTTTTAGGTGAGTGAATGGAAGCTTATCGGAAGCTGTTTGTTAGAACTCTTCCCCGGCTTAATAATTTATAAATCTATGTATATACTCCCAAAGGGGAGGTATTCCAAAAAAAATCTAGTAAATCAGTATTGTAGGTCAAGATTAAAATTCCCGTGATTTCACCTGCTGTTGGTAGTTGCCATTCAGGTAAGTCTGTGGAGCTGACGACGTCGGCGGTGCTCCATACTGTGCTGGTTGTTGTTGCAGGTGCTGCTGCGGCGGCAACGGCTGTTGCTGCTGTTGTAGTGGTTGCTGTTGAGGTGGCCATCCACCGGAAATCGGAGGAGGCGCTCCAAACTGCGGCTGCTGCTGCGCCTGTGGTTGCTGGAATTGCGTGGGCGGTGGCCCGTACATATTCGGATTCATTATCAGCCCTTTTCTAATCCCAGGAAATCCAAATCGAATCCAAACAACTTTCACACACCACCAAGAGTCAAGAGAGAGCGGGGGAAATTAAATCGAAACACACACTGGTGGCTCAAAGTTCGCCACGGATATTTGGCAATTTGTGGAGCTACAGCGGCGGATTTCTGACCACTAACTGCTCGGATAGGGTCTTGGGACTGGTGCCTCAACTCTTGACGGCCGCGGCGCACGAGTCGCTGGTAGAAAAACAAAAATAATTTCAGACAGGACCGAACTTCCACGTCAGTTCCCCAATTCGATTTTTTTTTGCCTCTTTTAGTTGCTGCCACGTAAACAGCACTGTTTTCCAACACTGTCCGTCAGCGGGCCTATCGATTGTTTAACAGTGTGGTGTAAGGTAACAGCTGTTTAGCATGCGCTGTTAAGAAGGTGGTTATTGTTTACAGAGTGACGTCATATTTAAGAGCTTTAATATTTGAAAATTCTGAAATAAAATTATTTTTTTTTCCAGTAAAGGGATTTATTGCATTTCGACCAAATAGTTAATAATATTTTGTATACTTAAAAAATGGATTTATGTGAATTCAATGCATTTTTAAAAATATTTTTGGGTGAGATTTTTATACTTCGTTTATCTCATGGTTATTCGAAGGAATCCCCAAAAGCGGCTCGGATATCTCTTGGAATCTCCCCGCCCAGGATGTGGTGTCCACCCTGAATGCCCCCTTATCAAATTTTACGGCCGGTTTAAGGTCCTTGTTGAATCGTAGTCCTGTATACCGCTCGATTTCTTCGATCTTGGCTAAATGATCGCTCAACTTGCCCCCTACTATACGGCTATTTTCTATTATATATCCTTCCATGTACGGATAACTTCCGGGAATTTGACTGTCCATAATTAAAACCTTGAAGTAGTGCGACGGAACCGGAACTGGTATCCAATCGAAAACCTCATACTTCATGGACCACTTGTTATCCTCGTGGCAGAAGGGAGTGTAAATTGGTCCAGTGTAGGCATACACTGAGCCATACTCCTGCGCTTTGGCGGCCACGTACTCCTCAAGATCGTTCCATATCCGTCGCTTAAAAGCTTTGCAGATTTTCATGGAGCCACAGCTAAGAACATAGACATCATTATAGCGTAGATTGAGGTTAGCATAACCGGATTCATCAGGGGCTATTTTTTGGTAATCGCCACGAAAATGCTCACAGATCCATCTCGGGCTGTTGATGCGCATATCCTGCGAGACAACGTAGTCTTTGTGAACGAGCAGATTCTCGGAGCTCGGCAGACCGTACTTGATCAAGTCCAGCAGATCGGTGGTGGTGGCATTATCGGTTTTGAGCATAAAGAATGCACTGACTAAATCGAAAAATGGCGATACGATACGCTCCCGAAATTTGTCACTCAATGAGCTGGATCGATTCCACAAACGCTTCTCGTGATCAGTCCCAAAAGTTGATAGCTTTTCGAAAAGAAAAGATTAGTTTATGAAAACGCTAATCATTAGAAATAGAGTCACCATTGGGTACAGCTTGTGTCTATGATAGTAGATGTACGGATCTCTTCTAATCTGTCGGAAAAGTTTCTTTATGGACACCTCCTGCTGGACAAAAGCACCGCACATGAATCCCGTTAATCCTGCCAGAGCACACATAGCATATTGATGTGGTCTCCAATCGTTTAAGGACATTTTTGAGGTTAACAATAATTTAGACTTTTTTCGTTGCCCAATAAACTAATACTATGTATGTGTAAAAAAAAATCAACGGCAAGGAATTTGTGTCAGAAATAAGTGTTGAATTGTCAAGAAAAAGGCTTTTCAATATGAAAAGTTGATCGCTGTTTAGTGAAACCAAAACTTTTTATGAATATTTTTTATGCCTTAATTTATTATGGTGTTTTAGCGGAAATCGCGGAAAACCTGTGATTCACTTGAATAATTACTGCCAAATATAGCACTTCTCCGTATACCGTCAAAAAACTTGAGACCCGCGTAATGTTCAATTTCCCGAATGTCACAGAGGAAGGAGCGAAGGGTCAGGTCCTTTGGAATCTCTGCATTAGGCAGGACATATCCTTCCATATAGGGCTTGCCCATGGGTAAGATCGACTCAACCATAATCACCTTGAAAAAGTGAGTGGGCACTGCTACCATATTCAGGCCAATCATTTCATATTCCACACCAAACTTTCCGCCATCCTTTTGATGTGGCTTATAAAGCGGACCCGTGCAGACATATACGGATCCAAATCGGTGTACAAGATTTCTCACATAAGTCTCCAGATTCCGCCAGGCACCACGATTGAATCCTTCACCAATTTGCGGAGCAACATTGGTGAGGAAAAAAGTATCCTGGCAATGTTCCAACTCCAAGTGGTGATTCCCAGCGGCTGCTAAGTGACCACGGTCAAATCCGGATCTGCGGTAGTCAGTTAGTTCTGACCGGAAGTTAGAGGGCACTCGCATGTCCGGTTGATAGGTCCGATTACGTCTGCTTATCCTATCGGTTCGTAGTTGGTCTATTTCAAGATGTTCACATACCCAATGGGCTACCCGGTTCCGGCGATCGTATGATAATACAAAATCAGAATAAAGCCGAAGATCGTCTAGGCCAGGAAATCCGTACTTCATGATCTTTGCCATGCGGTGAGTGTGATGCTCCTGGTCCTCGAAAAGGCCAAACTAAAGATATGGAAAATAATTCCAGTTTATAACTGCAAGTTTGGTAAAAAAACTTACCACTTCATCAAATTTTGGACTAACATAGTAAGCATAGGGATCCTTTTCTATTATTTTATTTAGGCGTTTTTTGGCGTCTTGCTGCTGAAAGTACATTCCAGCTACAAAAGACAAACTTACTGTACTTACAGTGAGGACTACGCCAAAGGCCAGGAATTGCCATTTTGGTTCCATAGGTGGATCCAGTAAATTAAATCTGTCTCATTATGCTAAGAATAAATCTATTTTTGAAAGCTTTCTCTTAGAATAAGTGGGGAGTTTATTGGAATATTTATTGGAATGATCTTTAAAGCCCTCAGTAACATCTATAACTCTGCCAACAAAGTTATATCCGCTTTAGGAGGAGAAGGATTTCCAAAGAAAATCTCTTCAAATGTTTGAAAAAAAGGCATGAAGCTCATAAATCAGTACTGGAGTATATGCAAGTGTTCCGTCTTTATTCAAATAGATTTCTGAGATTTCAAAGGCTTATGTTAAACCTCCTTTTTTTTTAAAAATTTTTAGTCAAAGACAATATAATAACTTTGTAATAATATATTTAAAATTGTATTCATTTTAATTGCTTTTTAGAAACTACCGACATAGTCTAAAAATATCTAATTTTTTGTTTTCTACTTAGAAAGTTCTATATTTATAGATTTCTTCAGAAATTGAAAAACTTATCTTAAAACCCCGCATTCTTATATTTAAAGAACACCTTTTGTGAAACTAAATTTAGACATGAGACAAAATGCAGATTATTTTTCAGTATAAATTACAAGCTTATTTTGCTGTGAAATCATTGAATCCAGTAGTCCCAATCGAACCAGTTCAGGATGTTCACCAAGGCACTTCTCTTGCTAATGGCAGCTAATGTCCTTTCGGCAGGACACATTGGCCATCCTGAAAATCGTATCATTGGAGGAAGTAATACAGCTATCGAAACAGCTCCTTGGCAGGTTTTTTTAAAAAGACATGAAATATCAATTACATACATATGTGGCGGATCACTAATAAGATCCGACATTGTGTTAACCGCCGCTCATTGTGTAGTTCCTAAGGGACAAGTTATCGAATTTTCTGTTCGAGTTGGTTCTTCAAACAGAGAAGAAGGAGGACAACTTTTCGCCGTTGCGAATATTATAGTACACCAGGATTATAATATTCGCACTAAGCTCAACGACATTGCCGTGTTGAGAATTACAAATCCCGTTAAAATTGGTCCTTCAGCTCAAACTATTGCACTGGCTACGTACGCACCTCCTGCTGGAGCCCAGGCCTTGATCACCGGATGGGGCCTTATCTCGCCTTATGTGCAAGAGGCTCCTATCATATTGCAAGGAATCAATGTTACCATTTTGTCCCCATATGAGTGCTCCACATTTCCATGGATTAACGAGAAAATCATATGCGCCGGATCAAAAGGAAACACAGCATGCGTTGGAGATTCCGGAGGAGCTTTGGTTGTAAATAACCAGGTGGTAGGTGTGGTTTCTTTTGGACTTGAAACATGTGATACGCGAACAGTCTTTGTCAACGTTCCCTTCTACCACAAATGGATTTTAGATGCAGTTGCGAAGTTATATTTATAAATATACAAAAATGAATAAATGAAAAATAAAATTGTCAAAAAAAAGCTTCTTCACTAAACATTAGCAACAAAAAATATATAAAATATTTTTTCAAATATTCGAATTTTTATCAAATTTTCAAAAATCAAATTGGGGTCCCCTTTAAGGGATGAGGAGGATCTTCTTCAAAAGGGTACAAAAAGGAACCATACTGCGAAGTCTATGCCAATATCTTTTCCAATAACAATTCGATTATTGAACGAAATAGTAAAAAACATCGTTAAAAACATAGAACCCAAACTTATGGACTTTATTTACTGTAAGGCGCTTCTGTACGACTTTTAGGCACTATTATCCATTGGATATTTTGGTGCATTCAATTGTCGGCCGAGGCCCGAAATGTATATTGGGAAAATCTTTGATGGAAAAGTATAGTTCATAAAAAATATATCTACTTGATTCTTTAAACGAACAAGACAAACACTCAATGGTACTCAAGTATTTTTAACGGATTGGTGCTAATTCTGGAATCACCATACAGCCATCGAACAGGTTCCTTGGCAAGCTTCTTAAAGGAGATTAAAGGATGTTACCGCTATACGTTCGATATATAATATATTCGATTGAAAACGATATTGCTATTATGCGATTAAACGAGCGATTTCTTCCAAAAAAGAGTATATCTCTGGCCAAAATAAATCCAGATGGGGGTGAAGTTCCCTATTCAACTGGTTGGCCAAAGGTTTTGCTACCTTAAGAAGTTTTGTTACCAAAAAATCTCATAGCCGTTAAGATCCCAATTGTATTGAAAATTGAGTACTTGAATATTTTTTCCATCATGTGGAAAGTTCTAAAAAAACGGCAAACTCTGGAAGTTCATTAGTTTTTAAGGGAAAACTTGCGGTTATTGCGTCCCTCATTTATGGAGTATAAGCTTTCTGTCCAAATGGGGTCAACGGATAAAATGGACTTAAAATGATTAAAATTTAAAATTATATTTTGAAAAATGTTTACCAGAGACAAAATATCTATTTTCAAAAATTTATTTAAAAGCGTACTTAACTTAATTTCTTAAAAAAGAAACAAAACTATAATCTGAATGCATTTAATTTATGATTTTATACTTAAAAGTAATAAACTATAACTTTAAACTCCTTAGATTACTTCACAAATTGAAAAATTTATCTTAAAAACCCGCATTCTTATTTTTTAAGAATACCTTTTGTGAAACTAAATTTAGACATGAGGTAAAATGCAGATTATTTTTCTGTATAAATAACAAGCTTGCTTGGATGTAAAATCATTCAATCCAGTTTTCCCAATCGGACAAGTTCAGGATGTTCTTTAAGACGCTTCTCTTGCTAATGGCAGCTAATGTCCTTTCGGCAGGACACATTGGCCATCCTGAAAATCGTATCATTGGAGGAAGTAATACAGCTATCGAGGCAGCTCCTTGGCAGGTTTTTTTACAAAAACTTGAAAGAGGTTGGATTTCTGATTGTGGTGGTTCACTAATAAGACCCGACATCGTGTTAACAGCCGGCCATTGTGTAATTTCTAATGGACCAGCAGAATTTTCTGTTCGAGTTGGTTCTTCAAACAAAAACAAAGGAGGACAACTTTTCACCGTTGCGAAGATTGTGGTACACCCAGATTATAAAATAGACAATACGCCTATTTTTCTCAACGACATTGCCTTGGTGAGATTAAGCAATCCCGTTAAAATTGGTCCTACAGCTCAAACTATTGCACTGGCTACGCACGCACCTCCTGCTGGAGCCCAGGCCTTGATCACCGGATGGGGAAGGATCTTGCATTTTGTGACAGAGGGTCCTATCATATTGCAAGGAATTAATGTAACCATTGTGCCCTCCGATGAATGCACCATATTTCCATGGATTAATGAGAAAATCATATGCGCCGGATCAAAGGGGAAAACAACATGCGATGGCGATTCCGGAGGAGCTTTGGTTGTAAATAATCAGGTGGTGGGTGTGGTTTCTGCTGGGGTTCGAACATGTGATACTCCAACAATCTATGTCAACGTTCCCTACTACCATCAGTGGATTTTAGGAGCAATTAAAGAATTATATTTATAAATATAAAAAGAATAAATAAATGCCCCCTTAAAGGGATGAGGAGGATCCTCTTCAAATGAGTACAAAAAGATACCACACTGTTGCCCCCTGCAAAGTCTATAACTTTGCCAATAATAATCCGATTATTGAAAAAAATAGTAACAAACATCATTTAAAACATTAGGTCCTTATATAGAGCAGCGCATTGTGCTTTTGGACGAAGACCAAAAGGTTTTCAGATGCGGGCAGGATCATGAATAACAGCTTCCGGAGGAATTCTTCAAAAGGTTACCGCTATACGGTCCCACGTGGACTATAAGATAGTTTCATTGAAAACGATTAAGTATTGCGATTGAGTAAGCCATTCCTTTTAAAGGAAACCGTTTCTTTGGGTGAAAAAATCGAGTTGGTGAAGTTTTCATTTCAAATAGTTGGCCAAAAGGTTTTTGTTGATTTCATACGTTTTGATCCAGTCATATCAGTTCAAACAGTCGTATAAGCGTAAAGATGCCAATTATATCGAAATCCAAATACTTGAATATTTCGTCCGTGTTTCCTGTCAGACCCCAGAAGTCCATTAATCGTTGATGGAAAAATTATGGCTTTTGCGTCCGGTATTACTGTATCCAGTATATACACTCTGTTTTTAATAAAATCGACTTCAGAGACTTAAAATAGTTAAAACTAAAAAACTAGAAATTTGTAGCTGAGACAATATTATAATTTTCAAAACATTGTTTGAAAACCTTATATTTAATGCTTTTTTATTTATGTATTTCTAAGCTATAACTTTCTAGACAGCTTCATAAATTAAAAATGTTTTCTTAAAACTCCACATTCTTATATTTAAAGAACACCTTTTGTGAAAATAAATTAAGAAATGAGGTAAAATGATGATTATTTTTCTGTATAAATTACAAGCTTGCTTGGCTGTAAAATCATTCAATCCAGTTGTTCCAATCGGACAAATTTAGGATGTTCGTCAAGACGCTTCTCTTGCTAATGGCAGCTAATGTCCTTTCGGCAGGACACATTGGCCATCCTGAAAATCGAATCATTGGAGGAAGCAATGCAGCTATCGAGACAGCTATTGGCAGGTTTATTTGCTACAACGCAAACTAATTTATACATATAAATGTGGTGGCTCACTAATAAGTCCCGACATTGTGTTAACAGCCGGCCATTGTATAAGTTCTAATAGACTAGCAAAGTATACTGTTCGAGCTGGTTCTTCAAACAAAAACAAAGGAGGACAACATATCAACGTAGCAAAGATCCTGGTACACGAATATATTGATATAGACGAAAGGGAAGGTCGATTTCTCAACGACATTGCTGTGTTGAGATTAAGCCATCCTGTTAAAATTGGTCCTTCAGTTCAAACTATTGATTTGGCTACGTACGCACCTCCTGCTGGAGCCCTCCTTCTAGGGGCGATGTGCCTCCTTCTAGGGGCGATCGAGGGCAACATATGCGCCGGATCAAATGGAAAAACAACATGCGATGGAGATTCCGGAGGAGGTTTGGTTGTTAATAATCGAGTCGTGGGTGTGGTTTCGGCTGGAGATAATTCATGTTAAAGGGCAGGAGAATTTGCTAGCGTTCCCTACTACCATCAGTGGATATTAGGAGCAATTGATAAAGTACTTAAAGTAATTACTTATTATAAAAGAAAATAAATAAATAAATCAAAGCGAAAAATATTTTTTGTGACATTTTTTTGGTGGTGGCAGTATGATCCCCGCGATGGCTCTTTTCCAATTCTTATCCAATTTTTGAGCGGAATACCTAAAAAGATTTATAGATAGTTTCATCATTGACCAGCATCAAAATAGACAAATATTTTTGTAATAATTTTATACCATTGCTGAATGAATAATAATTTTTGCCAAAAAAGAATGACTAGGAGACTAGGATGAGACTATATTGCATAGCTGCATATGACTGAACGATCGAAAATGACCCAACTTTGGAATTTTTAAAGAAGATAGAGGCTAGAAGCTTGTGACTTTTTTTCAATTTTGTATTCCAAGAAGTTTCTACTGAAATGCTTATAAAAATCGACCAATATACGATATTTGCGATATATATATACCATCTTAACTGCAAGCGGCTCTTTTTTCTTTAAATTTAGAATATGGGAGAAACCCGAAATGGATATTGAGAACATTTATAAGCAGCTTTTTTTAAGCAGCAGCGCATTTTGTTTTGGGCAAAAACCAGAAACCTTTCAGATTCATTTTGGATCATCAATTAAAATTTCTGGAGGAATTCTTTTAAGTGTTACCTCTTTAAGGTCCCTCGAGGACTGTAGATAAATTCGATTAAAAACGATACTGCCATCATCTGATTAAGTAAGCCATTCCTTCCAAAAGACATCCGTTTTTTAGCGGAAAAACATTCAGTTTGTGGTGAAGTTGCCATTTCAACTGGTTGGCAAAAGGTTTTGTTACCTTAATTGTTATCTTGTATTTTCAAAAAATCGTATAACCGCAAAGATGCCGATTATATTGAAAATTGAGTACTTGAATATTTTGTCCAGCATGCGAAAGGATTCTAAAAAAACCGAGTTGCCTGGCAAACTTTGGAAGTTCTTTAGTTGTCAATGGACAATTTGCGGTTATTACGTCCGTCATTTTTGAAGAAAATACATTACGTCTTTAATCAAGGTTTTAGAGACTAAAAGGATTAAAATTAAAAATTCTATTTTGAAGATATTTAATTTAATTGCTTTTCAAAAACTACCAGTATAAACTTAAAGTATTTGATTTATGACTTTCTATTTAAAAAGTTAAAAATTATAACTTTTAATTTTCTATATTGCTTCACAAATTGAAAAGTTTATCGTAAAATCCGCATTCTTATATTTCAAGAATACCTTTTGTTAAACTAAATTTTGACATGAGGTAAAATGCAGATAATTTTTTTGTATAAATTAAAAGGTTTCTGGGTTGTAAACTGCAGTAGTCCCAATCAAACCAGTTCAAGATGTTCATTAAGACGCTTCTCTTGCTAGTGGCAGCTAATGTCCTTTCGGCAGGACACATTGGCCATCCAAAAAATCGGATTATTGGAGGAAGTAATATCGCAATCGAAAAGGCTCCTTGGCAGGTTTATATTGAATGGAAAGAAGACTCACACACACATACATGTGGTGGCTCACTAATAAGACCAGACGTGGTGTTAACTGCCGATCATTGTGCAAATTTGACACAATTGGAAACGTATACGGTTCGAGTTGGTTCTTCAAATAGAGTCAAGGGAGGACAACTTTTCTTTGTTGCGAAGATGGTGAAACACCATAATGCAGACATTGCCGTGTTGAGATTAAGCAATCCTGTTAAAATTGGTCCTTCAGCTCAAACTATTGCACTGGCTAAGTACGCTCCTCCTGCTGGAGCCCAGGCCTTGTTGACCGGATGGGGCTGGATCTCGCCTTTTGTGAAAGAGGCTCCTATCATATTGCAAGGAATCAATGTAACCATTTTGTCCTCCGATGAGTGCACCGATGAGAAAATCATATGCGCCGGATCAAAGGAAAAAACAGCATGCAAAGGAGATTCCGGAGGAGCTTTGGTTGTAAATAACCAGGCGGTGGGTGTGGTTTCTACTGGGTCATGCGATGGGCCGACACAGCATGTCAGCGTTCCCTACTACCACCTGTGGATTTTAGGGGCAGTTGAAGAATTATATTTGTAAATATTAAGATACAAATAAACTAGAAATGTTACATTTTCAAAAAAAAAAAGGTTCTTCTTAAGAAAGAAAAAGGTTCCTAAGGAAGCACCTGAGTTTTTCCTTGGCAAGTTTCCTTGCAGATCAAAGTATCACATATTGAGAGTGGCTCCGTCTATAAAATACTATATTCTACCCTATAAGATACGTTCGACTGAACACGATAATGCCATTAAGCGGTTAAGTGGCTGCACAAAAGAAAGCATTTTATTGGACGAAACAAATCCAGTTGGGGATGAAGTTGCCAATTCAACTGGTTGGACAAAAGGTTTTGTTACCTTAAGAAGTGTTACCTCAGACAGACCAGTTATAATAAATCGTAAAGATGCCGAGTATATTTAAAATACTTGAATATTTCGTCCAGCATGCGGACTATAGAATAATTATATAGCTTCTAAAAAAACGTGTTTCCTGGCAAACTCTGGAAGTTCATTAGTTGTTAAGGGAAAACTTTCAGTTATGGCGTCCGTCATTTTAAAAGTATTTATGCACATAAAATACGTCTTAAACAAAATGTCTTTCAGAGACCTAAAAGATTCAAAATGATCTACTATGTACATCCTATAGCTGCAATCCAACTGATTGATCGGAAATGCTTTAACTTTGGTGTTTAAAGAGTTAGAGAGTTCAGATGCTACTAATGCTATTTTTGGGAAAATAATACGACATACAAAATTTCATAAGGATCGATCGGCTATACTCTATAGCTGCCATATATAATATCTGAACAATCGGAAATGACGCAACTTTCGTGTTTTTGAATATAGAAAGTTGGAACTTGGTACAGATTCCATTTTTAATCATTTAATCCATCCTACCAAATATCATAACGGCCGACTATATCTTATAGCTGCCATATAACTGAAAATATCAACTTTGGTATTTTTGAAGATAGAAGCTTGTGATTTTTTTTTAGATATTTTATTGTAATTAATTGGTTTTATTATGATATTCTCATAAGGAGCTGCCAACTATGTATATCCGATGTTTGTCTATCCGGTTTTACCTGCAATGGTATATCAACTTTGGCTCCGCCTGAAGTTAGCTTTTCTTTCATTTTTAGATTCATGCTGGATCATCAATAATTGTTTATGGAGGAATTCTTCTAAATGCTATCATCCAATTAGGTAAGCCATTCCGTCAAAAAAAAAATCATTTTTTTGGCTGAAATAAATCCAGTTGGTGGTAAAGTTGCCGTTTTAACCGGTTTTGTACTTTAAGTAACTTTTCACCCCAGACAGACCAGACATTTTACCCATTAAGTCGCCGATTATATCAAATAATGAGTACTTGAATATTTCGTCCAGCTAGAGGAAAGATCCTTAGAAACCGTGTTTCTTGGCAGATCCTAAAGTTCAATAAGCGCTAATGGAAAACGTTTGGCTAATTTAATTGCTTTTCAAAAACTACCAGTACTATAATCTAAAAATATTTGCTTCAGTATTTTCTAAGCTATAACTTTCTAGATTGCTTCACAAATTGAAAAATTTATCTAAAAAACCCGCATTCTTATATTTTAAGAATACTTTTGGAAAACTAAATTTAGACATGAGGCAAAGTACAGATTATTTTTCAGTATAAATTGCAAGCCTACTTGGCTGTAAAATCATTGAATCCAGTGGTCCCAGTCGAACCAGTTCAGGATGTTCGTTAAGACACTTCTCTTGCTAATGGCAGCTAATGTCCTTTCGGCAGGACACATTGGGCATCCTGAAAATCGTATCATTGGAGGAAGTAATACAGCTATCGAAACAGCTCCTTGGCAGGTTTTTTTAAAAAGACATGAACAATCAATTACATTCATGTGTGGCGGATCACTAATAAGATCTGACATTGTGTTAACCGCCGCTCATTGTGTAATTCCTAAGGGACAAGTTATCGAATTTTCTGTTCGAGTTGGTTCTTCAAAAAGAAACGAAGGAGGACAACTTTTCGGCGTTGCGAAGATTATGGTACACCAAGATTATAATTTTACGTTTCTCAACGACATTGCTGTGTTGAGATTAAGCAATCCCGTTAAAATTGGTCCTTCAGCTCAAACTATTGCATTGGCTACGAACGCACCTCCTGCTGGAGCCCAGGCCTTGATTACCGGGTGGGGCAGGATCGTATATTTTGTGAAAGAGACTCCTATCATATTGCAAGGAATCAATGTAACCATTGTGCCCTCCGATGAATGCACCATATTTCCATGGATTAATGAGAAAATCATATGCGCCGGATCAAAGGGGAAAACAACATGCAAAGGAGATTCCGGAGGAGCTTTGGTTGTAAATAATCAGGTGGTGGGTGTGGTTTCTGCTGGGCCTCTAACATGTGATGCGTCAACATTCTATGTCAACGTTCCCTACTACCATCAGTGGATTTTAGGGGCAGTTGAAGCGTTATATTTGTAAAAATAAGAAAATGGTGAAACTGTAAAATGTAAATGAATAAACAAGAAATGTTTAAAAAAAATCTTCAAAAAACGCTTCTTTATTAATCTCAAGCAAAATCTACAAATATTTTTTAGAATTTTTATAAAGTTCTGGCATTACCATGCAGACATCAAAGTGGTTTCTAAGGAAGCACCTAAGTTGTTCCTTGGCAAGTTTCCTTGCAGATCACATATTTCGAGCGGCTCCGTCTATAAAAACTTCTTTGTAATAACAGCAGCGCATCGTATTTCTAGACGAAAACCAAAGGATTTTCAGATTCGTGCAGGATCATCAATGAAAGTTTCTGGAGGCTATTCGGTTTAAAGAGGACTATAAGATACATTTGATTGAACAGGATATTGCCAGTATGCGGATAAGTAAGCCATTCCGCCCAAAAGTCAACATTTCTTTGGCCGAAACAAATCCAGTTTGGCCAAAAGGTTTACACTTACGAAGTGTTTCCCCAGACAGACCAGTCAGACAAGATGCCGATTATATTGAAAATGGAGTACTTGAATATTTCGTCCAGCATGCGGACAGATTCTAAAAAAAACGAGTTTCCTGGAAAACTCTGGAAGTTCATTAGTTGTTAAGGGAAAACTTGCAGTTATTGCGTCCGTTATTTTTGGACTATATACAATCCGTCTTTAATAAAATAGGTTTCAGAAACTTAAAAGTATTAAGAATTCTAGATTGAAGAAATTTCCACCCGAGACATAATATCTATTTTTAAAAAATGACTTAAAAGTGCATTTAATTTAATTGCTTAAAAAAACTACGAATATAATCTTAAAGTATTTGATTTATTATTTTCTACTTAAAAGTTATAACTCTATACATTGCTTCACCAATTGAAAAATTTATCATAAAACACCGCATTCTTATATGTCAAAAATACCTTTTGTGAAACTAAAGTTAGACATGAGGTAATATGCAGATAAGTTTTTTGTATAAATTAAAAGCTTTCTTGGCTGTAAAATGCAGTAGTCCCAATCGAACCAGGTCAAGATGTTCATTACGACGCTTCTCTTGTTAATGGCAGCTAATGTCCTCTTGGCAGGACACATTAACCATTCAAAAAATCGTATCATTGGAGGAAGTAATACCGCAAAAGAAAAGGCTCCTTGGCAAGTTTATTTCGAATGGAGAGAAGATTTAAAAAATTTTACATGTGGTGGCTCACTAATAAAATCAGAAGTTGTGTTAACGGCCGCTCATTGTGTAAATTTGACACAGTTGGAAACATATGGGGTTCGAGTTGGTTCTTCAAGCAGAGATAAAGGAGGACAACTTTTCACCGTTGCGAAGATTGTGGTACATCAAGATCATAATACAGACAACCTTCAGTTTCTCAACGACATTGCTGTGTTGAGATTAAGCAATCCCGTTAAAATTGGTCCTTCAGCTCAAACTATTGCACTGGCTACGTACGCACCTCCTGCTGGAGCCCAGGCCTTGATCACCGGATGGGGCAAGATCTCGCCTGATGTGGAAGAGAAACCTATCATATTGCAAGGAATCAATGTTACCATATTGTCCTCCGATGAGTGCTCCATATTTCCATGGCTTTATGAGAAAATCATATGCGCCGGATCAAAGGGAAAAACAGCATGCGAGGGAGATTCCGGAGGAGCTTTGGTTGTAAATAACCAGGTGGTGGGTGTGGTTTCAACTGGGAAATGCGACGGGCCGACAAAATATGTCAGCGTTCCCTACTACCACCAGTGGATTTTAGGAGCAGTTGACGAATTATATTTATAAATAAAACAATAAATGAATAGTCGAGTCGAATAAATGAGTAGCGATTTTCAGCCGGGCCCCTGCACAGAAGAATTCCAAGGATACCCTGGACATTGAAGCCATGTCCGAATAACTGCGAGTCCTACAGAAAATCAATAGTTATGTGGAGAACAGGGTTGATGCCTGTGAGCTGTCGGACAGTGACAGTGATGTGATGCCCCCGCCAAGAGAATACATTTTTTAAGGAATTGGGAATTGAAGGTAGCTTGAAGGAAATTTTTAAGAGATTCTTCTTAAACGATGCAAAGATCAATTCTTCATCAACCTGCATAAAAATCGGTGAATACATTCAAATATTTTTTTTGTGGTTATTTTTTTAAAGGATAAGAAGGGTCCTGTGCAAAATATACAAAAAGGCAAGGAGTCACAATGTTCCAATGTACTAATTTTATTTACTGTAAGGCACTACTGTACGACTCTAAAGCACTATTATCCACTGGATTGTTTGGTGCATTCTTGACTAAATTCTCGACAGAAGCTTCTGTTGAGGAGGACACCAGGGTGTTGACAAAGTTGCGATCGAGACCCTCGAAGAACCGCAAGCCCGTGGCGTTCTCAATGTCTCGGATATCGCTGAGTAAGGTCTTCAGTTCGACATTATTGTTTAGAGGCGTATTGGGCATCACATACGCCTCGGCATATGGTGTGTCATCGGGACCGAATTTTGGATCGATAACGAGAACCTTGAAGAAATGCGTGGGCACGGCGACCATGAAGCGGTCCTCCGATTGGTACTCCAGGAACCAGCTGTCTGCCTTCATTTCTCGTGGCAAGTAAATGGATCCGGTATAGACATAAATGGTTCCATGATTTTTGCTCATTTCGTTGACGTGTCGCAACAAACGGTCCCACACGCCGAGATTGAAACCACGGTTCATGAAGGGCTTAATGTTGGACAAGAAGAAAACCCTCGAAGCCTCCGACTGGCTAAAGGCGCCACATGGAGCTATGGAGACTCTGTCCTCATAAAGAGGCCGATTGTTGACATCTACCCGTTCACACATCCACTGTATGGCAGAGTTGCGGCGATCGAATGAGGTTACAAAGTCAAAGATCTCGTTCAGACTGATCTCATTCATGCTGGGGAATCCATACTTCATGATTCCACCCAGCTTATGCTTCCGTTCTGCCTTAGAATCGTCTATCTCTATGCTGGAGGCTCTAACTCTAAAGATTCCCAGCTAGTACGTCATATACAATTATGAAATATTTGATATTATAATTAAAAAAAAACCCTCACCAAATCATACAGCTTGCGACGAATAAAATAGGCATGAGGATTCCGCTGTTCTAAGTATTGGATATTCCTCATCACTTCGCTGTGCTGATAATAAGCGCCCAATGCAAAGAAGGATCCTGCGGTGGCCGCCAACATTGCCAGGATGCCCTTCCCCATCTTTGGTTCCATCCATCAACTATCCAAATTTTGATTATTTAAATATATATACAAGTAAAGATTTAGAATAGCATATAATTTATAAATATGTGTGCGTCTATTTTCCAAGTTATATCCGTGAAATATATACAAAAAGTAACTAGGATTTTCTCTAAAAAGTTACTACCCAAAACTGTTAAAAATTTGTATATTTTATTGAGGAGAAATTACCTTAAATCCTGTTTTGTGCTGGTGGGTCCTCTTGACTTTTACGGCCGTTAATCTTTAAAGTTTTCGGGCGACAAGACACCCCATTTTCGAGTTCAAAGGCAACACTTGGCTGCACTTGGCCAACTGCATTAAGTCAATAGAAAAAGTTACAGTCATCGTCACTGCGTCGAAAACTGAAAACTAAAAAGCCCCCAGGACAAAGGGTCCTTTGCCCCCGTTTCTCCCTCCCTGAACTGTGTACATAATAAGCATTTTCGTGGGGTTGAGGAGGTTACGCCTGACTATGCCTGACTAAACCAAAAACAGAGTCAAGATTTATTCTACAAATCTCATCGTACTTTGTTATCCTCAAAAACGTTAGTTGTGGCTTTACAGCTCTTTAGGTTTTGACCAGAAAACTTTAATTTCCTGTCAGAAAGTTTAAACGGTAAAGAAATAATAATAAAATAATGCAATAATCCTTGATTCAGTAAACTTTAATTACTAACGGAAGTGAAAATTAAGACGTCAAATGTCCTGGCTACCAGGCCTCAAACTTAGGGTTCTTTCCCCAGGTGCCCCAATTTCGATTCCACATCAATTTTCGACTCGAGGCAGCCGCGAGGCATTGCCAATTAATTTCTACCTACTAATTGGTGGTTTGCCAACTTCATTGGCCTCCAGGGGACACTGAGGGCCGGGCCCTGTTTGGTTTGGGCCGACGTTCAGTTTGCATATTGATTGATGCCTGGCGGACCACTTGAGGTGCAGCCTCCTTTTTGGGTTTGTCAAGGACTCGTTGATTTTCTAGTCTCGCTCCGTCGTGTGGATTTTCTAATCAACATGGCTCGCCCAAATTTGCATAATTAAAACGTTTTCACGTAGGCCACTTGCCTAGCCAAGTCAAGAAAATGTCACGCCCCTTTCTAGTCTTCAGATTTTCCAGTTATCCTTGCTGGCTGGAAATTGACTCGCTAAGTGAGTGAAAATTTGTCGCCTCATTTGAGTTTGGATTAATGAATTATGTACTCGGGCGACTTAATTAGGCGGGCTTCGAATGTGATTAGGGTCTGGCAATTAGCCGATAGGACTCGAAAAGTATTCAGGATCTGCGATAATCATTTGCTGACTGACAGCCATTAAAAAATTTACCCAAAAGGTTCTCGCCACACCAATCTCATTATATGGTTGCTATTTTTTCCTTTTCTCCTTTATATTTACGTTTTTTTCGGGTTTATGGCAGGTTAACTTAATGTGGTAATTAACCTATCTGGCCTAAAAAGGGTTTATCAGCTGTAATTTTATTTGCTTTTCAACTTTGGGGGCTTGTTAGGGTTCCTGGAAGACAATTAAAAAAATGTAAAAATTATCGTTTATAATGGCTTTTTTAAAATGTGATATTTTTAATACTATTTGATCTATTTTTTTTACCGATTAAAGAAATTAAATGAGATCTATCATGTCCTATCCATAGATAAAGATATCCTAGATGGAGGATAAACAATTTGAGACTTTTTAAGAAAGGAAAAAAATCATCTGGAAAATGTATTAAAACCTATCGTAAATAATTAAGATAGGTCTAATGATGTAGATTGATAGAGAAATATTTTTCGATAACCCTTAGATAGTCTATTAAATTTAGAATAATTATTAATAATTATAATTATCCATATTCATTATAAAATGTGTACCCCCTTGTCATTAAAAAAAATTTATTTTTCGAATGATCGGTGCTAGTAATTAACACGTCTATGGGAGGAGGCTTCTGCTCATCAATTAGAAATTGGAAACGAGAGTAATGAGAGAACCTACAGATATGGCAAATACACTGTAAAAAGCCAAAATGTGTTCGGTACTCGACTCCCAGGGGTCTCTGCTATAAGTGCATATGTACATACATATATACATGAACATTATCAAAGTCGGGGTATCAAGATCGGCTCCACGGCAGACTGAGAATACTGTCAGTTAGTTGGGCACGCACCACCAAGCGGGTCAGATCTGTCGCTCGTGGCGCTCAAAGTTAGCCGGAGGTAAACGTACCGTTACAGCGGATCGGTCAACGGACGTTAAGCAATATACTCGATCGGTCAAAATCAGACCCCCCACGGTCCAATCAATCATGATCTCACAGCTGGGTCGGATCTGGATAATTGGTGGTGGAGTAGTGCTGGCGTTGGTGGCTCTTACAGTGGGTGAGTTCAAGAATACAGAGGGGAAATGTCATCTTTTAGGTTAACATAAGATTTTGGCATATTTTTTCTCTGTGCCCTAGTATTTTTCGTATTTGAAAAGATAAAATAAACAATTTTTAAATCATTCTTTAGCATCACCAGCTACCACCGAAAGTGCTCTCAATCCAAATGCCAATTGTAATTATACCCTTATCAAGTCCAAAACCTTGGGTGTGGATCCCTCCTTTTGGAAGAAGTTCTTCAAACACTGGATACCCTTCACCAGCAGTGCCCGAAGTAGAATGCAATTTATTCTTTTCAAGAAAGACTTTGCAGATTGCGGAAAAGAATTGTTCCTCGGCGATGTGGAAAGTCTCAAGAACTCCGGATTCGATGCACGTCATCCGACAAGGTAACAGGGGGATTTCCTGGAAGATTATAAATAGCGATTGCAAATCGAATCGGGTTGAGGGAAAACACTTTTTGTTTGACTCGTTAATCGTGGTGGGAGAAGTAATTGTGCAATCAACACAAAAGCCGTTCAAACTTTTACAGACAAAACAATTAGTAGTGTATTTAGTATTCCCAGTGAATGTGTTTCGGGTTAGACGTCACAGACCATCTAATTAATGAGAGACCAAAACAGACACTCAATGAATAGAACCCAAAACAAATATTTACCAAACTCTCTCACTAAATATTTTTTTTTTTGAATTTTTCGCGAGGAATGAGAAACTGGTTTCTCTGCTTTTAATATACACTCATATTTTTGTATAATTTAAATTTTACGGTGAGCTTTTGTTTGGCATATAGACTCTTATCGCTTAAACTGAGTCACTACCAAAATTGGGAAAAAAAAGACTCAGGTAATTAGTTAAGTAATTATTTTTATGCAGATTTGAAATTATTGTTAGCGTTATCTTATCAATTCCTTATTTACAAGAGATAATATATAGGTGATTGTTTTTATTTAACAAAATATTGTAGTGAATATATGTGATAAATATATAGTTACTTGAGGCACCTGCCTTCGGAAAAACACCAATAATGTGATAATTGTCTGAATTAAAAATAAAGTTAATGTAATATGGACAATTAAAATATTAATTTTGTTAAAATACTTCACCTTCTTGGCTTAAACTTTCATAATAATTTTTATTTTCAGAATTGTAATTCATGGATGGATGAGTCAGAGCAAAGGATCTCATATCCGTAAAGTTAAAAACGCCTATCTGAGTCTTACCCAGCCAGGAATTAATGGCGAACCTGCCCGTTACGAGGATTTCAATGTAATTGTCTGCGATTGGAGCCGCATTTCCACGAATGTCAATTACTACGAAGTGGCCAAAACGGTGGAGGATCTGGGAGCTTTACTTGCGGATCTAGTCCGTTTCTTGCACCTAGAAGCAAATCTTCACTACGATGATGTCTACGTTATTGGTCACTCTTTGGGCGCCCAGATTGCTGGCAGTGCCGGCAAGCAAATTCTACCATATCGCTTCAATACCATCTATGCTTTAGACCCCGCGGGTCCCAAGTTCCGGGATCAAACCGATGAATATCGGATAGACGCCAGCGATGCTACCTATGTGGAGTCCATTCAGACAAGTGTCAGTTTCGGCTTTGAACAGCCCGTGGGGCATGCCACTTTCTATCCAAATTATGGAAAAAATCAGAAAAAGTGTTATGTGTATGGTTGTTCGCACAAGAGATCGCATGATTACTTCATAGAGACTCTGACGAGTCCTGCAGGATTTTGGGGTCCTCGCTGTGAACGTTTTGATAATGGAACTTGGATTCTTCTGCTCAGCGATGGAGAATTCCGAATGGGCGGAGAGCCTTCCATCCCAAAGAATGGTACTTTCTACATAAAGACCTATGCCAAGCCGCCATATGCTATGGGTCATAGGTGGATGACGGAGCCGGCTCCAAAGGAAGACGAGGAAGAGAACTCTACAGAGGACCGAAAACTAACAATATCTTAGATAAATGTTTAATGTTAAATGTTAAATATTTAATTTATGATTTTTTGTAAAGTGTAAATAAAGTGATTAGTGTCATACTATTTTAACATAAGGTTTCAAATGGAAATACTCTTACCAACTCTACTACCACCTCTAGAACCATTTCGTTACTTTGAAACTGCCTTATCTTTACTTAAGCCAAGAAAAATGTAAACCAATTTAATGGAAAAATTACCCACGAACTCCGCATTACTGATTGGAAACTCCCGTTCGTTGGGTAAGAGCCATATATAAGGCAGTTGAAACGCCGTTGACTGGTTCATTTTTAAGCAAATTCTTAACGAAAATGTTGCGGGCCCAAGGTTTTTGTTTTGGTTTTTTAGTTTTAATTTTCTCTGTGATGGCAAGACCTAGAGTTAATAAACAACTTAAGTTTAATTATCCTGGAACACCGACAACAGAACAATCTATAGAGCATTTTGTTGAGACAAGTAGCACCGAAAGTGAAGTGTTAACGGAAACAACAAGTGAAGAAACTTTGGAAGAATCTTCTTCCGAACTTTATTCAGAAGATACAACTGAGGAATACAGCACAGAGTCATCTACTGGGGAATACTACACTGACTCCAGTACAGATTTTTCGAAATCAACTGACAGCACCGACTCCAGTACAAGTTTTTCGGAATCAACTGAGATAACTACAGATTCGAGTGATGAATCCGATGAAAGCCAAAGTGATGAAGATTCATCGGATTACAGTGATATTTCCAAAGACAGTAGTGGAATCATTTGGCCAGACTCTAGTCAGGAATCTTTCGAAAGCTGGGAGCCAGAAGACTCAGATGGGGATTTTTCCGGAGGAGATTTTAGCGCTGGAAAGTCTGGGGAAATATTTGATTATAGCTGAAAAATTTAAACAAATAACATCACATACCTTAATTTTTCTGTCAATTTATAAACCGAGTCTGTAACACTCAAATTCAAATTAAAACTAGTAGAAATGGAAACTTTTCTCTTCACGTTGTTCTTCCTGTCGTTGAAGTCTTTGGTCTCGGGAATACCCATACCGATGTATGATCTTTATTATTCAACGGACACCCAGGTGGACTTTGTTGATTATGATCCCTATATTATTACATAAAATGTAAGTAAACAGGTATTTTAAAAATAATTAATAATTTAATTTATTTTTCATTTAGAGTAATACTTCTGCCGCTCAGTAATGCTGCTGCTCTAACTTTGGAAGAACTTGGCTACTGTAAAATGTTCAATTATCTTTTTTTTCCAAAACGAGGCATTAAATAATATAAACCTTTTAAGGATGATTTTTAAGATGGTCTAAGGTATACACGTGTAACTTATAAGATAATAAAATGTATAACTAAAGCTTAATAACCTTTTCAAATAAATTCTAAATATTTTATATTTAAAATAAAATAATAATATAGCTGTTCTAGTTACTGACTGCCACTTCCTTTATAGAATTTTCGACAACGCTTTCGTTGTGGCTTGCCGCATATTTCGACAAAAAATTTAATTAAAACAAACAGTATGTTACACGACATAGTTGTTCCAGCTTCTTTAGGGACTGCGGATGCAGTTTGCCTTTTTTGTGAAGGGGGGCAAAAACAAGTATTTGTAAATGCATTTTACTTGGCTTAATTAGTTGAGATTTTACATTATTCATACGCCACGTGTGACCGGACCAGTGGAAGACCACTTTCTGCCATGCCCTTCCTTTCAGACCCCGACAGCATCATATTTTTCACTTAATTAAAATTTTCGTTGTTTTTGGTTGTTGGGTTTGAGGTTGGCTTGGGTATTTTTATGAATTTTATGGGAAGACGTGAAAGCTAGTGCAGTTTTCCTTAACTTTAAGGTTTTAAGAAAAAACATTTTATTGGTTTTAATATTATAAACCACGTAAGAAGTTTTCTAAAAGCTTACATCTTAAGGTCAAAAAGTCGTACAAAATGCCTGCATAAATTGGTTTTAAATTTTCATTTTGTTCTGACAGAATGACATGTTCCGGCCAAATCCACAAACCAGAAAAGCCAGGACATTTTAAGTTTGACATAAGCCATTTATTGGCTTGTTAACTATCTCTGTTTGCTTATCGTAATTGTTGTCTTAAATTGACAAGTTTAAGGCCTTATCAGACCGAAGTAATCTTTTAAGACTTTTTGCGAATCCTTTTGCTGGCCACCTCGTTAAATCTCAGGTGGAAAAAGCTTTCAGCCAAATTTTATGCAAAATCATTTTCTCCGTTTCCCATTTGACCCGAAGTAGTTGAATCAGCTTGAAGTGGAAATTGCTTCGATTGATGATTGTGAAAGGATGGAAAACCCTCACAGAATTTGATTATTTAAATTCTCACATTCGTTTTCGTGGCCCATAAATTATTTATGAGGCATGGGCGGGTGTGTGTGTGTGTGCTAGGATTTCCATTATGGCATTCTAATTAAGGACACCCACAGAATGTCTCCCAAGTTCATAGTGAGTAACTGATGACCAAAGGACTTTGGACTTTGGCTTTCCTTCTGCTCGAGTGTGTGATGGGAATTAGACCCTTAAAAATTCACTGCAAAATTCATACGTAGCTGGGAAATGTGGGAAGCCTTTTCGGTTGACAGCCTAAAGACCAATTTGTCGCCCTGTAAAGGATTGTGTGAAAACCTTTGGGTGTCATAACTTTGTCCCACCATCAACACAAAAAAAAAAGAGCTCAAAAGAAAGGAAAAATTAAAATGAAATCAAGTTTCATTTTGCGACGTGGGTGGGGCTCAAAAGGTTACACAAAGGCATTCGAGATATTTGGGCAAATGAGTCCGATACAAGGCGATGACAATGAGTTACATATAGCCTCACAAAAGGACCTGCAGCAGGACACGCACACAGCTTTACACGCACTTAGGTCAGCAGATATGTCTGGCTTGGATATCAGGAAGTGAGATGCTTCGCCACTTGGAACCATTTACTTCTCACATCCTCCGTAAACTCAACCGTATCCGTATCCCTGTATCTGTATCTCAACGTCTCCGATGCTATTTGTGCAGTTTTATAGCATTTTTATGGCACACAAGTTCAGTGCTTTGTGCCTTCTGTCGGTGTGTCCTCTGTAGTCCTTCGTCCGGTTGCCTCTTTAAAATATTTAAATTTCATGTGCCTGGATATATAAAGGAGGGTGTAGAATATTTGGTTCCGCTGTGAGCTCAACTGTGTAATAGAGGAGGCCTTCTTCAAGTAATGGCAAGGAAAAGTATGAAAATGGGTTCAGGAAGTCATGATTTCCAGGGTCTGGGGATAATATTTGCAAACCAAGATAGGAATTATATACTGGATTTTGAGTGTTTTCCTATCACTTGTTTCTCAATAAAAAATAATTAGATAAGTATATTCAAAAACCCTCTTAAATAAAGTAACTTCCAGCCCTGGTTTTTGAGAATTTCCCCCTAGAATTTCACATATCCCCCCATATCTATGTCAGTTCACTTGAGTGCTGTTGCTGTTGTTGCTGCGGCTTCTTTTCGGGGCCTTTTTCCAAGTTTGCGGTGTGATTTTATGTGCAAACTTAAATTACACAATTTTGGGGGCCATGAATACATTTTTCTCCCCATCTTGCTGAGGCTGATGATGTTGCTTTTGCTTTTGCTGTTTCTTGGACTTTTGTACTGATGGTATAGCAGCTCCTTGGATCCTTGAAACTGGCAAAAGGGACAATGAGTTGCTAAATGCTTTGAATATTCTTCTGGCCATTGCCTGGCACTGCATGCATAATATACGATATATGGCCATGTCAGAGTTGGCCAAAAGGCGAAGGGGTTGCGGGAAACAGTGTTGACAGGTCGAGTGTGTCATGCGGTTTCTTCTTTACCAGAAACACTCTTGGCCAGAAATTGTATTGCGCCTGTCTCTGGGCAACCAAAGGATTTTGGTTTTGGCTTGGATTTTATTTAATGAAGAATATTTTAAATGTAATACATTTGACATGAAGAAGGTTTTGTTTATTACAAAAAAGAAATAGCGTATAAATATTAAAAAACTAACAAGTACTCACACGAGTATAAAATCTTTCTCTTTATGTTTTCTCGTTAAATGTTTTTTATTCTTTTGAATTTGTTTTGGTCCTTTATGGAGTTTGCACTCTGCAATCCTTATTAAAAGGCAACTTAATGATTGGGGTTGCTGTGAGCGGGGGTGTATCTGTGTATATGTGTTGCTTTAGTCCTTTTTAATGCCTGTTAAGCACATAACAAAGTACGCACTTTGTTAACATTTAAAAGCCAGCCATAAAGGCAACAGCAGCTTCTGTCCTTCCACCCACAAATGCAGCTGAGAATCTGGTAGTCGTGGTCAAAAATAGAATAGCTTTTATTTTATCTTTTATTATTTTAGCATGTCCCTTGCTTAGACTACTTTTTTGTTATTTAAATTAAAAGCGATGGCAATCGCCTCCTGGTGGGATTTTCTATACTCTTTATATTATCACCCAGGCCACAGCATTTATGAAAACTATTTGCAGGATGCGAAGGCCAGCACAGCAGAAAAGGGAATTGCATTAAAAACAAATAGAAGGCAGAGGTGCAGGCCAACACTCACCCCAGGATAGTGGTAACGGCAGGTCCTGCCCGCCAGTTTGTACTGGATGTTTATGAAAGGCCCGGCCGGGCACGTTCCAGACTCCATGCCGAGGATTCAAAAAGGAGCACCAGAGTGCAAACAAATAAGAAAACAGCCAAAGCCAGCCAGAGGAAAAACGAATCCGGAACTGAGCTCCTTCCGGCTTGAGTTCCCTGGGAGGTGGTTAAGTGGTAGACGTCAAAAACATTCGACGGTAAATATATTTTATTTTTATTTTTTTTGTCTAAATTTAATTTAAAATTACAATTTAATTTTAAAACAAATTAAAGGCTTTGATGCCTAAGATCAGATGACCTGGATGAATTATTTGAAACACTCTTTTAAAAGTTAACCTGATTTGTATTTCATATTTTTCACTAAATATTTGTATTTTTCCCAGTGTACTAATAACACTGACTAAAACAAACAAATCGCAAATTGAAAAAAGCAGATAAGTAGTACAGGCCCCATAGTTGGCTTTTTCTTTTCATTTCCATCGCGAAGGAAAAGTGAAATGGTTGCAAGGAGAATGGCAAATAAAAATCAGTGCTTCGTTCGTGCCCCTGTCCTGCAATTGCTCTCCAGTTATCCTGGCAACTCCCGGCCACTCCTCACCCCCGCGGGACCCTTTATTGGTAACATTGTTAACCCTGCAAGTTATGCATTCTTAATTTAATCGCTGGAATTGACTCTCCAGCACCAACTCTCACTGGCTTAGCGACTTGGTTGGGCTTCGTTTTCCATTTTTGCCTCCAGGCTGCCTCCCGGAGGCCAAAGTTTGCACCAGAGATTAGGCATATATCATGCGATTATATTGCACAGTTTGCATTGCCCAATGACTTGGAAATCGCAAACTCATGGGGCGAAGGATTAAGTTGCAGAGAATCCTTCCATAAAAAAAGAAGGAAAATAAAAGAAGATTCGCCAAGAAAGCAGGCTAAAGGCGAAAAACAAATATCCTTAACAGTGAACTGCCGTTATGTAGGACTCGTTAATAACTTTCAATTCGCATTAAAAATTATAAAAATTATTCCATGACCAATTATATTTTCAAATTTAATTGCAAGTAACAATTGCTAGTAATTTTTTAAATCCTGTTAGCTGCATTACGGATCCAGGACCTTAGTTTGGCCACATTGGCATAGACTCCTGGATAATTGGGATTGGCACATCCATTGCCAAAGGACACAATGCCCACAAGTTTTCCGCCCGAGACCAGAGGACCGCCGGAGTCTCCTTGGCACGAATCCTTTCCCGGAGCCGAAGCACATATCATGACATTCTGAATCAATCCACCGTAGGCCCTATTGCACTGATCCTGATCCACAATAGCCACGTCTGCAGCCAATAGAGTGCTGGACGCCGGCTTCTGATATCCAATGGCCCCCCATCCACTTACTCGAGCAGAATCTGCGGTCCTGGGAACTTTGTAAGCCAGCGGAATAGCGCGGACACTAGCATTCAGTGTAAGACGGGACTCCAGGCGGAGCACGGCCACATCATTGGCCACCGTGTTCTCATCGTAATCCTCGTGCACCAGGATCTTGGAAACCCTCACCGACTGACCACCCGAGTTGCTGTCTGTGGAACCCACTCTCACGGAAAGGGATATGGGACGAATGGAAGCCATGCAGTGCGCAGCCGTTATAACGATGTCTTCCCTGTAGATGGAGCCGCCGCAAAAATGTCTTCCATTAATTTGCAAAGACACCTGCCACGGAACCGATGTGATGGCCACCGAGTTGCCACCGACAATCCTACCCGGAAGCCATTTGGCGGAGATCAAAGCTCCACACGAGATCAGGAAAAGTCCGTTTAAGAGCAACATTCTCTATTCAAGTTCGAGTCACTAATAATTGTTTTTCTCGCAAAACTAGTTCCTATATATTTATTTTTTTAGTGAACTTACATTCCTTGCGTGTTAATGACTTAAGAATGTTTTTCCACTTAAGCTAAGCTGGCGAAAAAATGAGGTTAAACTATCAGTTAAATAAATCATATTGAGAAACCATTAACAAGAATTGGTTCATTAACTAGGTAAGGGGTTTAAGGGTTTGCTCTTCTAAAAAAAGAACAATTGATCATACACTATGATATATTTTCAAACTTTTAAAAATGGAACTAATTAGTTTTAAAGTTTTGCAGCTAAAGATAAAAACTATTAATAAAAATGAACTGCTCGTAAAATTCTTAAAGAAATATTTATTTTTTTAAGTCTATTTATTTTTATTAAGGTAATGACAATAGATTTCTTATTTGTGTCAGAATTTTTTTTTGTTTACCATAATATTTTTTCCCATGAAATGTTAAATTACAAAATTGGAATCTGATATATATGTATATGCATGTGTGTTTTGTTACTTTATTCATATAACTTTATTTTTAAACTCTTTCAGCTGCTTTCAGAATCCATGGCCTTAGCTCAGCCACATTGGCGTAGACATCTGGAAGGTTGGGATATCCTTTGGATGCACATGAGATGCCGAACGATACAATGCCCACAAGTTTTCCACCGGAAACCAGAGGACCGCCGGAATCATAACTACAGGCATTCTTTCCGGGAGTAGAGGCACAAATCATGACATTTTTAATCATTCCATGGTAGTCTTTATTACAATGCTCATGATCCACAATTTGTAGATCAGCAGCCAAAAGAACCTTGGACTTTAATAAATTCAAGCCCACGAGTCCCCATCCACTAACCAGAGCACGAGCTCCGGGTCGGGGTGGCTCGTCCGCCAGTGGAATGGCCCGGACATCTTCTCCCATAAGGAGGCTAGAGTTCAAATGAAGAACTGCAATATCATTGGCTACTGTGGTCTCATTAAAATCCTCATGACATATGATTTTTGATACAGCCACCACTTGCCCACCTTTATCTAAGTCCGCCGTGCCCACTCTCACGAAAACAGAAGAAGTAGGTGTGCCCCTCAGGCAGTGGGCAGCCGTTATAATTGTGTCTTCACTGTGTATGAATCCACCACATATCTGTTTACCATCTATTTGCACAGAAGCTTGCCAAGGAACCGAGGATATGTTCACGGAGTATCCTCCTGCAATCCGAACCGGAAGCCATCCGGCGGAAATACGAGTTGCGCTGAAGATCAGGAGAAGTCCGCAGTGTAAGAACATTTTGTTTACACCATTCCTTTAGTGCAGAAAAACACCGCGTTTTTATGTATTTTCTCGATTGGTAGTTAAAGATTATTTACAAATTTCCAAATGGTTTTTGTGAATTATCTTGAGTTTTCAAAATTATCAACGTATTTTAAGTTTTCCATTTACTAAGGCTTTCTTTTCAATATACACTACAAAATTCCATAGATTAAATGTTAATTTAAACGCAAATTTTTCATGAAATTGGATAAACAATAGATAAGGGTCGCTTTAAGGCCGGGAAGAATTAGAAAATTTTAAACTTGGGCTCTATAGCCCGTTCCATGTATTGCTTCCAATACCCAAAATAAAATCTTTAAAAAAAGTGTTTTGCCATTTTTGATACAGATAAGTGGAATATCTGCAAATATTTCAAGGTATTTCGCTCAAGAATCGAACATGTATTGGCAAAGTAATACCCTGCTCAGGTGACCATATTGTGCACTCCATACATTTGGGGATTTTGAAGGGGATTAGAAATTTGACAAAAATTCTTTAAAAATATTTGAATGCAGATTGGTGCAGAAACGATCAAGAAATCGTAAAAATTGTAGATTTTTGAGGACTTTTTTTGGATTTTAATATTGTGCTTGTAGGTTGTGAGGCAGATTGGCGGAGAATTGATACACAAATAATTTGAAGTATTCCGTGTAAGGATCGGTTTAGATGTGAAAAAGTCTTGGCCTTCTCGAGAGTCAAATTGCCCTTCCCGAAAAATGTTACAAAAAATAGTTTTGCTGCGATTTATTTATTTTTGTTTTTTATAATAAGGAATATGCCTTATCAATTGCTCCTAAAATCCACTGGTGGTAGTAGGGAACGCTAGCATGGGATGTTGGCGTATTACACCATTCACCTCCAGCCGAAACCACACCCACCACCTGGTTATTAACAACCAAACCTCCTCCGGAATCTCCATCGCATGGTGTTTTTCCATATGATCCAGCGCATATGTTGCCTTCGTTTACCCATGGAAATTTATTGCACTCCACGGAGGACAAAATGGAAACATTGATTCCTTGCAATACGATAGGAGACTCTTCCACAAACGGCGAGATCTTTCCCCATCCGGTGGCCAAGGCCTGGGCTCCAGCAGGAGGCGCGTACGTAGCCAGTGAAATAGTTTGAACTGAAGGACCAATTTGAACGGGATTGCTTAATCTCAACACGGCAATGTCGTTGAGAAATAGATTTTTCTTTTCGTCTATATGAAAATATTCGTGTACCACGATCTTTGCAACGGTGAAAAGTTGTCCTCCTTTGTTTTTGTTTGAAGAACCAACTCGAACAGTATACTTTGTTAGTATACTATTAGAACTTACACAATGGCCGGCTGTTAACACAATGTCGGGTCTTATTAGTGAGCCACCACATTCAGATGTAGGTGAAAATAGTATGCGTTTTTGTAGAAAAACCTGCCAAGGAGCTGTCTCGATAGCTGCATTGCTTCCTCCAATGATTCGATTTTCAGGATGGCCAATGTGTCCTGCCGAAAGGACATTAGCTGCCATTAGCAAGAGAAGCGTCTTGACGAACATCCTGAACTTGTCCGATTGGAACAACTGGATTGAATGATTTTACAGCCAAGCAAGCTTGTAATTTATACAGAAAAATAATCTGCATTTTACCTCATTTCTAATTTAGTTTCACAAAAGGTGTTCTTTAAATACATATAAGAATGTTGGGTTTTAATTAAAAATTTAAATTTGTGAAATAATCTAGAAAGTTATAACTTAGAAAATTTTAAAGAAAATATTTTAAGATTATGTTGGTAGTTTTTGAAAAACAACTAGCTTTAATAAGAAATAATATCAGGGATCGTGAATAATCACTAAATAATAATTATTGCTATTTATTTTTCTCCCTCAAAAGTATCACTCTTTTTGAGATCTCGGCCTTCTTTTTTTATTAAATTTTTTGGATATTTGTACCATGTTCTAGTATTAGTACCAATGTTTTTTTAAATATCACTCCTCCGGCTGAAATAAGAAAATTAGAAACAAGAAAGAAAACCTTTGTTTCTTGCTATGATATATCCTTGGACTTAAAATCGGATATATATCGCACACATCGGATATAATTATCAAATTATTATTTCTTTATTTGTATTCATTATAAAATCAACTTCTTGAAACACAAATTTTTCAAAATTACCAATCTTCATCTATAGGTAACAACAAAGTTGCCTTATTTCGTTTAGTTACAAATTGTAAATAAAAATTTATTTACAGATTTTAATGCAGACTGTTACAGAATTAATCCTTGAATCCGTTAATATATCCGCTCCACAATCTGAATAAATTTAAAGAATTTATGATCTTGGCAGGGCATATTGGCATATTGTAACAACCAGGAAAAGGTACAAAATACATTTTTTTTAACTTTATTACATTGAACTCTTTTATTAATTTTTTTTTCATATTTATAAATATAATTCTTCGATTGCATTTAAAATCCACTCGTGGTAGAGCGGGACGCCGGCATACGTTGTTGCTGTGTCACATTTGTTGCTTCCTGCAGAAACCACACCAACCACCTGATTATTTACAACCAAAGATCCTCCGGAGTCTCCTCCGCATGTGGTTGTTCCCATTCTTCCGGCGCATATGTTTCCAGAGTTAAACCATGAAAGTTTTATGCAGCTACTCTGAGGCAAAATAGTAACAAAGGTTCCGTGCAATTTGGAAGTAATAATAGTAGGTTGTCCGAAGTAGTCCGTGATGTTGCCCCATCCGGAGACAAAGCCCTGGGTTCCAACGGGAGGTAAATTGGTAGCTAGATCAATGATTTGTACTGAGGATCTAGTTGAAACAGGTTTCTCTAATAGCAACACGGCTATGTCATTAAGAAACAAATTTCGACTTGCGTTTATATATATATATTCGTGTTTCTTGAAATTGGCAACATGGATAACCTCTCCCCCTTCGTTTTTGTTCGAAGAACCAACTCGAACAGTAATTATGGCTGGTTCATTTCTATCGGGACTAGAAATTACACAATGGCCGGCTGTTAACACAATGTCGGGTCTTATTAGTGATCCACCACATCCAAATCCGAAATCCGTTTCGTTTCGTCGTCGAAGTACAAAAACCTGCCACGGAGCTGTTTCGATATCTATAGTAGCTCCTCCAATGATACGATTTTCAGGCCGGCGAATGTGCCCTGCCGAAAGGACATTAGCTGCCATTACCAAAAGAAGCGTTTTAATGAACATCCTGAAGTGTTTCAACTGGGACTACTAGTTTCAATGTTCTTACAGCCAAGTAAGCTTGTGATTTATACAAAAAAATAATCTGCATATTACCTCATAAGTAAATTTATTTTCACAAATGGTGTTCCTTAAAGATAATAAGGCGGGCCTATCAGATTAATTTTTCAATTTGTAAAACAATTTAGAAACTTATAACTAAGAGAGCCATAAATCAAGTCAAATATTTGTAAATTGTATGATAGTTTTTGAAAAGCAATTAAATAATTCTTGGAAAGGTATTATATACTTTTTGTTAAAAAATGTCTTTAAAAAAATATGAAAGCCGGAATTTTAAATTTTAAGCCTTTTCAATCTCTGAAATCCACTTGATTAAAGATGCAATACTTGTATATACTCCAGTTATTCCGGACGCAATAGCCACAAGTTTTCCATCCACGATTAAAGGACTCCCAGGGTCTGCCAAGAAACACGGTTTTTTAGGATCTTTTCTCATGCTGGACGAAATATTCAAGTACTCGGTTTTCGATATAATAGGCATCTTTACGGTTAAAAGATTTTTTGAACGTAATATGACTGGTCTGTCTGGGGAAACACTTTGTAAGGTAACAAAACCTTTTGGCCAACCAGTTGAAATGGCAACTTCCCCACCAACTGGATTTGTTTCGGCCAAAGAAATGTTGTCTTTTAAGCGGAATGGCTTACTTAACCGCATAATGGCAATATCGTGTTCAATCGAATGTATCTTATAGTCCTCGTGGGACCTTATAGCGGTAACATTTAGAAGAATTCCTCCAGAAACTGTCATTGGTGATCCTGCACGAATCTGAAAAGCTTCTGGTTTTCGTCCAAAAACACAATGTGCTGCTGTTATTACAAAGTACTCCTTATAGATGGATCCGCTGCATATATGTGATCCTTTGATTTGCAAGGAAACTTGCCAAGGAACCTTTTCGATGTCTGTATGGTTCACATGGATTCGAATTTTGTTCGAATCATGATTATACTCAATGTTAAGAACAAGCGCCAATCCGGTAAAAAATACAATTATAAAAACCATTGAGTTGCTGATTTTGAGAATCTGGTATTTATATTTTTCTAACAAACTGTTGAGCAAATGTTGGTCTTTTTATATCCTAGATTTTCTCATATACCTTCCGGGTTTCACATTCCGTAGAAGATATTTTTGGCATAATGGACATTGAAATGCAACTAGTAATGAAGAAGATTAGGAAATATTTGTCATCTGAAAAAAACGGGTACGCTTATTCGAAAGTCATTGTATATATAATCTGTGTTTTAAATTATTCTAGCTTACAAAAAAGGAAGAAGAGAATTCTTTAAAAATACTAGAAAGATTTTTAAGAGTGAGGCTGTTAATATTTATTCAAAATTTACAAAATTGTTTATATATTTATAGTAATGAATTTCAAAAATGTTATTTGTTTCAGAATTATTTAATTTTGTCCCATTTTAGCAATTTTAGCCTTAATCCATTTATAATGGTGGGAAATGCTGATGGATGTTGAAAATTGATTGCAAGTCTTCTTGTTGAAAGAGTTGGCAGTAATTATTCCCATGAGAGTGTTGTTGACGATTATAGGTCCTCCAATGTGTCCTTTGCAGCTTCTTAGATTGGAGCAAAGAAATCTTCCAGGCTTTGAGGGAAGGTTGCATTTATCGAGGGAAACCAGACTAATAGTGTTCCTTTGCAAGTGTGTGTTGTGATTCGAAATAGTGTGTGAGGATACTTCACCCCATCCATAAGCCTGAGCCTTAGATGGTAATAGTGGCATAACCATTGCCAGTTTAATAGTATTAGTATTTGGTCCAAGTTGGATAGATTGATTCAGTTTTAGTAATGTAATTTCAGGCTCAGACGACTTGAGAATGTTTGGTAAATTAACCTTAATAGCATCATAAATACGTCCTTTGTCGAACTTTGAAAACCAATATTGAACTTTATATGATTGTTGTTTTCCATTTGTTGAAGTCTTTGAAGTTATGACTACGTCCGGTCGTAACAAGACACCACTAAATATTGTTTGCTTCGCCTTGGTACTAGTGGAAGTAAACACAGATACCATAAAGGAGGCATCTCGAATTTTAATTGATTGTCCGCCAATAATGCGACTTTCAGGTCCTGACGAATGGACACTACAAACAAAAACTAAAATTAAAAGTTTAATAAACATTTTAACCAGTTTGAATAGAAGTTAATTTCACAATGGCTTATTAGCTTAAAGCGTAGGTTTTTTATAGGCCAAGACTGGTAACTGTTACCTCATATATACATTTATTTAATTGATTGATTTACGATACAAGTGCATACATTTTATTTATAATGCAACTTCTATAAAGCGCATTCTAAAATGATAATATAAATTGAAAATTGTTTGAAGTAATATAATGGTTTAAATTTGTATTTAGGTAAAATATTATTGTCTTCATTCCTTTGACTTAGTGTTCTCCATAATCCAGTTTTTATGATATGGAATACTAGTGTAAAATGCAGGTGTGTTGCAGAATAATACGCCGGTAGAAGTCAGACCCACTAGTTTTCCTCCAACAACCAAGGGTCCACCGGAATCACCAGCACATACACCTTTTTCAGATGATCCTGCACAAATCACTGGTTTGGAAATATTGTTTTCAAAAACGTCACATCTTTTTCGCTCCATGATGGTAACATTAACACTTTGAAGTTGAATTGGCGAATTATACTTTACAGCTTGTCTCTTTATCTCGTCAAAAGTTTCCTTAATTCTGTAATATTGTAATTCTGTCAGATATTCGAGATATCTGTTATTCAATATTTTTGACAATATATCTAATAATTTTAAAGCCGAATAATCCACAGTATACGAAGTAGCTCCCCAACCGCTTGCTAGTGCGACAGATCCAATAGCAGGTTCCTGATCCGCCAAAGGAATCGCCTTAATGTTGTTAGTAAACTTCAGAGATTTTTTTAATTGGAGAATTGCAATATCCGCATCGATTTGGTTACTACCGTAGTATTCATTGTGAATGCTTATGTGTTGCACTTCGAACAGAGCGCCATTTTTAGTTTCTGATCCTGCATAAACTTTGATATCTTCTGCTTTCTCGTTATACACGCAATGAGCAGCCGTTATGATGAAATTTTTTTTGTAAATAGATCCGCCACAACTAGAAAGGCTAGTTGTTAAAAATACCTGCCAGGGCACTTTTGAGATGGGTGTGTTACTTCCACCAATTATACGATTTTCCGGTTGAGGTCCTGCCAGGATAGGCAGGATACCGACTACAGACAGTAAAATAACAAGTCCAAGAAACATCTTCCTTTGTTGAAAGCCTTTTAGTTGAATTTGAATGTTGTGACCATTTGAAAGTTGGTCTTTTATAGTAAGAAACCTTATGGAATTTTATCATTATTTTTTAATTTATTTGAAAAACAGGAATTTTACCTTGGCTTTAAATTCTTTTGAGCAGATATGAGTAATTGAAAAGTGTGCAGGTAATTATAGATTTTTATTTCTGTTTATCGACATACACGTCATTCTTTGAAGCTATACTTCATTAAAAGCCTTCAAAATCCAAGAACGGAACTTGGCGACACTGACATAAAATCCTGGGCTCAAACAAAAGGAGTTGCCTGTTCTCGAAGAGATTCCCACCAGTTTTTCGCCCACCACCAGTGGTCCGCCAGAGTCACCAAAGCAGTGGGCTCGACCAACAACCCCGGCACAAATATCATCCTTCAGCATATTCCAGAATATTCTTTGGCATCTCCGCCTATTTTCGATCTGGATATTGACCCCCTGAAGGCTGATGGGATAGTGCCAGCCAAACAATCCCCAGCGCACTGCTCCCCAGCCGGTGGATAAAGCAGGTGATCCTTCAGCAGGGTCTTCCTCCGCCAATGGTATTGGCTGAATGTTATACCCTATGGACAAGGGGTTTTTCAAACGGATTACAGCTACATCATTTTCTTTACGCGACTTCGTGTACTTTTCGTGAAACTTAAGACCCGCTGCTTGAACCAGGACACCGCCACTGTTGCTATTTGAGGATCCTGCTCGAATCTTTAGATTTTCAGCAACAAATTTCTCAACGCAGTGGGCAGCCGTTATTATGAAGGATTCATTGTAGATTGCACCACCGCAGAAGTGCTGGCCATTGACTTGCAGGGACACTTGCCAGGGAACCTTCTCAATTGAAATATTCTCCCCGCCAATGATGCGCTGATCTCCAGGAGTTGCAGCCAACAAAGAGGCAAAGGATAGTAAAATAAGTACTGAAGTAAACATTTTAGCTTTGTAAAAGTGCTTTACTTAGTTTGAGGTAGTTCTTATATAGGTTCAAGACTCGAGAGTTATATAAATGAAATTAGATACTAAAGAAGAATGCTAAGTATTCAAAGTTTTATTTATCCAGGGGGAAAACCTCTAAGAAGAATATTTACTAGAATGTTAATGGTAATTAAATAAAAAATACATTTTTTTTCGGAAGTGAAGCATTTTTGAAAGACATTGACAGCATTTGAAAGACAGCATTTTTTATTTAAATTTCAAATATATTACACAATTTGGGATCCAATTTTGCTTTGTGTTTTTTTTATAATAATTTGTAATAACCTTTCAGATTTTCAAGAATTACTTGAATCAGTATATTTGCTTCATTAAGTCGGAACGGCAGCGACCCGACGTCTATATCCTACACATATCTGCCATTTAGCTGAAGGTCCAAAATTGGTATAATACTGAAGTTGTCATAAGTATCGGTCAACTATCTTCTATATTTTCGATACACATTCAGTCCCGGACATTTAGATCTTGGAAAATAAGCGGCCATTAAAATAAAAGTTCATTTTAAATAAAACCCCACCCGAAGTTTCATTCATTTTTTTTTATTAATTTCAGTTTATTTTTATGAACAGCCATTATGATAAAGTTCTCATTGCAGATTGAAACAAAGCAGTTGGGCTTGCCGTTGACTTCAATGGACAATAGCCAGGGCATCTTCTTAATTGGCGTGTCTTGTCGGCCAATGATGCGCTGAGCTCCAGGAATTGTGGCCAACAAACCGGCCGTATATATATTATAAGCAATTCATAATATTTTTCTGTTTATTTATTCATTGTAGTTAAACCTTATTCAAAGCGTTTAAAATCCAAACACGAAACTTTGCGACACTGGAAAATAATCCTGGGCCTAAGCATTTTTTGTGGCAAGTTCTCGAAGTGATTCCTACAAGCTTATTATCCACCACAAGTGGTCCGCCAGAGTCGGCATAGCAGTTGGCTTGGCCTTTAACGCCGGCACGTCATCATTTAACGTCATCATTTAACATCATTTAACCTTTAACGTCATCATTCAGCACCCAACTTGCCACACATAAAAGTGAGCAATTTCGTTTATTTTCTATTCGGATATTGACCCCCCGAAGATTCTCAGGATAAAGCGTGACATTGGGTCCAACATAGGTGGCTCCTCAGCCGGTGTTTAAAGCTGGAGATCCCTCAAAAGGATCTTCTTCTGCCAGTCGTATAGGTTTGATGTTGTCCCCTATGGGCAATGGGGCTTCCAATCGAATTACAGCGACATCATTTTCTGTACTCCATCTGATGAAGTTCTCATGATATTTGATTCCCGCCACTTGAACAAGGACACCCCCACTGTTATGCTTGGAGGATCCTGCACGAACCATATAATACTCCGCTGGATACTCAACACAGTGGGCAGCCGTTATAATGTAGGATTCATTATAAATTGAACCACCGCATATGTGCTTCCCTCCGAGTTGTAAGGACACTTGCCTGGGCACCTTCTCAATTGAAATGTCCTCCCCGCCAATGATTCGCTGAGCACCAGGAGTTGCGGCCAAAAAACTGGCAAAGGATAATAAAACAAGTACTTGGGTAAACATTCTTGAAGTGAAAGTGGTTTACTCAGTTGGAATCTATTCTTATATAGGTTTTCGACTCATTAGTTGTTGATAAATATAAGTGGAGGAAGAAGAAGTATGAATGTGAAGAATTTAAAATTTTAATTATTAAAGGGAAAAGCTTTTGTTAATGTGAATATACATTCTGCAACCATAAGTTCTAAAAGACATTTCATTTCAGCCCATGGGTGCCGTATTGGCGTATTTTAAAATATATAAAGTTTTTTTTAAATATTTTTTAAAATAACCCTAGAGTAATGAGAAACATACTTAACTCTTATTAGCTCTGGCTACGTTTACTCTTTTACGGAATAAATATTTATATTCTCAAAAATTTAACATCTCACGAAAAAAATGTGGCTATAGAAAGGACATGGCTGCATGATTGACAGCATAATATGCTCAGCATATTATAAAGTTAAGGTATTTGTTAAACTAAATGAAATTCGATATTAGAATGTCCTGATAGAACGATGTGCTCTTCATTAATAAATGCATTGTCCTTCCGCTGACGTTGAGATGCCTGCTGGCGAAATTCAAACTGCATTAATCATACGCCCCGTGGGCCGTACGTTGTTGTACTTGAAATCCTATCACTTATTTGGTCCTTCGGTTACCAGCTTCCTCCAGTAACCCTCAGGCATCCATCAAATTAATGGAATTTCATATTTGCTCTCCACTTGCTTGCCCCGCCAAAGAAATTTGTTTATCCAGCTAAAATGTTATCGAGTTCCCTGCTGATGTAGTTAGTTCATATATATACATTTTTTTTACTTTTTGGTTTTTGGATATTTTTAATAGAATTACTTTCCAGACTTTTGAGCAACATAACTGAAAAGGGCCCGTGGCTATGGTTTTGCGAACAAAAGCAATTTAAAATGCTGACTCATAACCGATGTGGCCGCCAACAAAATCAAGTTTGTTTCAAAATTTTATTGAATTAAACCAATTTGGTATGCATGTGGGGGAAGTTCTTTTAGGATTTTATCCCTTACCAAAGGTGCACAGTAATATTATTTTGTTTGGTATAAGATTAATTCTTAGTCTTTATAATTTTAGGTTTTTCTAATGAAACTTTAGAAGGAGAAAAATATAGATTTATTTACTGAATTTAAAATCATAAATTAAATAAAATTTTCTCTCTGTTTAGCTTAAATTCCAGGCACGTTCTAGCTCACGCAGTTCAATGTTTTAAACGCTTTTCCGGCCAAAATTCGCTCAGGATGCAATCAGATAGTCATGCACTTGACGCTGGGTCAGAATGCCCAGCGGGCTTTTGGCCTTGTCAACAGCTAACATAGCCCTCGTCCCCATTTCCCTCTACCCTCTGGTACGAGGTGAGAATGTGAGCTCTAGTTGGAGCCAACTTGGCCTGCCCTGGGGTTAGTTAAGCTAATTTCGCCAGGCGTTCCCTCATCGAAAACTGCTCAGTTGGCAGGTCAAGTGGCTTTCTCCGAAGTGAGCATTGCACTTGCCCAATTAAACCCGGAGCCCGGGATCCAGTAACAGCTTTCGAAAGGGCCTGTGTACGGGGTGGTTATACTGGCCGAGAGGGTCATTAGTCATAGTTATAGACGCTAATCTGATGCACTCGGAAAGGGAAATTAGAGTTAAAGGATGACTTTTGGTGTAGATTTAAACAGGAAACTTGTATTATATCCTAACAGCTATAAATTTTTTTTCTGTGTGTTCAAGGAGATTGGGTACCCTCTAAAATATAAAATTAATTACACCTACCATTTAAAAATCTCAGTGCACACAGCAATTGAATGATAACAAAAACAGCAGCTGCAACGTTAAAACTAAATTGACCAACGAGCCACCAAAACGACTGCGTGTCTGCTGTCCTCTTATCCTGGCTTCCCCCACTATTTTACCAACCCATCCTTTATCCCGTCGCCCCTCTGAAATCCTTGCTGCACATCTGTGGGAGTTTTGGCAGCAAATTGAAATGAAAATCTCGACGCGGATTGCCGGTTTTATTCAGCGGTTGCCCGACAAGAAAGATGTCAGGTTGTTGACCGAAAAAGTGAATATTTTGAATACTTTGGAAAAATTTGTTTGGGAATAACAAATTTAAAGTTATTTTAACAAAATTTTGACCAGTTTTCTGAAACAATATAATTTTAAAAATTTTGTATAACATAATTTTTTGTTTATTTTTCATGTCACCCCCTGAAAGCTTAACTAATTTCCGATAAAATCCGTGTTTAAATTGCTTACCAGGATGCCCCCAGATAGCCGCCTTTATGTCCTGCAGCCCCGGCATCCTGCCAATCTGCAATCTATTCATATCATAAAATATAGAAGTGCATCTGCGACCAAAGCACCACAAAACTATTGCCAGCAATGGCGATAGCTTTGGCTTCCTATTCCAGGATATACGCAGCCATTTCCGTTGGAGTTGGAGCTGGCAGTTTCCGTTTTTACCTTTTCAGTTGACTCCCCCCTCTCAGGTCCTGCCGCCTCTCCAATCGTCTGGCAAATGGAAGCTTGACTTTAAGCGATGGAAATTTTAATACGCCAATGCGCAATTTATGATTATTTCATGCTCATTTTAATTCGCCCATTCAGCGGATCGTTTTAAAGCGCCAAGAGGAGGGTAGGGAAATAGTTCCCGGTTTACAGTTGGCGAAATGAGATAGCGGAAGGTCCTCATTAATTCGACGCACGTTTCTCCATGGCGGGGCGATCGGAGGTTGGAGTAGGGAGTGGGGATACGAGGCCGCTAATAAAACAAAAATGGAAAACATATAAATCAGTGTCCTTGGCACGTGTCGCTGTCGTCGTCGTCGTCGTCGTCGAAGTCATTCCATTCCCCAGGTGTAGGCCCCGTGGGTCAACCTAAAGGGTCTTTGCGCCCCTCCTGTAATTCTATGCCCCTGGATCCCCCCACTTCATTTACCACTTTTGGACTTGTGCGCTGTCACGTTGTAAATCTCACGAGAGAAACCAACAAACACACACACCCAGAGAAAGCGGAGAATCCGAGAGACAACACGACAGACGGCGACACAACACGCGTGCTTAGCCATATCCATTGCTGTTTATGCACTGAGAGAAAAAATGGTTCCAGGTTTATTTATAATATATAATAAGTCTTTTATTAGTGTTTCGGGCTTATTAATAATATTCTCCAAAGATCAAAACTATAGTTAATCTTTTTGATATATATTTGTTATTATTTGTTATAATATTATATATTTTCATATAATATTTGTTCATAAATTTTTAAAACATTTATTTTAAAAATGATATTTTTTCTCTCTGCACTCCCAGACAAAAGTGCCTGAAGGAAGGGAAATCGCAAAGGTCCCGCCCCACTGAGGGTATGTCGAGAATCCCAAAAGGAGCCGATCCGAGCCAGAGATTGCATTATAAATTAAAATACGTCAAGCAGCGAATCAACAGCTGCTATCCTAGCCAGGACACTCCAAACAGATGCAAGTAGTGTCAAGCAGTGCAACGTATATAATTTAAATAAATATTTAAATGTTAAAGGAAAATATTGAACTTATGGAAAATGTATAATATAATATGCTTAGAGTTTCCAAAAGGTAAGAGTTATTTCCATATAATGTAAAAAAAAACAGAGCTCAGGAGGAAGTATAATCAACCTTTGGCTTTTTAATTAATTCCAAGCCATCTGAAGAACCAGTCGCTGCAACCGGAAACTCACAAAATGACAAACAGAGCCAACCAAAAACTCTCAAAGCGAGCCAATACAAATATTGTTTTCCTCTCGATTCACAATTTTTGTGTTACTTTCCTGAAAGGAGAAAGCAGCAGAAGGAAAAACAGGACCCAATGCAGGTGGTTCAGAGTAGCAACTGTTATTTGTCCGTTCATGCGGAGTATTTAATTGCATCCCAATGGAGCGCACTCTTGGCCAAGTGCAACGGGAAGCAGTAAACAGCAGTCAGCAAAGGCGAAAGAAATTCGAGAAAAGAAGAGTGGGGGTCGGGCAGAGTGGGGGAAAGTGGTAATCGAAATTTTGCTGGCTCCTTCTTTTTAAGGACACTGCAAAATAAATTGGGAGATATTGTTAAATATGCTAATTATATAAAATATATGGTGAAGGAAAATAAACTGTCTTCTACTTTACTTTGATAAAAAAGATATATTTTTTTAAGTTTATCTATAGTTTTAAAAGCATTTTTTTCAGTGCTTCAAAGTTAAAAGTAAGGGCTTGGTGAAAAACTTACGAAGACAAGGTGGAGAGCTCTTACTTGGCTCTCGTGGGGGAATGCAACTATTTGCCAGAGTAAACAAATATTTACATATGTTTGTTTAAATTTTACGCTTCGCAAACTTCTATTTTTTCTTTGTCAGTTTCTTTGTGATTTACTTGAAGCAGGGCTTCCTTGAAGAATACTACTTTTTGACAAATTAGTTTGGGGGAAGTCAGCTTGTCGAGTGGCGAGAATGCACAAAGGAATAATATTTTTGCTAGCAATTTGTTGCACGACCTAAGTGATGAAATAATCGAATAATCTACGAATACTATTCAACAGCTTGGAAATTTTATAAATTAAGAAATTTCCTTTTATTCAATTACGAGCTAAAAGTTCATTTATCCCGTCTAAGCCTTAACAAAACCAATTAGAGTTTAGTTATTCACAAAGGACCTTCTGCTCTCACATCATAATTTAGAATTTTTATCTGGCTTGAACTTTGAATGGGGATAAGATTTTCTTCTGTCCAAACGGAAATAGTGAAATAAATTGAAATTCAAGACTGGCACGTACATAAATAACTTGCCCGTCCCGACCAAAGGCGCATAAATAAAAACAAAAATGCATTTATTTTTTCTGAATTTTTTGGTTAGAGCCTCAAGCTTGGGTCATGTCTCGTTGGTGAGTCCATAAAACTATCAGCAAATTTTTGGCTAGAATTAAAATATTTATGCACTGTACGTGAGCCACATGTTTATGCATGAATATGTGCAGGACCTATCCAGCACACAGTTTTATCCTTTTTCAGTAAAAGCTGAGTTATATATTTATAAACATTTTTTTTTTGGATACGTGTATGCAACAGCTTGATTTGTTTATTGTTTTAATAAATGTCAACAATATTCTTGGGACGGCTTTTTAAAGAAACATTTGGCCAAAACTGACTGCACACAGTGCGTATGATTAATGCGGGGCTGTCAGCTGTAGTCGGAAAAAAGGAGGAATACATCGAACAAAACTAAATGGAAAAGGGCAAAGGCCAAAGGGAAATGGAAATGGAAAATGGGAAACTTTCAATGCAACCAAATGCAATGCCCCCATGATTTATGGCTCAACTTGAAAATGGACGATTGTTTCACTCGTTTCGGGAATTTCGGGGCAAACCATGGAAATTGGGGCGATATATTTCTTGTTTTTTACTTTTTTTTCCTTTTGCAGTAGTGGAGGGCGTGTCCCAGGGTGCTTATAGCCCTCACCATTTATTAAACGTATGCGAATAGCGAATCGTGCTGCGATTTCCCCGATTGGAAAAATTGAATTATAGCCATTTGATGAGCATAATAAAAACTGGCAGCTGCCTTTACCAATGAAAGCCTTTCAAATGGGTCAAAACTTTTTGGGCGAAAAAAAGGAGAATCGGTAGCCGTCATTGGCAGCAAATTGAAATATTTTTTCGGCATTGAATTCCCATATTCTTGGTATTGAACAATTATTTGGGGAAAACTTTCAAAGTTTATATGCGATGGAAAGTAATAAGAAAAAGTTTTTAAGACTAACTGGGACTAACAAGAAGTCACAGCCATTCATATTTTTAGCCAACAAAAGCCTCAAGCATATATGCTTGAAGTTGCACTTTCAAAAATCACTTTTTAAAATCTCTCACTTGTCTGCAGATTTCGACATATACGCACTTTTCACAAGCACTTTGATGAAATCCCCTTTAGCGATTGATGCAGCGACTTTTAGCCAAGTTTATTGCATCAGAACTGAAAGCCAATAACTACGGAAAAAAAGCGAGCTTGGGCTTGGGCCATTTAGCCCGAGGAAAGACGATCTGCGTGGCACTGTAACCCGCTCAATTGAATGAACAAAGAGGTGCACTCAGACGTGGCCCACCTGGCCATCGTTGTCCTCTTCCTCCATCCCCGCCACCCATGGCAGGTGGTGGCGTTTCGAACAGGTGCTCAGAAATTGGCAGACAAGAGCATGGAACCCAGAATTCACAATGTGCAACGCAGAATGTATGGAGACGGAATGATATTTTGGGAGAGCTTCAGGGGGTGATGTGGGATTGAGAACACTGGAAAAATAAGATAGGTCTTTATTATATTAGTAATATACAAAGAACTTTAAAGTTGTAGCCTTATCAATATTCTTTAACTATAAAATCCTGCCATTTAGTTGCAAGTGCTTAAGCCTTTTATTTCCATTTCTCTCAGTTTAGTTTTTTTGAATGCCCGGCTAGTGGTTCAGCCGGATATATTTGAGAGGAGAAATTTCGCCTATACCCTTTCGTAATCCACTTTCGCATCCTATCCTTGCCGTTCCGTTTGAGCCGCTAACATTTTGGCTTTTATGGCCGAGAGGCCCAAAATATGACTACCTAGTAGACCTGCACACATGCAAATGCAATTTCCAAAAATGTCCGCGCTGAAAAGTCGTCTATGGAAATTTGGCTAAAAAAACACAAAACGGATTTTTTGTTGGTTTAAGTCGCTCGATAGGCATCCCTGCCAACAACAAAAAAAACCAAGAACAGCCACTGTTGGCTAAAAAAAAACAATTCAGAAAACTTTGCGTTTAAGCCATAAACCGATTTGGTAGCAAATTTGTTGTCGTTTAGACGGGAATTTCCATTTGACTCGAGTGGGGAATAAGCTTTGTTTGCTGGATTTCCTTTTTGAAGTGACTTATTTCTGTCGCTATGAAGTTTATCGTTAATTGACATTACCGAGGGTCAAAGGGCGGCGAATGGCCCAGGACTAATTGAATTTCCCATGGGAGAGAAAAAGCAGAAAAGCGGAAAAGCTTTTCATTAACCTTACCGGGGGTTAAACAGATTTAAAATGAAAGTGATGTGGATAAAAATGTTTACTTTTGCTAGTTTTTACCTGTTTTTTTATAAAGTAATTTTTAAATTTATTCTTGGCTTATAAATTATGGGTATTTCTTTCTGACAGCAAAGCTTTCATATCCATTTCGTTTGTAACTTTTGTGATATCTCTTTTATGCCAAAACATGGAAAATTCGTATCAATGGGAACCGGATTCCCAATCGGAATTAAATCCAGAATCCGTATGCCAATCGGAGGTGGTGCAATCGAGCGCATCCGGCAGCAGATGCCGTGCGGTTGCCATTGAAATCGGTAGATGGAAATGCGAATTGTTTGTCCAGATACCAGACTCTATATGCACTGTAACATATAATGTATAATACCCGCATGCCCGATATCGCAGTGTGGCGGGTATATTTATTTTGCGTGGGAGCACAGAGTAGTCCTTCCTGAGTCCATCTACCGACCCACTACCGAACAATGCATAAATAAACGAAACCAAATTTGCGAAATTAATTAAATCGACAGGAAAGTAACGTGTGCGCTTTGGGTTTTTACGCTTTGACTGCGGCCAGTTTTACAATCCAAACAATTCACCAACCCAATCACCGAACCACCGCACCACCACACCACCACACACCCACATTCCACTTCACTTTGTCGGCACCACAATTGTGCATTGTGCGGATGATGCGACTGTGAATCACATTTGTGAGTCGGTCCCATGGAATTGTGGAAAATGCAACAGACAGGCTTAAAGCCTTTTTTTCTGAAGGGATATTTTTATTTTGGCTCCTATTAAAAAACGGAATCCAATTTAAACTTTTTTAAAATAGAAAAAAGGCTAAAGGATTCAATGATTTTAACTTTTTAAATCAATTATTAAGCTAGCCTCTATGAAGTTATTTTTAAAAAGAAAAACTAGTTAGGTGCCTCTTAAATTAAAGCCAGAATAAACATCAAATTTTGTTGCTATCTTCTAACCCTTTAACTCCAAATGTCAATAATATCAGAGAGTCCTGAATAACTTTATATACAGGCTTAATCTCTGGCAGAAGCAGGCACATCCCTGGTCCCTGTTGATTTGCATTTGCACATCTCATTAAGGATTCACACTCTCCCCCAAGCTACCAAATACATAATTTAATGTTTCGAGGCTGGCACTTCGATAAAGGCAGCTGCGGGTCTTCGATAAGCATATTCGATTCAATCGGCAATTAATGCCAGTCTGTTGGATACGATTTGAATATATGTTTGGTATATCCTTGGCAAAGAATACTCCAGCAGCTCATTAATAACCGGGCGCAGTGTTCATACATCACTCATACGTCACGTTTGCTAATCCATTCATCAGCAACGGAAGCCTGTGCGTGACACAGGATATGCAAGCTGTGGAGGGAAAACCTCTGACAGCCTGTCTAATCTATGTCTATGGGTGTGCTCCTGGTCTGCGGTATCAATCACAATGCTAATCTCAGTGTTTAGGCCAGATTATGTGAGCGGGTTGAAAGTGTTTAGGCCGCAAACGTAGACACTTCTGAGTGATTGCCCATACAAGAAATATGAGTATTCTATTTTTAATTCTGAGGAGCTTTGTAAAATTTGTAAATTATGAAATTTCCATTTACCCGATACATAAATGTCATTAATTAAATATTCAATTTTTGGACTGGGTCTGGGCACTCCCCCAACCCCGTAAGGGAAACATTCTAAACATGGCTAGAAAGCCACCTCCTATTCCAAAAACCCACGAAAGGACCCCGGGTCCCAGGGGCCAGGACACCAAGGCCAACAACGAACTCTTCCTGCAGGAGGTCTTCAATACCACCAACAAACTTCGGGGAATGCACGGATGTCCAGCTTTGACGATTAATGCCGAACTGAATAAAATAGCCCAGGAGTGGGCTAATGTAAGAAAACCACTACTTGTTTAAATTTTATAGCAATTTTTCATAAATATCCTTAAGCACCTTCGTGATAAGAACGCTATGGAACATAGACCAAATCCCAAGTTCGGGGAAAATATTTTTCTTTCCGGCGGAATGGACGTCACTGGTGATCTGCCCGTGGAAATGTGGTATCGGGAAATCAATAGCTACGATTTCCAAAAGGCACAATTTGCACCAACAGCGGGGCACTTTACCCAGTTAATATGGAAGGGATCCAAAGAAATGGGTTCCGGTGTGGCGCGAAAGTAAGTTTTGAATATTTTTCATAATTTTTTTGAAATGTCTTAACTATTTTCCAACCTACAGGGCGGATAGAACATGGGTGGTTTGCAACTACAATCCACCTGGAAACGTGGTCGGGCAATTCAAAGACAATGTGCCACCAAAAAAATAAGCCAAATTCCCAGTTAAATTGATGAAACTTTCTTTATTTATAAAATTATAACAAGCTGCCTTTGAAATAAATCATACAATATTATACTTTTTTGGCTTTATAAGTAATATTTAGAATTTTTACACGGTCCTTTATTTTCTTCATTTTCTGGATGTGTGGATTCCATATCAGACTCCGAGAGAAACAATTTTCGTGGAAGGACATTTATTTTAAAAAATCGTCGTATATTTCCTGCTGGATGGTAATTACAAACTAACCATACATGAGTCTTACTGAAATATTGAAATAAAACTTTCAAATAATGAAAAAAATGTTATTCAAAAAATACTTACTCTGAAGCCACGCCAACGCCAAGGTATTGACTACTCTGCCAAACCATTTGGGTAAAGTGCCCTGTATAAAGACCAAAACCGGGTTTCAAATAATCATAGTGATACTTTTCTTGATACCAAAGTTTCAATAATTTTTTCACACAGAAAAGATCCTTGCGGGCACACATAATATTCTCACCGTATGTGGGAAGGGGTCGCGTTTCCAAAAGATTATTGGCGGCCAAGTGCTAAGGTAATACAAATTATAATTCAATATAATTAGGCCTTAAGAAAAAGTCAAGACCGATTTGTTGAGCAATTCGCTCTCAATCATTTAAAACCAAAAAGGAAAGCTAACTTGGGTTAGGAAAATATCTTCCCCAATTCCCATCCGATTCTCAAGCGGAGTACCTTAAACGATTTGTGGATCGATTTGCCACCATTCTGCATTAAAATCCCAAGACAAAATATTTTTCAGTTTTTTTGTCCATTTTTGTGATGGGATCCCTTGAAAATGGGGTTTTCCCTATTTGGCGCACAGTGTCGGCTATATCTTCCCCAATTCTCATCCGATTCTCAAGCGCAGTACCTTAAACGATTTGTGGATCAATTTGCCACCATTCTGCATTAAAATCCCAAGACAAAATATTTTTCAGATTTTTTGTCCATTTTTGTGATGGGATCCTTTGAAAATGGGGATTTCCCTATATGGCCCACAGTGATAGCTATATCTTTCCCAATTCTCATCCGATTCTAAAGCGGAGTACCTTAAACGATTTGTGGATCGATTTGCCACCATTCTGCATTAAAATCCCAAGACAAAATATTTTTCAGATTTTTTGTCCATTTTTGTGATGGGATCCCTTGAAAATGGGGTTTTCCCTATTTGGCGCACAGTGTCGGCTATATCTTCCCCAATTCACATCCGATTCTCAAGCGCAGTACCTTAAACGATTTGTGGATCAATTTGCCACCATTCTGCATTAAAATCCCAAGAGAAAATATTTTTCAGATTTTTTGTCCATTTTTGTGATGGGATCCCTTGAAAATGGGGTTTTCCCTATTTGGCGCACAGTGTCGGCTATATCTTCCCCAATTCTCATCCGATTCTCAAGCGCAGTACCTTAAACGATTTGTGGATCAATTTGCCACCATTCTGCATTAAAATTCCAAGACAAAATATTTTTCAGATTTTTTGTCCATTTTTGTGATGGGATCCCTTGAAAATGGGGTTTTCCTTATATGGCCCACAGTGATGGCTATATCTTCCCCAATTCTTATTCGATTCGCAAGCGGAGTACCTTAAACGATTTGTGGATCGATTTGCCACCATTCTGCATTAAAATCCTAAGAGAAAATATTTTTCAGATTTTTTGTCCATTTTTGTGATGGGATCCCTTGAAAATGGGGTTTTCCCTATATGGCCCACAGTGATAGCTATATCTTTCCCAATTCTCATCCGATACTAAAGCGGAGTACCTTAAACGATTTGTGGATCGATTTGCCACCATTCTGCATTAAAATTCCAAGACAAAATATTTTTCAGTTTTTTTGTCCATTTTTGTGATGGGATCCCTTGAAAATGGGGTTTTCCCTATATGGCCCACAGTGATAGCTATATCTTTCCCAATTCTCATCCGATACTAAAGCGGAGTACCTTAAACGATTTGTGGATCGATTTGCCACCATTCTGCATTAAAATCCCAAGACAAAATATTTTTCAGTTTTTTTTGTCCATTTTTGTGATGAGATCCCTTGAAAATGGGGTTTTCCCTATTTGGCGCACAGTGTCGGCTATATCTTCCCCAATTCACATCCGATTCTCAAGCGCAGTACCTTAAACGATTTGTGGATCAATTTGCCACCATTCTGCATTAAAATCCTAAGAGAAAATATTTTTCAGATTTTTTGTCCATTTTTGTGATGGGATCCCTTGAAAATGGGGTTTTCCCTATATGGCCCACAGTGATAGCTATATCTTTCCCAATTCTCATCCGATACTAAAGCGGAGTACCTTAAACGATTTGTGGATCGATTTGCCACCATTCTGCATTAAAATCCCAAGACAAAATATTTTTCAGTTTTTATTTGTCCATTTTTGTGATGAGATCCCTTGAAAATGGGGTTTTCCCTATATGGCCCACAGTGATAGCTATATCTTTCCCAATTCTCATCCGATTCTAAAGCGGAGTACCTTAAACGATTTGTGGATCAATTTGCCACCATTCTGCATTAAAATCCCAAGACAAAATATTTTTCAGTTTTTTTGTCCATTTTTGTGATGGGATCCCTTGAAAATGGGGTTTTCCCTATATGGCCCACAGTGATAGCTATATCTTTCCCAATTCTCATCCGATTCTAAAGCGGAGTACCTTAAACGATTTGTGGATCGATTTGCCAACACTCTGCATTAAAATCCCAAGACAATCCCAAGAATCCGAAGTTGATTTAATATCCAAGTTCGAGTAATAATATTAAAAAAAGTTCCAAGCTTCTTTTACTTTTAGGGATGCTATAAGATATAGGGTCATATTATTGAAAAAAATACTGAATTATGATACAAGTAATGACATTTCCTATCAATCAGTTGTATGGCAGCCATAGGATATAGACGGACCGACGGGAAGAAGGAAATGTGTATATCGACTCAGGAGGTGATCCTGATCAAGTATGTAAATTCTTTTAGCGTCGGAGATGACTCTTTTACTGCATTTGATCAAAATAATACGCTTTGAAAAGGGTATAAGAATGTTAAAATTAAAGATAACTTTCACCTACATCTGCCCATTCTTGCGCATGCTTCGTCACATCCTCATCCATTTTCAGAACACAGGCACAGTGCATTTTCCGATATTTATTTGTTTCCTTAAGAACGGCACTCCTGACGATCTCAGGTGCGAAGGGCTCTGGCGGAATGCAGTTTAGCACGCAGTTTAAGCCCACATTTTTTTCTTTTGTTTTTAGAGTTTTGGACACTGGGGGGCATTTTGGAAAAATGTGTGGGGGGCATTTTTTTAAGTTATTCCAATGCCATAAATGGTCCGTGTCCTTTGCATTTAATGGCTCAGGCTTTAGATGCGTTTTGTGGAGATTGTCGGGCAAGGACCTCTTAACCTCGCAGGCCAGATAGTTTCTAGAATTAGCATAAATCTTCAAGGTTTGGGGGCCCAAGTTTTCGAGACAGCTCTGGCACTTTTCAGGACCTCTGTTCCTTAGATCGCAGGCCATGTACTTGGTGTCCTGTATTTGAATGGCCTGCACAGGTTGTTTTTCAGGACATACCTCGTCGGGTGGCTTGGCAGTGGATTTTTGGTTGTTTTTGAGCATTTTTGATGAAAAAAATTGTTTTTGAAACGATTACTAAAATACAGAATGTGAAGGAAAACGAAACTCCAAAAGTCTACCGTTCGTGCTGCCTCATAACTTTTTGGAAATTTTTCGTTTATCCCGGCGGTTTTAATTCACTTTGGTCCTGTTTCCCCTTTCTCTTTTTTGCATTTTTAATTTTATCCTATTTTTTCGGCTTACTTTTTTGGCGACAATTCCATGTCACACATCATTAATTTTGAATTTTTGCCATAAATTTCCGCGTGGGCGCGGACGAGCTGCGGGTGGCTTCGGGTCACAAAGGTGTCAAGTTTGGAATTATGGTAACAGCATGGCCTCCAGGCCTCCAGACCTCCACCGCCTAACCTCTCACTCTGGGCCTGCTTTTGATTGACTGTTTGTCACTTGGCCATGGAAATTAAAATGGAATTTTTTACGGGATATCAGGGGTGTTGGATGGATGAGGATACAAATATTTATGATACTTTATCCCATATTTATTTGTACGGGATGTCAGGGGTGTTGGATGGATGAGGATACAAATATTTATGATACTTTATCCCATATTTATTTGTAATGAAAAAAGAGGGTGTTTATGGAATGTTGATTATGACTATAAAAATGTGTTTTATTGAATGTGGTGCTTACAAATGTTATGGTTATTAATTAAGACAAATTGTTGGGAACTTTTATAAAACAGGCCAATCAGTCTAATGATGAACTAACATTGATTGTAAAAATCTCAGCAAAGTGGGGTTAATTTTTAGATTTTCTTACTGCAGATTTGTACGACACTAAAGGTTTTTAACTTGCCAATCTGCTTAGCACCCTGCTGGCTTTTGTGGCAGTAACTTTAAGCCACCGTTATGCCGTAACCCGTTACCCGTTACCCGTAACCCGGGACTGTGGCCGTAACCGTAACCGTTAACCCAATAAACCACTTTCAGGAGCGACAGCCGAAGGGCGAGCGCCTCTGTTGCTGTTGGCTTCAGTTTCACACCGTCAACAAGTGACAAGAACACCAAGACAAATACCCGTAGACGCACACAATGACACCCACACCCACTCATGACACACACACACACACACGGAGGTCTAGCATCACATCAAAGTTGGCTGGCATCATGCCACAGAAATTTCCACCGACAAAAGCAACTCCACAAAAATATTCGAAATGCTTAAAAAAAATGCCAAGAACAATAGGAATAAATTTAAATTGAAAAAAATATGAGAAACGCTGTTTGACAACAAAGAAGGCTGCAAAAAAGTAGACTATGATATTTTAAAGTTTTGTGAAAGAAATAACTGGCAAGGGGGCGTATACGTAATATTCATAGGTTTGAGAGTCGGGAATATGACTCTTTGAAGTAGAATATTTTAATTGCATACTTTGCATATATATTTATATAAATATATGCAATTACATATAAAAAATTATACATAAAAAAAAGGTTTGTTAAAGTAATAAAATACCATATATTAATTAGAATCAGTGAATGAAGGCTTAAAAAATATTCTTATTTAAGGCTTTTCCCTACTTTGATTCAATTTCAATAAAAAACATTCATTAAATGAAAACTTTACTATAATCTGATTCTCATCCCCATGAAGCATTATTTTCGCTGCTGTGACAGGCGTCTTTTGTGCCATTTGGCACCTTGTCGGACAGTTAAATGCATTCAGCTGTCAAAAAGCCGCAGACAAAAGTTCGATTTAATTGCCACAAAAGAAAATGGGCCAACAAAAGCCTGCAAATTTTCCTCAAATCTCTTCGCATTTCCCTCCTTAAAAAAAAGGTCCGGAATCCGGATCACAGTTTTCAGCTTTCAATTTGGTGTGTCTGGCAATGAATCGTTCCTGGCTGCTGCCAATGAGTTGTACAATGTAATTAAGCAGGCACCCAGAAGTTTTTCTCCTTCTTGTTGTATTTGTTTTTTACCCTTTATTTTTAAAGGGTAAATGAGGTCAGAAGGTGTGGCAATGCGTGGAAAAAGGAGCAAAGAGCGTAGAAAGTTCCTGGTAGTCTTTCTTTATTTTTTTTATTATTTTTCTTCGTTATGCATTGTAATTTGCGTGTAATTTTCAAGGCGTTGAGGAAAAACGTGAAAATGCTTCAGCAATAATAATTGCAACTGAAAATGCAACAATAACAACATGAACAGAAACAACAATAACGGTAAGCATCACCTACAGCTGCTTTAAGGCAAAAGTCTCATTTATTTTAATGTGTCGACGCTGACGACGTGCAAATGTCTGCCAGTTTTCCAGCAGGTTTTTCCCCCTTTGGCTTTCAGCTTTCAGTTTTCTGTTTTCAGTTTTCAGTTCGCCATGTTCAAATTGTTCGCAGATGCAACGGCAATTGTTTGCATGTGTATGTGAGAGTGTGTGTGTAAGTATCTGTGTGGGTATGCGTGTTCCAGTTGCATATGTGTGCGCTGTAATTATTAAGCTTACAATGCAGCTGCTGTCGTTCCTGCTGATTTGCGTAGGGTTGAAGTAAATATGTTAAAAATTATATTATAAATAGTTATTAATTATTTTTAAGTTTAAAAGAGAAACAAAATAAATAAATTGAATCATTTAAAACTTTAATACTTTTTTAATAACATATTGAAATACTTTGAAAAGATCTTTAATGTGTTACAAAATTTAAACTGAATCAAAAATTTAACAGAATCAAATAAAAACCCCATTAATACATTCCTACATTTTTAACATTTTAATATCCTTTCAATCACTATTGCATCCCTGGATGTCACTCAGTCATATTCACTCTGTGGGTCAAACTCCTTCTTGTCTGCCACCAGACAAGGGTCATAACAATGCCAATTTTAATGGTCATTACAATAAAGCTCATAACCATAAAAAATGCACAGCCATCGAGCAACAACAGAACCAAAAAAAAACAACATCCTGCGAACATCGAGAGAGAAATCATGAGCATTTATTGGGCTTATGGGCCGTATTAATAATATTCATCTGAGCCATGGTCCCCAGATCATAGAATAAAATGAAAATGAATTAAATTTCAATTTTAAAATACAAGCAGCGAAAAAAAAAATTGTATTCTTTATTACAGGTAATCGAAAACAATTTGTAAATATTTGGGTAGTTTTACTTCTGATGAATATTTACTTAAAAATTAAAACAATGAAGTTTATTTAAGATCATTCTTCAATTCTATAAAATTCTCATTAGATTAGAAGTGGTTTCAATCCATAATTTAAGCAGGGGAATATTTGCATAAGTACTGGGAATATTGAGGAAACCACATTGATTGTTCCAGGAAACGATGCCAACCAGAGTACCAGCGGAAACCAAAGGACCTCCAGAGAATCCTTGACATGCCAGCGGTATAATGCCCCGGGGTGCAGCACAAATTTCATCGGCCAGTACTATCCTTTGCTTCGCTACATTTTCCGTCGAGCATTTTATCTGATCAACAATGTTAAGGTTCACCTTAAGCAGTATCTCAGATGGAGGAACTATGGCTCCCAGCTGTCCCCATCCAGATACCGTGGCTCGGGTTCCAGCTTTGGGCGAATAACTAGCCAATGGTATGGCTTGTATATTATAGCCAGTTTTGAAGGTAGAACTCAGCAGAATAATGGCCACATCACTGGATCGCATCCCAAGCACTTGCATTCGCACCTTTCTCACCGTGATCACTTGACCTCCAAAGTTGCGGAGTAGAGAACCCGCCCGCACTGATATCTGTTCGATTCTGTGACCTTTGACACACTGGGCGGCAGTCAAAACTATGTCTGATCTATATAGAGCTCCACCGCATATATGTCTGCCATTGACTTGCACCGAAACTTGCCAGGGAACTTGTTGTATTCTTATGGGTAATTCATCTAGAATTGTTTGGCTAAATGTGGGTGATATAGCCATAATAATAATTAGGCTTTTAAAAAACATTTTTTCTGGTTCTTTTGTAGCGCGATTACTGGTTGTAAAGTTGGTGAATTAATGATCAACTTAAAAGGGGATCGCCTAGTTTTAATATATCTACAAAAATACTATTTGTATAAGGAAGTAGGTCAAGTTTTTGAGGTCTATTGTTAAAATTTTTTAAGCCAGTTATTGTATTTAAAAACTCAGTTAAATTTTTAAATTGAGCTTAAAGCTTTAAACAGGTTTGTTGTTTCTTTCTGGGCACTGGCTTTTAACTTAAAGTTTTTAAAACGTATTTTATTTAAAGCTTTCCCTCAGTTTCCTTGAAAACCTTTTATTGTAATCATAATTATCACGCGTACGCAGTGGTGACCGAAAGGCATTGCAAAATGGAAAGATAAATTATTTAGCAAAGTGGCAGAGCAAAGTTTATCTTCGGGCCGACAGACAGCAGTTGCTATTTGGTTGTTGATTTTTATGAAAGAATTATGAGTTCCTCCCCGGGGGGATGGGGTGGCAAGCCGAACTAAATGGCTTCCTGTGGGTGCAGTTTGCTCGCTTTTCCTTCAGGCAGCCTGCTGTGAAGGACATGTACATAAATATAAATATATATATATATTTTGCAAATTGTAATTTAAAACATTCTGGAGCGAAGCCAAGTAATAATTTGTGTTTGGCTGTATGCATTTCGTCCTGGCGAAGGATTCGCATTTGTGAATTGTGAAACTGAAACGGCGGAATTGATGTGCTCGACTGCACTGAGCCTGGGATTCCGGATTCCCAATCCCTTCCTGCTGCAGCTCAGCCGGGAGCTCAGCTGCCATTGTTATCGTATCCTTTTTTCTCTCCTCCACGTTCTCCCTTGGATTTTCCATTTCCCATTTTCCATTTCTCGGGTTTTCCCTCCGCTGTTTGCTGGCATATCAATGCGACTGCTTGAGAATAGCATTTTATTGCTCCAAACAACACGGAAAGTCAAGTGTTGCAGTCCCGCGCAATTATTCTCTCCCTCCCAGGACCTACTGATTCCTTTTTTTGACTATTTTTTCTGTATTTTTGGGATCCTTGGGCTATCCGCTCTGGGTACTTTCCTCGTTTGGCCAAATCGGTTCGGCGCAATAAATTCTATTAAAATGCAATTTGAAGGCTCTGTGATTTTAAATAATGCCAAGAGCAGCCATCGGGTTAATGCAGACAGTCAGGATGCCTGTGCTGCTTTGTTATCCTGGTCCTTCTCGTTTTTTTTTGGCGAAGATTTATGCAATCTCCTGCTACTGTTTGTTTGTCGGATATTCGAAGTATTTACGGTCGGCCCGGAGAGTCCTTAGCTAATTGGGTTGTCAATTTAATCGGAAAGTTGTTTGGGGCTTATCTCCAAGGATTTGCGCAGACCTTAACCGCAGGATGTTCATTCCTTTTTGGAAAGTCTTTCACACATGAGACCGCAGCCGAAAGTAATTGCACTTTAATTAATGCTGAGTGGAAAAAAGTGTAGAGAGAAGCCAAAGATTAAAATAGTTGAAATGTCATTAGCACGGAAAATTCGAGGGTCGGGCACTCGGCCAACAGGATCATCGGGGCCGAGGCGAAAAGGATCTGGGGATGGGGTCAACGTGTTGACCGCACAATTGTGTGGTCACGTGATGACTTTTTGGAGCTGCTTTTGTGGTCATAATTTCAGCCACGGGAAAAAAGTGCCAACATCCAGAGTAAAGAAACCACAGACGAGCTGGATATTCGCTGACTCTGGGGATTGTCTTTTTGTTTTTGCCTTTGAGGAGTCGCCTGGCCTCGGAGAAGTCCTGGAAAGTCCTGTTAAAAATTCATTAGTCGTTTTAATTAAAATTCTCTCTGTGGCCCACAAAGGCGCCTTTAACACTTAACGTTCTGACAGCAAACAAAAGGAAGTTGGCGGCCAGAAGACTTGAAAATAAAGATTTGCACAAAAAAAATAAATAAAACTGCTATGCTGACAGGCTCCATATGCCACCGTTGGCGTTTAACATGCATGACTACGTGTTCTTTTAATATCCTGTACATGCAGTCGCCGCTTCAAAACTTCCGCTGGCAAATAAATAAAATCAAATATTCATGGAAAGAATTGTTTGTCTCTGGTGGTGTTTTATTTTTTCCCCCAAAAGCATTTACTTAAAGATTTAATAGAAATGGAAACTAAAAATACAAAAAAACTACATTAACCGAAGCATTAAAAAAATAATTTAACCTGTCATAATTTACATTACAGATAGGTGTAATTTTGCAAACTTAATTTTCATCCATCAGTGCCATTAATATTGATGATCTAAAAAATAATTGGCCTACAGGGACATACAATTTTTCGTTTTAAATATAATATAAGTTAATTTTGAACTGAAATTCGATTTTATTTGGCATCCTGGCCTCGATTCTAGTTAGCGAGTAACTGGCGACAATGCTATCCCATAATCATAATTAGTTTTGCATAATTTGACCCACTGGTGTGTCCTTTTGGAAATAGCCTCGTCCTGCTCCCGGCCCACTCTTCGCCACTCGCACAATATTCAATTACAAACATTGGCAAATGTTCTAAACATTTCGAGTGTCTGGCCGAAATTAATTTGTTTGTGTAACTGGGCAAACTAACACTAGTCCTGCCCCTTGTCCTCGAAGTGGAGGTGTGCAAACAAATTGCGTACGTGTACGGGCAGCGAGGTCCTTTCGGTCCTTTGGTAATTGTAATGCGAGCAAATAAACGAGCGACTGCCACACGAATATTCATACAACAATGACACAAGCACACTCACACTCAGTGGCAGGACTAACCAAGGACATGGACCGGAATTATGCATGGACACACACAGTTGCAAATGGAGATGGTGCTGGAGATGGAGTGAAAAGCAAATGCCAGCAGGACAAATGCTTGATGTGGGTTCTACCGTGTTATTGTCCTTGTATCCCATTCCTGCTAACAGCAAAAATTTTTAATTTCAATTCTTTTTTTTTTTGCCTCCGAAACACGTTGTGTTACAAATTTGAATTTATTTCAGCTCCCCACCTGTGATATCCAACCTGCCATGGTCAGCACGATTCGGGTGTGGAATGGCCAGAATATTGTGGAATATGACACCTTAAAGTGCTTTGCTTTCAGGCCAAATAAGAGACAGAAAAAATGGAAGAAGTCTGAATGCAAAAATTGATTTCAAAGTTATGAATAGTTAATAGACCAAAGTCAGGGAACTGATATGGGAAGTTGAAAGGTTCAAGGAGCCAAAGAAAAATTGAATTGAGGATCCCAAAAACCTGGAACATAAACCTAAAAATAAACCCAAAAGCACCTGGCCAGTTCATAAATTTCTGTAAAAACAATAGCGAAACGGTATCCTGTATATTGATTTTCATATGTCCTGCTCTTTGTTTTCAGGTTTGGGCTTTAGCAGACCAGTCTGGTGCCATTCGATGACCCGAATCTATCCGATCCATTGTTCCGACATCTAGTTCATTATTAAATAACAATAGAAGCGTGTGCAATCCAACACTTTGCTCCACCTGCGGCTCCTGTCAGTGGCAACCACATTTGCCCAAGTATTTTTCATTAGAGCAATTTTCGTTAATTGCCTGGGACAGAGACACAGGAGCTGGAGCAGGAGGTGGATATCTAGTATAGTGTGTTACGTCCATAAAGTGTCTGTTGCAATTTTTGGCTGCAAGTCCTTTTTGGCAGTCGGAACAGCATCCGCTTTTGTCCTGTCAATCGCTGAGCCACGATTTTATTTTCGTTTTCGATTTCGGTTTGGGTTTTCGCTTTTGTTTTCCCTTTTCGGATCAGGATACGGTTGGCAACTCTGACCTATAAATCATCTAATGGTCGGACAGGTTGGGATCCTGGAGGGCAAGGGTGGCGGTGCACTTTGGAAGCCCGCACATGTGTCAATATTTGTGCGAAATGCGGCCGCAGTCCCATCGACACAAACACTCTCCATCATCCACATTCGGTTTCGGTTTTTATGGGTTTTAGTTTCCCAGTTGCAGTACCAGCAGCCCGGGCTTTTGTTGTTCATTTCGCAGGGCTAGATGGAGAGACAAGCTTTTAGTTGTTTAAATTTAAGTTTGCAGGACGACAACAAACAAAGCTCAGAAAAAATAGGGTCCAAGTCAGAGGTCAGAAGTCGAATTTTCGGTATTGAATATTTTAACTATTTTCTGTTGGCAATGGGACTTAATTTCCGTTTTTATTTTCATTGCTTGATATTCAAGATGGACATCTGTTTTGCACTTGATTTGTTATGGAATTGAATTGAATTTTTTTTTCCTGTGGCATGTGCGGGATGTGTAGATCTTTTGCTCTCTTCTATCCATCCGTTTTGTCGGGTCCTGCGTGTGCGGTGCACAACGTGGCGTATGAGCAACTTATTTGCCATCTGTCATGGCTGGCTTGAGAAATGAAATGAAATCAAATGCAGTCGACTGAGAAATTGAGAAGAAGAGTTGTAAAAGAAGTAACTGCCTGTCTCATGGGTTTGGACAAACTTTCGCCATGAGCATCCTTTGAGTGGTGTAAACCAATCGAGGAAGTTGTTTTAGTCCTTTCCAAAATGTTTTCATTGATTCTCAAAGGAGTGTTTAGAAAGGGAGCAAGTAAATGAAATTAATTTAACTTCTAAATTTCGGAAAAAAATATAACCTTTCTCATCTCTGAACCTGGCAAATGCCAAAACAAACATTTTTCTGTTTCTCTGGGCCAAAGCAGAGGCAACAATTAAAAGACAAATCTGCAATTGTTTAAACTTTAAACCCCGTGACCACAAGCCGGGACAATGGATGGCCAAAGGAGCCCTGTGGAAGCAAACCGCAAAGGGCAGAGAGTTGAAAAATCTAAGAGCATTTCGGCCGAGCAAGCTGCCGCAGGTCCCAAAATAGTCATAAATTTCAAGCGTTTTTAACAAGAAACAGACGCCGGCAAAATGGGAAATGTAAAAGGCAAACGCAAGAGCCACGAACAAAAAATTCAAGAACAAAAA